TACTTCTGGATAAACCAATGGGCGTCATCGGTTCGTTTCTCACCTAAGGCACCTGGTGTCTTTTCTAGGAACTCTAGAAACTCCTTCAAAGAGCTAACACTTTTCACTGAGCCGAATTCCTTGATGACAGCCTGAAATCCTACGTCGGACAGATGATTGCATAAAGCTTTGATGAGCATATAGCAGCCATCATCTGGGATTCCAGCTGCCTCAACCAGTGGTAGCAATCGTTGCGCGAACGACCTAATAGTGTCATTCTTCTCAGGCCTCATAACTAGCGCCATATCAGCGATGTAAGCCCCTAGAATGTCAAACTTTAGAGCTTTATTCAAGCATGTAACTGCCCGAGACCAGGTCCTGTCTTGAAGAGGCACTTTCTTGATGAGATCGTCATAGTCTCGCGCCAGGCCGGACACTTTGGAAACGCAGAGGGATAAGTAATCCCATGCTAGTTTGTCGAAAAGAACATCAGAAAGGTTACGACGGAATATCCTCTCAAAGTCATCACGGAAAGTGACAACCCTGATTGCTATTTCCTTGACCATATTCTTGCCGGGAACCTTGGACACGTCTAAATCAAGCATAGGCGCATCCGCAAACGTTTTCTTCTTGACCTTGGTATAGTCTACCTCTTCTGAATCTTCCATCAAAGGAATGTTCTCTTCTTTGAAGATTCGATGAAGTGCGTCATGTTCGGGATTAGCAGGATCCCATTTCACCGTTATACGGTGACTATCTGCTTCAGACACACTCGATCTATCAATCGAAACGTCCTCGCTTGAAGATAAGCCATTTCTGACCTCCTCCATATGTTCAATAGAACTATTCAAGTCTTCAGTTTGTCTTACTAAGACCTTCAAGATGTCTGCCTTCTGTTGAGCGAGATCGCCTAAGGCCTTGGTAAGTGTCTTTTCATCAATGTCAATTTTTCTTAACTTTGATTTGGCATCATTGTACCTAAGGAACAGCAATGCCTTCTTTCTGAGTGTCTCCTCCTTCTGAAGTCTATAACTTCGAAGAAGCATCGTAACATTCTCGATATCGGGAACAGCATCACTGCCGAACTCGACTACACTCTCCGTCGTATCTACGACCAGGCTAGCCACCAATAAGTTCAACTGCTCGACAGGTGTCAAGCCTGAGCCATTCTCTGGTGAAGAGATTTCCATATCAACATCTTCGTTAATTGGTACTTTATTAATATTAGACATGATTGAAATAAAGGGATTGAAATTATGGAGAAAAAAAAAAATGGTTGGATGGATTGATAAAATGGATGGATGTAACTCTATGTAGATCCTTGAAAAAATGATATGTTTTATGGTAAATCGGAAGTCAAGGAGATCAAAAGTTGTTTATTATTTTAGCTAGGTCGGAGCCTTATATAGGCTCCAACATAGCCGTCACTAATTGCTCTGATCTATGAATAAAAAGGGGAGTGCTCCATTTGGGTACACTCCCTAGCCTCAGGACGTAACATATAGTCAATATACAGCTATTACTGCACAACGACAAGAGCCGCTGTATCCATGATTTCATAAACCCTGACCGCCGTGGTTGGTACTCAAAGTCCACCTTTCCGACGTGGCCTGTTGCGCAACACGACAAATTATCCGCTATCCATAGTCATCAAAAACTTCATTCCACCTAGCCGCTCCATCACGTCCAGTTTGGTTTTCCCAAGGTAACTGTCCCGGACTCGGTCATCCGCGATCTTGTAGATCTCTTTTACATTCAGCTTCTGTCTTTGTCTGAGGGAAGGGACAAGGAAATCATTGCTACTACGTCTGTGCTCCCCAACACAGTTGCGTCCTCTAGCGCGTTTGCTCATAGCAGTGATTCCACGAGCCTTTTCCCATTCAACGGTGACTTTACACCGTTTGTTCCAGATTTCTGTACGACCGAATTCCTCTATGGCCTTGACGAAGCGCCCTGCCATATATGTAGCTATCCTTGTTGTTGTCTTGAAGCCAACTTTCCAATTCTGAGCAATGGACTTGGGCGTAAGTCCATGGTAAATGTCCTGCACAGACCAATCTGGTGTGTGCTCTCTCTCTTCCTCATCATCGCCGTTCCTATCACCATGGCGTCGTACGTATCCATGTTTTTCTCTACCAATGTACACCGTGATCGGTACTCGAAGTCCATCCTTCCGATGTGGCATTTCAGTATAGTCCTCCCATTGTTAAAATAGTGATTTGTTCACACAAAGGTGTCGTAAATCTGCTATTTACGTATCCTCTTCTTCATTATTTCCATCATCATTCAGTACTTTTATCATTATTTCCTTTATCAATCCTAGTATTTAAATCACTTTGGCTTCTTTGCAAAACAGCTATTTTGCAGCATTCTCCAGGACTATCATTGTTGATTTATGATCCTTTAGTGTTCTATTTGTCAGATTATCCTCCTTTGGCACTTTGTCCATTTATGAATTTATCTTTTGGCACTTCGTCCAACTTTTTATTATCATTTTGTTCATTTTCTGTCAATCTTTGGGATCATTAACAGATCTTTCCACGTCAAAGGTAAGCGTTGCTTTCCTAGCTCAGTTGGCAGAGCGTCAGTCTCATAATCTGAAGGTCGTGAGTTCGAACCTCACGGAGAGCAATTACTTTTAGAAAAAAGATATTTGCACTGGCCCGTACACCTCTTATTTGCACGGGGGCCGTACAAATATTTACACCGCTCCCCCCGTGCAAATAAAAAAAAATTATTTGCACGGGGGTCTTTTTTTTTATTTGTACGGGGTCTTTATTTTAGCCCTAAACACCATAACCAGGAAGCCTTCCATGACACAGGCTTAGATCTAGAGCCGCTGCCTAAGCATCAAATACTGACCAGAATATCTTATCAAGTTCGTATGTAGCTCAGAGTAGATGTTGGCATTCTTTATGCGACTGGGACTAAATACAGAATTACAAATGATTTATCTATAGTTGCAATATACTATGCAGCTTTACTTTGCACTTTTGTTGGTTGCATTGTTATGGTTCCCCGATGCTTTCTTTCATTTAACGCGTGCATACATCTTAGGTATTTCCGTACACTATTAAGCACACAACGATGAATTCAGTTATTAGGAATCTCTAACGTGTAGTTTGTGTCGGTAGATGTACAAACAATCATACAATCATACTCATTTCTACGATGTATAGCGTGCCGTGTTACTACCTACTCTCTTTCTTTTCCCTTTCTGTTTATCAAATTCATCAAAATACAATGGGTAGACCTCAGCTTATTTTGTGGAATATCTATCTTCTTACCCGATATTACTTGTCTTTTGATAGTTGGTGACAGTTCGCACTCAAAGCCGAACGTGCACAATCACCTATATCTCTATATCTTAGTGACTAAAATACTTTAATAGCATAACCGTGACTAATAGTGATAGAAAAGAGACATAAATATTCTTTTCTGTTATTGAAATATGCCAGGGTCATAATAAGTAGCGAGAACGAAAGAAAGATGTCTTTATTATGATCCAGGGATCTTCGTTAAATAAAAAGGGTAAAAACCTTAGCTATAGTAAAAACCCATATAAATGACTGCTAATCGCAATAATCCTTAGTTTTGTCTCATTACATTCCAAGTTTATTATCATAGCCAACTTACCTTGGTTCGTCTTTAGCACGCAGTATTGCATACTCAGCAGCACATGTAGATGCTCACTGCGTCTAAAGGACCAGCTTCATATTGTACAATCACTTGAAATGGTAATGAAGAGAAGCACTGTCTTCAATCTTATTTCTTGCCGTTTCCCTCAGCCTGTACTGCCCAAAAACTTCAGTGATTATCCACATTGCCTCATTAATAAAAGGGTAAATTTATTGAACTTTAGCTCCATATTACATAATAAGTTATATCAATTAGGTTAAAACATTGCACCAACTAAGAAGGAGGACAAAGAGAGGGTTCTTGTCTGCCCCACGTGAGTGGTAATTTAAATCATCGTATACGCTATATGGGTCTAATGGTAGTATTTTTGTATGTCACAAATGAGCTGTTTGGCAGCTCCCACGGCGCTGCAACTTCCACCAGTAATAATTCCAGACCCCTCTCTACTCTAGACTCACCTCCACTTATTTATATAAAGCCAGAATCATGTAGTCTGTAGGATACACGTTGCTGCTTGTAGATGAAAAAGAGACCCCGTGCAAATAAAAAAAAGACCCCCCGTGCAAATAACTTTTTTTTATTTGTACGGGGGGAGCAGTGTAAATAGAGTGTGTACGGGGCAGTGCAAATAATTTTTTTTATAAGTAAAAATTTATTTGCACGGGGGCCGTACAAATAAGGGGTGTACGGGCCCGTGCAAATAACTTCATCCTTACTTTTATCCTACCTTCGGAAAGGATGAAGTTATTTGCACGGGGATTAATCTTTTTGGCAGCCCAGTTGCCAAATAACATTCATTATGAACTTGGCAGCCTACCCAGCGTTATTTGGCCTCTTAACTAATTTTTTTTTTTTTTTTTTTTTTTTTGGATTAATCTATTTGCAAAACTAATTTGAAAAGGTTGATTGGCCACACACAAGTAAATTAATGGAGTAAGGGAACCGAGTATCAGAGAGTGTGCACTTCGGAATCAATTTTGCTATTCATTGTAAAATAAAATCTGAGATGTTTTTCAGATATTAGAAGTCAAGGAGATCAAAAGTTGTTTTTATTATTGTCAAACGAGAGCCTTTTATCAAGGACTCTCTATGACCGTCACATGATATTCTGACCTTATGGAAGTGCACCTGAGGTGCACTCCCAAGCCTCGGTACGTAACAAAATCTTTAGCGGGCTGTCTCATGAAGAAAACAAGCTGTGCTAACGGAAACCTTGAATTGAGCACAGCACTTACTATAAAAGGAATAGAGAAGTAATACTTATCGTCTTTTATTGTTCGAGTATACCAATTTCCAAAGATATCAATGTTTAAACATTGCAATATCACGTTTTGTTAATGTATGCTACTCCTGGTCTGTTCCTCCTGCTGCATCTCCCAATATCAATACGGTAGTGGACCAATAATGCGATTCATAATCCATACCATGCTTACCCAGTATAGACAGATGGAGCCCACGGCGGCCTGGGCGATCCAATCAGACAGCCCGTCTATCAACACATATCCACTTAATATCGATCCGTGGATCGCACTCGTGACGGTTGCTATAGTAACACCAAAAATTCTGCCCCAGTATAGAAACGTTCGGTTCACGCAATCTTCATCCTCTTGGTCCAGCACATACTCTGTCAAAATCAAGACGCCCAAAAGGAGCATCACTAGTAGAAAGACTAATACTCCTTGAGATCCGATAAACAGTAGCCAATACGAACTTTTGATGTCGAATCCAAGCGGCTGGAATGACTTGCGATCTTCGTCATCGCTATGATATTTATATAACAGTGCCTCCTTCATGCGAGTTATCCTGTTAACCTTTTCAGCATTTAGGTCTGCATTATTATGCTTTGACTGAAGTGCTTCATCAAAAGCGACAGGAATGGAGGTTACAATGCTAACAGCCAGAGAAGAGGATAGATCTAAGGTAACAGTACTTGGATCAAGAGGTAAATTCAACTGTGACTGTGCAGAACTGGCGTCAGTTTTCGCTTTTGTAGAAGGCACTGCGGCTTCGCCTGCATGCGTATTTGTCAAAAGTGGATACCATGATGCTGGCGATAATGATGGCGATAATGATGGCGATGCTTTGAATTGGGCAACCTTGTATGCGTTACTTGTTGCTGCAACAGACTTAGGAATTGATATATCAACAGTTCTCGAACTACTAACTACTGGTTCTGCTGCCTTTTGTGGAGCCTGTTTCGCAATAATAAAAGCCTGTTCCTGGTAGGATGTCCTGCATTCTTCCTGGGATTGCTGAGACTGTCCACAATGGGATGGTAACAGGAACTTAAACACAGATCTTTGTGCATCCCATCTCCATTCTACAGAAGTGATTGGCTGATCGGAGACGGTATTCTTATCATCGGACCCCACCATCATTTGCTGCTGTTGTCCTCCATGATGAGCCTGCTCTTTAGACAGAGGCACATAGGTGGTCCATGGCGACAGCATAGCTTCTGCCTTGTCATTCATTTTAGCCACTCTGTCATCGCCAGTTGGAGTCTTGGTACTTTGTTCCCCAGTGCCTTTTACTACAAGCACTGTAGTGGTCGATTCTGGGCCAATAGACGCTGTAAACAATGATTGCGAAGGCCGAATAGCGAAGTAACTCTTACGATTATAAATAGTGTCGCGTGAATTCGCTAAGGAGTGTACCATTATCAAGTGTACTGCTACTATGAAGCAGAGACCGGATCCTGCCAGCATGACGTACATCCTGGCGCGTTGGATAGACAAAGATATACGCTTGAAACGCTCCAAGTAACGATATGAGAAGCAGAGCACAGGATAGAAGGTTAATGGTGGGATAAATGCAATAAGAATAACGGCAATTGGTGGTATAGTGACAAATGGTGTTGAGGAAGAGATGAGAGTAGAGGATAGCGCAAAAGGAATGTAGCCTAATGCTGCTACTGAGTGGAACAAGGCATGGAAAATATGTAGGCGAGTCATTCCCAAGCCTAAGTTTTTGAAATAAAAAATAGTACTAATAATGAAAGGCGGTTGGGCGGATTATGTGAGGTAAAGAGAGAAAAATAAATTAGAAAGGTTGAAGACAACTTCAGCGAGATCGCTACAGTTGAAGATCAAAAGTGGGAATGAAAATTCTACTCTCTCCAAGGGCAATTCCACTTGCGAGGAAAGAATGGAATGCATAGACAAGGGGTGCTTTCCATTCTCAACCAGTAGAGCGCTTCAGCACAGTTTATAGTGTTAGAAATTATGTCTTTCAAACAAGGATATCAACTCCTTGTTCTCTCGTCTACATTCCTCCTCTTATGCTTTCCTCTCCATTTAATATTTTTTTTTACTGCGTTATTATGATGCTTATCGTAACATGTTATCGTTTAAGGCACCACACCTGGACTTCTAGATCGTGCAACGATTTCTCAACGCTAAACATGGCGCTCAACTTCTCAAAGAACTGCCGTTCCATGTCAATGTCCAATGCGCGCCATTTGTAGCCAAGGTAAAGCGTTGTGTGTCCAGGCGTACAGAGGTCGTAAAGCGTTTCTAGAAGGGAGTTGAAACTATCTACTTGGTATACAACATCCGACGCAATCACAACGTCAAAAGGATCGGCTTTAAGGCGTGTCAGTGGGGAGGAGCCCCAGATGAGCGGCTTCGCTTCTATACTGACATTAGGCGCTATTCTACGCTTATTCGATGCGATGTTACGTTGGATAAGTTCCATGGCATCCTCTAGATCAGTTAGGACCACCGTCGTCGATGGTGGCGCGTTTGATATATGGGTAGTACTGCTGTTGGTAATGCCATCACGGTTGGTAGCATTGGGTCTACCGCGTAGAAGTAAGAGATCCATTTCAACCTGGGCCAAACCTGCTAGAAAGACGCCTAACAGACCAGTGCCTGCACTGAGATCCAAAATTCGTTTCCCGGCAAATATGGGGGGCCTAGAACCCTCGAGCCTATCTTGTACCTGTTTTGTAAATATGTCCTTCAAAATGAAGGCAGAGTCCCAAACACGACCCTGAGGAACATTATTCCATGTCTCTTCAAGCAGCATAATCCGAGGATTTGAGCCATTTCCTTGTGGGATACTAATAGGGCGTAAGACACGATTCGAATCGTAACTTTGAAAGCTCCCAGCGGTGTAGTTGAAAGGACCAAGGACTAGAGGCATTAACCCTTGATCATCTTTACAGCCAACGCTGATCCAAAACGGTTCTGGACACTCCCTTCGAGGTACTACCCGTACTTCTAATCCTCCTCGACCCGCTGGCCCAATTCCTGGGCCTGACAGATCCTCCATCCCTAGCCAGTTTGCAGATTGTAATGCACGCTTCTCGAGCAGAACATGGCTCTGTGCAAATTGGTTTATTATCTGCCCCTTGGATTCGTAGAGCAGACAGCACTCAAGCGGCATGAGCGACTGTCCTTCATTGATCCTAAACGGCGAACTTTGATTCCCACCATATTGAAATTTGCCAAATTCACCTACGACCTCAAGTGTAAGGCTGATCCACGCACCTCGTTTGATTCTCGAGGGTATTGAACATGCTGGAAGGAGCCTGAACAGAGTTTGACGGCGACAATCCATTGACGGCGATGAAGGTGGTGTGGATAAAGGTGTAAAAGACAAGTCCGAACTGGCCTCGTAGTCGCTTTCAAAGAATGGGGATATGGGGGAGAACGAGGGAGAGGACGCGTTGTCGCAGGTTGAGTGTATAGGAAAGTGGGGGTGGGGTCTATAGAGTGACATGAGTAAATGTTTGTAGGAGTGTAGAGCTGAAAGAGAATGTGTATATTGGATGACAGAAGGCGTATATCAAATAATTAACAGGGGTAGAGAATAATGAAGTGTTTTGTGAAGACAGAATTAAGGTCAAAAGCAAGAATAAAAAAATAAGTAGGAAACAAAGAATAGGATAGAATTGAAGGACTAAAAAATTCAAAAGCAATGGATAGATGAAGATTGATAGGAGAGAAATGAGATCAGTAAGAGGTGTAAAAGTGGGGCGTGCTGCTGATCAATGTGTGGTATATGTGGAGAAGTAAAAGGAGAGGCACGACGCGTATATCTGTCGTCTCTCAGAATATATTTACGAGTCGGCTGCAAGAATAGAAGTCATAGGAGAGAAAAGCACTTAACACCAGATGCTGCAAGGCAGGGCAATGCAAATAGTAATGGTAGTAATAATAGAAATAGTAAGGACAACAACGGCGGTGATTAAAACGATCAAAAAGAAATACGTGCAGGTGATTGAATGCAATTGATGTTGAACGATCGACAGAAAACCATGAAGAGATGGAGAGGAATGTGAAACAAGCCAGGATTCCGATGTGAAAAGAAAAGGTGTGACAGAAAAAAAAAAAAAATTAAACTAATGGTGCAACGCGCCACAGCCAATGAAATGACATGGCTGGATTTACATGATTAATAGGAAGACATTGCTAGACACCACAACTTGTTATAAATAGCATCTGGTGCTGACAATGCCGTTGCTGCTAAGCCGACTGTTCGACTGCTGTCGCCCTTATTTGGGTATATCTAAGCTCCTTCGATATTAAGGCATAAGATGCGAGAGATCCTGCGCTTGGTTACTGAGAGCGATGAAGAGGCCCCGGGTGAGTAAGAGGTACAGGAATGTGAACAGAAGACGGAGAAGACGAAGTCAACACCCTCACAAGTAATAAAACCCAGTATAACGATCATTATTAGAACTAACCTGGATACTTTGGAAACAAGCTTGGAACACTCTCAACTCAAAGTGGATGTAGCATGTCTTTTATTTTGATGACCAGATGTATTGCAAGTTAAGTGCACAGCTAGGATTTGCTCATATCTTTTATGATAGTGCCGCGCTGTTCAGAAAGATTCTTATTGCAGCTGTAGGAGCCAAAGTGGAGAGCCGGATCAGAATAGTTTGAATAGGCATACAGGTTGTTACTATACGGACCCTTAACAAGGAGCGCTTTTTAGGCTTCCTTATTGCCTTCCTTAGGCGGCAATGCAATGCCAAATGTTCTTAAACCCATGCAATAGTATAGCATGCCCGTATTATACATCATGTCACCACAATAGGGTAATGAAGTGTGGAACACTCTAATACTGATTTTACCCTATAAGGAGAAGGACAAAGGTAGGAAAGAAGGGCTAGTTTTAGAGGTTAGACGCAGATGGAGCTTGCGAAACGGGTAGGCTCTGGTAGGCAGAAATGATGATCAAGAGGGAGTGATCGGGCAATAACAATAATAGATAGCCTGCTGAATCTAAGAAACTTTCCTTATACTTTGTAAAAATAGACGCCACTGTCCTGAGAAATGCCAAACGCGCATCTCAAAATTAAGGGTCCATGTAAACAGATGTGGTCTCCTTCCTTACTTTTAGCCAGTCCCTGAATATCTAAGAAAATGAAGCTGCTCCTGATTTTAAAATGTTTTGCTCTATTTGAAGCCTTTGGTATTTCTATTTGCAGTTGTTGTCTTCGCCTGAGTAATGACGCGTTTCGCGTCTGTCGCGAAGCGGCTTGTTTGACAGCTACAGAGTTTTTTTGAATTATAAAATTAGTGAGAACAGAGCTCGACATTGGTTTGGCTATTAGGGATGGATAAATAAGAAGTTCTATTCCAAGACAATGACAGGCTATCACCTCAAAGAAGAATACGTTGCCATGTAACAAAATAAGAATAATGGTACTAGCATGTCGTTCCTTGACATTCACATAGTAGTTAAACATTCGGTTTTGTGAGAGGAGATAGGAGTCCTGGAATTTGGTATGCTATTCCATAGCAGCTGTCGAATAGCAACTGAGCAGGTTATTGAGATAGTCGTCCCATTGACATTGTTGCAAAGATTTATTAAAGATCGAAAACATGTATGGGTACTTATTAACAGGCATATTGAAAATATATTATGTGTCTATAAGCAGTACGTATCGATTAAGGCCAGAAAGACATCCAAAGGTTGATAGCGAGAAATGGTAAGGCATGCGGTGGCGCTCCCAAGATATACTAGCACTGTGGGGCTACAAAGGACATGGCATCATTCAACCATTTGTTGTCACTCCATTTGGTAAATTAAACTCCACTTTTCCAAAGGTAGAAGGTGTGGTGTCAATTGACCGTAAGGAGGAAAAGAAAGGGAACAACTATTCAGTGGAGATGTATCAAATAATTCAGCTTTTCTGTAACAAGACTCATAATTCTCTTGTCTTCTGGATGGTCAAGAGAGCATAAGATCAAAGGCTGAGAGATCATAAATTAACATACAAGAACATAAGCAGTAGAAGTTACGTGAGTGCAAGACAAGGTTTTAATCTTTCAACTTTTAGACCGGTGGAGACTTGGGCATGTTATACAGACATCAAGGTTTTTCACCTGTCTCGCTTTTTTTGTCTTCGCCCCTCTTTTTTCTTTTCCTCTGTGCATCCGAGACATTCGCTCTCGGCTTGTGGTCATTTAGGTCATATAAATACACCGACTACGTCTTGGCTTCCTTTTTTTTATCATTCTCATTTCGCTCTCACTCTCACTCTTGCTCTCACTCCCATTATCACTCTCAATCTTATAACAACTATAACACTCTTCTTTCGCTTGTTCCTTACTCTCTCTTTATTTTTTGTGAGTGGGTGTCCAGGCACAGAAAAAAAAAGCATAGGTACCTTCGTCTCTTTTTTTTTTTTTTTTTTTTTTTTTTTTTGAAACAAGCAACCAAAACATGACCGACATCTTCCAGATGGATACGCACACCACACTTCCAACCTTTGGAGCAAAGCCCAAGTTACCAGTTATTCCTGAAAGTATTTGGCTAGACATTTTTACTCACCTCCCACTTGAAGAGAAGTTCAGAGCATCCAGGTATTATTCTCTCACCCTTCTATATCCTTCGAACTATTTCTTAATCTTTTTCACATCAAGAATCTATATCGAACTTACATATCCGCATTTCCCCGTTATTCCAGAGTCATGGATGTTTACCTGAGCCTGGATCGATCTTCACTACATATCCTCTCCCTTTTTGAAATGGAGACTGAAGCTACAGCCATACCTTTATATTTGTAATGAGTTCAGAAAGAGAGTATTCTAATCCAATTTAAACACATAAATCAAACGCTGCTCTCTCTTCAACAGTATCTGTCGTGCATGGCGCCGCATCTTGGCGGACCCTTCTCTCTACACTCACCTCATACTTGACCATATGGAGTTCAACACCTTGGTGCTCTGTATGCAACAGCTCACTCGGCTTACTCCGCGGATTCGCTCACTTCGTATCGCCAACTGCTATTCCTCCTTTATCTCCAAGACCACAGTTCCTGTCCAGAACACTGCCATGATGCATCACTTTCCTCATCAGCCAGGCATGCATTTGCTCTACACACGTATCACTTCTTTCACGTTACCACGCCGACGAGAGGAGTATCACAAGCTTGGTTTCACCCTTCATCAAGATTTTTCCCGTGCATTGGTTGCATTAATGGAGCAGAGTCAAGGGTCGATCAGGTGCCTTGAAATCCAGGACAATTTTTTAGATCTTGAGATGACTGAGCTTATCTTTTGTATCGTCCGTTATGGGCGCTGTCTGGAGCACCTGTTATACGATGGCAACAGAGATGGAGGATTTGTAGCGCCAGAGGTCGTCAGCGCCATTACTGCAGCATGCCCACAGATTCGGAGCTTCCGAGGACAGCATGCTATTTCAGACACAGTCTTGCGCAGGATGATGACTGGCTGGGAGGATTTTAGATCTGTGACACTTGCCCCATATCAATCTCCAACATTGGGTATCAAAGAAGTCAGCCTGGAAGGATTCTGGTCCTTACTTGAGTGCGGGAAAGTTGAGTCACTGGAACTTCTAGATCTGGACTGTATCTCGAACGAGAATATCCGTGAAATGGTACAACGTGTCAAGCAGCTGAAACTTCTATCCATGTCAGCACTTTGCCCATCAGCTCCAACCGATCTTAATAATATCCCCGATCATCCCTTTGCTCATCATGCCTCACTAACCAATATCACTGAAGGTCAACCTCAATCCACATCATTGTTATTATCATTATCAGCCGTTTCACGACCACTTCCTGGCGATTCAGTACGACACCTAGCATTAACAAAGTATACCTCGAGTCCGCTGACTCTGCCTGGTTTCGGCGCATTACTTAAGCTTTTCCCCAACCTTGAGACGCTCAAGTTCACAACCAACTTTTTCACTTATGAGCATCAATTCCAGGGACTAACTAAGGACATTTACGAGAAAGAGATTGCCATGATCGGGCACATGATTCTTAGTGAGATGACGGATCGCTGGTCAGCCGAAGGTGCTGCTTCCTGCTGGATCCATGATTGGTATGCGCCTGTAACAGAGGAACAGCGTCTTCGAGCTGGTATTATGCACTCTCAATAAGAAATGCTTTCCCTTTTTTCCCCCCAACATCATCGGTTACTCTCATCTGCTTTTTTTGTGTGCTATTGTGCATCTACCTTTATACCTTTCTATATATTTGTTTCACCAGAAATACTACTCCATCATTGTATTATATCATAAAAAATAAATAGGTTTCGATAATCAACCTTCAAATAAATATGAGGCTTGTGTTTGAATTCCTCATATTTTCATTCCACCCATAATGAATAAAAGGAAATGATATTATATTTCGATTGCTCAATAAACCAAAAAGAGGCAGAATTTTATGGGAAAGGCTCATAGATATACAAAATACTCTACCCACCTTTTGTTTGTTTAATTGCGCGCTGTGCTTGTCATCACTGATTCAATGCACAAATCCCACTTCTTCCAACTCGTTCCACTGGCAGCGAAAATATTTATTGTGGAGGGGAAAAAAGCAATTTTATCTTATTTAAAGAATGAGTCTGCTTTCAAGTACTTGACAACAATCTCACCTATGTAGAGCATTTTTTTTTTTTTTTTTTTTTTTCATCAAAAACGATAAATGAGCTTGAATATCCATCATATTTAAATACCTGATATTTGTCGCAGAAATGTATGCTTACCTGCAGCAACAATCACGGCAATGACAATGAGGATGATAACGATCCAGGTATTGTAGTTCATATTGTTCGATGCCAAATCATCGCGCAGCATTGTTAACAAGTCTGAAATCACCAGGCATCGGTCACTCAACACCTTGGCGCGCTGTCCAATTTCGAGATATCCACGGATGGCATTATATAGTGGCTGAAGTTCTGGTTCTGACCAGAAAATCTCAGGCGTATCTAATTTAAAAAAAAGGCATTGGGATGTTCAGTACCAAGGTACCGCTTGATTTCAATGTAATTGGCTCAACTCCTTATGAAGAGCCAATGACTTCTAGAACAAAGCCTAATAATCATACCAAGCACATTGGACACAAGGTCGACATTCATGCGCAGTTGGAAAAGATGTCCCGAGATCCTAGTGATTTGAGGCCTAGAATAGTTCAGTTTCCCTGTTTGCGCCAGCTGGATAGGGATGATCTTGGTATCATCAATGGTATCGTCCATTTGACATTCATAGAGCGCCAATTTGACAGACTGTGAAATGGCGTGGGATATTGTCAGCTTGATCATGTGGTTTCCTCCACGCAACGTGATCCTTAAATGGCGGAAAAAGAATAAAAAGACACACGAACAAAACGCGCGATGCCATTAGACATGACAGGCACTCTAGTCAAGATATTGATCCTCGCTCATCTGTCGTTCAATTATTAAAAAAAATTGCTTACATGTCATTGTAGATACGTGGCGCTGAATATCCTGCGTACTCGAAGTGAAACTCTTCTGTCTGAACATCTTCAGGCAGCAATCGCTTTATTTCAAATTGTGCGAGATCGTCCATGATCCATGCTTCTTGCTCCAAAGTCATATTCCAGAAAACAGTGACCCCATAGTCAAAGAAAAATACTTCCCCACCCATAAATGGAGCCACAGCATGATTTTGGCTTGATGTAAGAGCTAAATCGGCAGTGTCAGGCTGTAGATCTGTAGGAGACTTGAGAGTGGTAGTCTGATCCTCTACCGTATCAGTGAAATAATCTTGTTGTTCAAGCGCTGTGCTAGTACTCTGGTCAGATGGTCCAGTCTCATGTCTTGATGTGCTCAAGCCGACATCTTCATTTTGTTCATTTGGCCGGCTGGCAGTTTGACGTCTGTTCTTTAGTTTTTTGCTGTTGATGGAATTGTTACCAGATCTGATCCCATCTCCTTGTGTCTTGAGATGCTGGCGATATCCTTCCTCCGCCAACTCTTTGGCATGCTCAAGTGACCTAGAATAAGCATCTCCTGTATTCTCTTCGTACTGCTCCAACTGCTTGTCTAAAACAGAGCCGCCGCCAGGAGATCGAACTGGCGGTCCCGCCATATATTTGGTTGTTTTCCCTGGAACAAGAGGGAAGTGATAGGCAGCATAGAGTGCCTCATCATACAGTCGGGGCTGGACCGCATGTTTTTCCCTTAAAAATGTTGTAAGTCTTTTAATATCATACCCTTCTGCAGTGCAGTAGGCAACTACCCTATGATGTATCATCCAGTGAAACATGAATTGTTAGACAGAATCATTCAGCTTGATGTTGGCGGATGAATTGATATTGCATGGAATAAAGCCTTTTGAGGTCGTTATTAAAATAAATGATGTCCTTCACCATATTTACCTGGCGAGACCCCTAGCAGATCTCTGTTCCTTAGTCAATAGCTCTGAGCGAGTTGGGGCTCGTCCGTGAAGTCCTCTTCTCTTGATCCAGTAGTTAGGCTCGTCACGGAAAGGATCTAGCGAGTCATCAAAAGGGTTTTCTTCATACCCCGTCTCATCATCCTCCTGATCCTCCGGTAGCATTACCAGTTTTTGAGATACTTTAGTGGTACGAAGAGGTACTTGCTTTTGCTTCGGAGTCGTTGGACCCGGACTAATAAAGCCAGCCTGCATTGCTGCAGCATTGGCGCTTGCAGTATTGATCCGCATGGAATTATCATTGATAGCTCCATATGAAGTTGGACCACTATTGGTAGGATGAAAAGTACGCTTTGCTCGTGAGGCGTCAGGAAAGAGCCGACGCGGGTTAGGTAGTGGAGTAGACGAAATGAATTGGACGTGGTTTTGGTGCTGCTGCTCTCTGTAGGCGTTGGAGGTTTGCTGACGCCTGTTTTGGACTAATGGGGAGTACACGCCAGGAGTCTGTTGCTGATTTGGATCAGTCATGGTGCCAGTTGGGGTGGTCTGGTGGAAAACAAAAAATTCAAGGAATTATAAGCAGGTTAATGGAGGAAAGGAAGGACGGAACTTCTTACCTCGATTTGTGTGACGTAAAATTGCTACATTTTTATTGTAGGGTAGCCACACATCAATTGTTCTCAACAGCGAAAACGTCTCATTGAAAGTTCAGTAATGGAACAGTAGAAACGCCTGATCTGCACTTCGTAAACATAGAGCCTGGATTGTGAGCATTCCTTCGATGGCCTGCTACAACCGGTGCGATACAACAAGCCGTAAGTTGAGGACATGAGGGTAAAATCATGGCCCCATATAGGAAATTCTTACCAAATACTCCAAATCCCTGGAAACAGAAGGGCTCAGATATGACGTCTGTGAAAATTGTTATAATTGACAGAAATGGGCCATGCAAATTGAGTGTTTATTGATGAAGCCGACTATAGTAAAGATAATAACAATAAATATAATACTACAATACTAATAAATAACAAGATAGAACAGCTGTAGGCTTTTAAACACGTCCTTCATAGACTGGGATATTCAGATAAATATGCGCGATAGTCATATCCTTGATAGCCTGTGGAGGTTGTAACGTCTATTGGTTGACAAATAATGGAGCAAAAGTACATTGTTAAGTCAAAGTTTGTACCCATCGTGAAATTGTTGTGATTATTATTATTATTTACCAATTCAAACGCGCGTCAATTCTGTGCAAGGACCATACTTGGAGGTAAGGTCAAACTGGCGAAGTTTCTTCTCTTCTTCTGAGATATCAGCTTGATGAACTAATGGCTCCAGAAACAATAATAGCGAGACTATAACAACGAGCAGCAACGAATCAACAAAAGATATAGATCAATAAAACCCAGGGAAAAAAACTTACACCCAGAATGGATGTCGCCTACGTATGGAACTACACAGGCACTCTCCTTGGATGCTGTCTTTACACTCCTCTTCGCGATAACCCTTGAATTTTTGATATCTTCGACGGATGCAATTGCGTTTACGTCTACGTTCTTTGGTTCCGAGATACCCAAAATAATAGAATTCTTATCTTGAGCATGCGCGTCCCCATACCCGTCTTCGCCGTGGTCCTCTTGATCACAGTGATCCGAAACTGATTCCTCAGCTGAGTAGTCTAATTCATCACTGTAGCCATCCTCTTCTTGTTTGGTCAATTCCTTGGGAGCTTTTCCTGATGTTGGTACTGTTTCTCGTTCTAACTGCAGGGCAGTCGTGGAAGCCGTTGTCTTTTTGGCAGCTACAGCTCTCTGCGCTGTCGTCGGTTTCTTTCCTCGCTGGAAAAAATTGGCGCTGGAGTCGAGTGTGACAGCTCGTTTCTATGATGCCATAATGGGAGCTGTTTGTCGATTAAAGCGATCATTTGCACAAAGATTGGCCAAATCTGCTCACATGATTTATTTTAGAGAACCAAATATTTTTGAGTAGGAATTAATCTATTTGACAACCCGGGTTGCCAATAGTAAAATATCTAATTTGACAACCCCAAGCTCACTGTTATTTGACAACCCTTTTTTTATTGGCAAGATTATTATGTGAAAATCGTTTCTATTGCTATCTCTCAGCAACACGAAATCCCTCCAGCAATCTAAAAGCTTCCATCAAATAACAAACTTTTTTTTTTGGTTACGAGGTGTTGTTTTTTATTACAACTGATTTCTAAAACAAGGGTTTGCTTTTATAGAAAATGTGCCTATACGGGTAACATGCACTAAGGGGTTTTTGGATATATAAGCATGCATAAATTCGGAGTGGTTATGCGACGCTTGATGGCGCATGCGTAAGACGCGGAAAGGAAAAAAAGAGAGACAGAAGAAGCTATAACCACAGTCATGATAATGGAGTGTTGCCACCATTTTAGAAATCCAGCTGAGAAAGGCCCTCCATAAGTGCAAGAGGGTGAAGACTTGTCATGTGACAGGTTGAAAAAGACAATTTTTCTTCTTTTCTTGACAACCCGGGTTGTCAAATAACAAAAAAGAAGACCTGGGTTGCCAAATAAGCCGGTGTGACTGCTAAATTAGGGGGGTTGTCAAATAGATTCACCCTTTGAGGAGAACCCTTTTGTCCCAGACGCTGGGTATGCGATCAATTTGGCTTCCAAGAGAGTGACGTAGCATTTTTATTTATTATATCGGAATAATCACATAAACAAGTGTCTCTTTTCTTCCAACCACAACCGTAAACAGTATTTTGCTCCATCCCTTTGTCTTGCGCATTCTTCTCACCATGAACACACCCAACGGCCTCCCAATTCAAGAGCAAGTAGACATTGTCAATGTCGCAATCAACGATGTTCTTGCCACTGATCAAATTGAAAAAATATTGATCAACGGACTAGAAGAAATAGTAAGTTTCTAACGCGAATAATTTTTGAATCGATGACGATCTGCTGAAATCTAATCAATATTATGTTACAGAGAGAAGCCTTAGGCGCGTTGAGCCCCAGCAAGGATGATGGGGAGCATGACGATGAAGGAGAGGACGATGATCAAGAGGACGATGATCAAGTCGGTCATGCACATAATTTTGAGGTCAGTGCTATAATGCTACAATCAATAAAGTCTAGTTCGTTGCATAATAATAAAGTAATAACTCAACAGAATACCTATGCGTCAATTGTAGCCTTTAAAGACGCGTATTGAAAATGGTCTCAATAATATTGTTATTGATAAAATGAGAGGGGCTTTGTGTGATGATCCTGAGATTCTTTTATCTGCAAAGCACTATAAAATTGAACCTGAATCTCGGTTCAAAGTTTTGAACACCTCGAGAGTAGAATTCTACATTCAACCTGAGCGTTTCGATGCTTGGCTCCTGAAGCATCAAAGGCCTACCTCCACCAACTTTGTGTTGGCAAAAAAATACGATTACAAAGTTGACAATCAGTGTCGCCTTTCCTATGAATGTCAATGTACTGGCAAGAAGCGCATAAGAAAAGATAGAGTTCAAGGAGGTGTCACTGGCAAGACTAGAAATCGTGCTCCAGGAATTAAACAAGGATGTGGAGCAAAAATCTTCGCTACGCGTGCGCGCGAACATATAGAGACTAGAAATTCGAGAGGGTTTGAAGGTCTTTTTATTTGGCAAACGGGAAGTGATACACTGCTGGTGGAGTCATTCACCACGAAGGGGCTTCTTATGAGATCAAAGTTGACTTTTCAAGATCTCCCACTGGGCATATCATGTCGTGCTCCTGTCACTATTTCTTCATGAACCACACTTGTTGTAAACATATCGCTTTGGCTCAGCTAGAATATCATCCAGTGACATTCTTTCGTGTTGATCAATGGGAGCATGAGTCCAAGTTCCAGCCGGGGATGCTTGAGCCTCTTGAGGAGGAGCATTCTGCTAATCCAACTCCTGACGTTGACCATATTGCAATTTATATTCAACGTTTGACGCTCTTAGAAGAACTCAGGGATAAAAATGCTGACTTTCCACAAAGAAAGCAAATTGAAAGGGACCTGTAGGCTGTACTAGAGCGTTTCGAGGCAGTGTTTCCCCGGCGAGAGGGACAGGGACCTGAGAATAAGCGGCCAAGACAACGTTACTGGACGTAGATATGTCGTGTTTGTCGTTGAATTAAAAAAAAAAAAAAAAAAAAAGCTTACACTTGTAGAATTTAAAAATAGAATAAGGTTTACCGCTCTATCCCTGTGTAAAAAAAAGACCCTGTCTTTATCAAAAGACGCTTAATACTAAAGAACCAATATCATTATAGCCCATGTCTGCTAATGATAATAAAGACACTTTCATGGGGCCCTGGAGGAGCTGTTCTCCAATTCTGAAAGGCTAGGAATGGAACTGATGCTTATTTATGGTGTATTTTGTGTTTTATCAAAATTAATCCGTCTTTCAATCCGTATTTTTCAGTGTTAGAATATACACCGCACTCTCATACATCGCTTTTTCCCATAGCTCGCGCTACTGATGGTAGCCACTGCCCATAGCTATAATATGAGGTCTGGTTTTGCGAGATCCGGCTTGTATCCATCGAGTTTTTATAAGCGTAAAGCTAAAAAACATCATTTTTTGAAGACCTGTTGATATTTGGGTATATGATGACTCTGTCTACCCATGGCAAACACTCAGAGAAACCCAACGGTCCTTAATCCATGTTTATAGCTCTATTTATTTAGAAAGTTTGAAGAGTTTTGGAAATCTTTTGCAGATTCTGTTCAATTTCAAGTAAAAACTAGATAATAACCTATGTGATCTGTTGCCAAATCTTTGTCTAAACGCGTCTTCATTAAACATCCTCAGTATTAAAACTTATTAGTTTTTTACTCAAAGCATGAAATAGGGCACTAGAGATGTGTATTAGTGTATTCTACATCATTTCTGAGGGTTTCAGGTGTTTTGAAGCAGTTCTGGTGAACTTCACTACTGAGGGTATGGTTTTTCTAGATTACTTAGTAGAAATGGCGGAGGAAATAGTACTTTGATATTTATTGGTGAGGAAATTTTCAGGGAAATAAAATATTTTAGCTCTAAAGCGAGCTCTAAGCCGCATTTATCCTGGACAAAAGGACACTCCCCTTTGAGTAGAATTTAGCAATCACACAGGCTTATTTGGGTTGGAAAATTATCTTTCAACCTGTCACATGACAACTTTCCACTATCCACACTATTGTCGCATGTCTTACCGACCACTCATTATTCTATTGGTTTTCAAGTGATAATGAACACCATTGACAATTAGGGGACGAAGTGGATTGTCAAATAACAGCCCTGAGGATCCTTGTCAATTAAAAAAAAGGGGTTGTCAAATAACAGCGAGCACAGGGCTGTCAAATCAGATATTTTACTATTTGGCTCAGGTTGTCACGCAAAAAAAATAATATGTTATTATATAAATATATAGGGTTGTCAAATAGATTAATTCTTTAGCAGAGTCAAGTTGGAACTGGCGTTGTCGCCTGAAAGCTTCCTATCATGAACATCTGCTTGACTTCTGCATTCTGTTCGTCTTATTTATTAATGTGTCGTCCTCCATGGAGTTTATAAAGAAATATTGAAGCACCACTATGATATAGCATGGTCAAACACGAACGAACTTGCTTGTCTTAATCTTGGTCATTTGATAAGGTGACTGTTGAGCTGTGAGCAAACTACCATGTATTTTGTACAATGCTATTTACACAAGGGTTTTTTATCTCACATATTGACGCAGAATTGCGTGTTATATTGATTACGGATTAGGATATCCTTTTGGGTGCGATGGTCCTTCACAACCAAGGATAATAGTATAGTTGGAAGTGCACACATTTTGTTCCTTGACATATTTATTTTCAGGCTTAGGAATGGCATCCATGCAGACTGTCAGGAAGAGAACAACAAAAAGTTGTATACCTACTGAATAGTGCTGAGAGAGTAACAAAAAAGAGAAGAAAAAACTTTCGATCACCATCATCGATATGTTTCATTTTCTGTGGCTTTTTATTTGTTCTTACCGTCGTCCTGGATACTGAAGCCTCGCGTACATAGCCGACACCAGCTGGGTCGTCGGCATGTACGAATAATGGTATGGTTACCTATGCGGCTACCACAGCTCGTCTTAAGACGCAGGTAGCTGGTACATGGCAAAACAAGCATAGCACAGTCCACAACGACGATTGCTTCCTCCACTCATAGATCTCAAAGCTATATAAGTAAAAGGGTCGTTTTCTAGTTTGGTATTTGTGCGCACATTACAGTTGTATTACACTGCGATTACCAAGGCGTGCCCGGATCATAAGGAGACTACCAGCAAGATCGTGAGCAAAGAAAGGTTCAGTTCATCCTCAAGAACCTTCGTCTATCAAGGCCAAACTAGGCTACTGCCATTGCGACAGCCAACGGTTTAGTAGGCGTTGAGGACTTTGGAACTAATTAGTTGACATGGTGTGCAAAAATGAGTTAATGCAAAGTACAAATGCGGTCTTCAAACTAACCTCAGCCTTTGGCTCGTGCTGCTAAGTTATTGGACTTGAACCTCGAAAGACTTGGATGCCTTATCAGTCACGCTATGCGTTAAGGAATCGCATTCGGCACAATAGAGCATGAAGCATATGGCTTATCGAGAGCGTATGTCTGCAAAGAGTAGATAGAAATGCTTAGGAGAGGCAACTGGACAGAAGAATGACCCATGGTACGGTAGGCATTGAAAGATGGATCCTTTTGGACTGCAGTTTTTGAGGATATGACCACTCAGACGGGATGTCATGCTGCAGGCCATAATGTGAGTTGCCACAGCAAGTGATCAAGGCCCGTATAAGTCTATGTGGCCTGACGATGTTAACGGCTATTTTGTTTTTCGATTTAAAGGTTCCTGTGGCAGCTTCGAAGCAATTGTTGATTGCATTATATGAATATTACCTGACTGTGGTCTTAAAGTAGGAGGGATACTAGAGCTACCATAATAAGCTCAATACAGACTCTAAATTCCAGTTGTTGTTCTGCGATATCCACTCGCCCTTTCCTTTGATTTAATAGTTTTATAATTAGGTATGGGTCCTAGGACGGAAATATAAACCCCAGTATGTAGGAAGAAGTGATGATGTTCTTATCATGAAATAGTTTCCTACTCTTAGCAGTGTGCTGTTCATATTCTTCACTAAGTCCTGAGGACATTCTAAGCGTGTCGAGACAAAGCTTTGCACGTTCTGGTGTGCCTTCTTTTCCTCTTTCGAAGAGGGTCCTTTAGGGATTCTGTGCTTCAATATCTTACTTGACAGTGCAGTGGACAATGTTTAAAAGATAGCTTTATAAACACGAGGGAAAGCCGAATAAAATGCTAGAGTATCAACGTATTGTGTGAGAGTGGATGGGATCTGGATACTATGGAGGACAGAGAACAGATATTTTCCATGTTCTCATCCTATTCTTAGTGATGGAGATCATGAGCCATATCCTTTTCTTCGCCTTCGTGACAACGAGCACGAAGCAACTCTGGCGCATTAACAATTAGTGAACTATTCCGCTTCCATCGTTTTTTGTGGGTTACGAAAGAATCAAAACATTTTTTTTGGACCTCTAATATGACCACCACTTTAATAATCATTAAATACTTTTGCACCAATAGCCATCTGTCGAATAAAAAGTAACAGGTCAAAACTGCCAGATTGGTCCTTCCTCTGCAGTATATCACATAAAAAAAGCCCTTTTTTCACTTTATTCGATCAAAATAGTATATTCAGCTATCCGATCGATCGATCATTTTGGGTTTTTTCACCCACTTTCCTTTCAAAATTGCATGGAAACTTTTTTATATATTGCCATTGGCGTTCGAATATATTGAGCACTTACCAAATGTTGAATTCATGCGACCGGAATACAAAAAAGGTTTGTTCCCTTGCGTACTGAAGTTTGAGCCTCCAATATGAATAAGGGTGTGTATAAGGACCTTGAAGGTGTTGCTTACCTACTTTGTGATCATTCGACCACGAGGAAACACTCCAGAGCATGCATGCAGATTACGGTAGCACGAAAACCTTGATAGTATTGAACGGGATTTTTTGCTTGGGTTGCCTGTTTTCAGTGAATACGGTATATATATATGTATATAATAATATTAATATTTGTGTATATGTTTATTTTATGTGACCATGGAGTACATCTGATTGTTGCTATTATTAATAATTAAGGGCGAGACTCCTTCTTCCCCACCAGCAAGTTCCAACATGTCTCCAAGTCATGACTCATCGTCGCAAGGTCGTAGTTCAAAAAGGTCAAGAACTCAGCTTCCATTCTATCTAAATCCTCCACTTGTAACATGGCTGCTGTAGGTGACGCGTTGGTGGCGTTGATGATCGAAGAGTTCGACGGAAACGATGTTTGAGCATGGAATGGGGCTTGAGTGGCCAGATCAGAAGGCGTTCTTACTCGAAGAGACGTCGCACTAGGCGAAGGCTGTCCAAGCATTGATTGTTCTGATGATGCTCGGGAGTTAGGGCTCCCAGAGGATTGAGTATGATGACTATGATGATATGACCCTTGATTTCTGGAGTTAGCAGTCGGTCTGGCAGGTATTGGTTGTCGATAGAAAGATCCAAGGTTCAAAAGCCGAACCCATGCGTCATTAGAGAAGATTAATTCTGCATTCGATCTTTCCAGATTTTGCTCTGTTGAGGCAGTAGAAACTCCAGACATCGGCCTCAGTGGCCCATCTACAAAGTATTCATTATCGTTATCACGGTTGTCGACTGATGGCTCTAGACCATAGCTGCCATGCTCTTGGTTGAAGCCATCCATATCTTGAGTTAAAGGGGACGCCAGCTCAACGCTACAACGGTATTTGGCTGCAATTATGAAGGCTACCAAAAACAGGCGATGCGAGCATCCAGCCTCGCCTTTGGCATCCTTATTTTTCTATCGTACAAACAAGGATGAAATTGTTTAGAGTTAACTGGGTGTCATGGTCTTAGAAGCATACCCAAGTGTTGCTTCAAAAAAAAATCTTACTGCTTTGAGTCTATCCACGTAAATAAGAGCAAGGGTCAAGGTCAGATTTGGATAAGGAATCCTGAGTAATGGCGGCGGATCCCGTGGTGGACCCGTTTGAAATTGAGGCTCATGCTCGTAGTTCGGACGTCGAGCTTGGTGCGAAAGAAATTGTGACGATGCTCGACTCATGCTTTCATGTCTATCCTGTCGTGCGGAAGAGCGTGCCCGTTGATCAAAGACATGAGGTCCTTCTTGATAGCTTTGTTCATATGATGGTTCGTTTCTATATGGATAGATCACTGATTCATCTTGAGGACATTGTTGAAGTCCAGAATGACCTCTCATTGGTTGCAGCGCTTGATGATGGGCGTTCCGTCGGATCAAATGGTGATGGTAATCGGGTGAGTAGCGGTGTTGTCGACCTGATTCAGACTTAATGGGTCCAGGGCCTAGGAGAGATTCGGATAAACGCTTTAGTATCGTAGTTCATCCGGCTGCAAATGTTGGACAGATCGCAGATTAACATATGCTTGTCCTACCAGACGAGACATTTACAGAGACAGAGTTGGAAGAAGAAGTGGAGTTGATTCTGTTCCCTGCTACCGCCTGCTCTGGCTTGGGTTGATGGGCTACAGCCGAATGTGGTTGTTTATTGGGGATTCCTGCGGTTAGGGATAGGATATGACTGATATAGTTTGCAAGAGTCAATAGGCGGGCCGCATGAGCTGGGTTATTTCTTGCAGCTTCAGGTGATGATGTAGCTGAACTAGACCCTTCCTCAGTAGAACCATCTGTGGATGTAGGTAAGGGAGGTTCCCAACGAGATATGGTCAGGTGTGTGCAGAATGCTATCAATAGGGTGCACAAATGACGCATAGAATTAGAAGCTTGCGGGAGGGGGGGAAAAAAAAAGAAGGAAGCACTGCCCCTTGTGGCAATGGTGTACTTCCTTGGCCTGGAGATACATGTAAATATACTTCTACATGTATTATACATACACACACAAAGTGAAAGAATGGGCGAGAATACGTAACATGCGCGGTCATTGCGCTATGCATGTTTGGCGACGGAAAAAAAAAGAGTGCATGTACGGGAAAAAAGGACGCCACACTCAGAGTGCAGACTTGAAATTGTCAAGGATCATGGTCCAAGTGAATAAAGAACACAACCAAACAGAAATCGAAAATCAAGCAACCATTGTCAAAGACAGCAAACATACTCCCGCGCAAGAGTGGCCCTCCATTCCAAACTTGTGATTTTTAATGACAGCCTTACTTACCAATAGTCCGATATTCGACTTTACCACTATCCATCCGCTGGAGTCTTTCAAAACTCCTTTTCATTTGCGAGCTCTGTCCTGAATAAGCTCTCTGGGTCACCTCATTCCTGAAAAGAGTTCGTGCCGGTACGGGATGCAAAGAGTTGTCTCTAGATTTCATGTCGGAATACAATGTTTGGACTGTAGGAGAGGGATGGCGATAGTTGGGGTCTGCGGTCGATAATGAAGACATTGGGTAGTGTTGATTATGGTGGTAGTATGGTCGTGATGGAGTTTTTGCTGAAGATCGATGGTGGGGCTTCAAGTCAGCCTTCATCCTATCAATCACGGACGGTAGTCGATTGTTAATCCGTGGAGAAGCATATGGAGAGGATCTGTACGTAGAGGAGGCTGATCGAGCTGGTGGCTCGGGGTTGGAGTGTATATGATTGATGGTGTAAGGAGATCCATCAGAGTGACTATAGCTGTGATGATTGCGATGATAGGAAATAGAGGAAGAGCTTGTCTTTGCTACTCGCGGACTTCTGAGTATAGAACGAAATGTATCATCATGATGACTGGAGATGTCTTTATGTGGCAACGTGTTACTGGACCATGTATTATGTATGGGCGAGGGAGGTGGGGAAGGCGAAAGTGAAGATTGACGGGTGCATGGCGCGAAGGGTGCTTCGTATTCTGACCTGAAATTGGGGGAGGCGGAAGGATGGTCGTCACAAGTTTGTGAGGTATTCATGTTTGCAGAATTTTGAGGAGGTTTGATTTTATTGACCAGGGCTAGAGCGTATGTTTGGGGAGAAAAGGACAAGAGGATGAAAGGACCTAAATAAATGCCTCAGAACGTCAAATCAACCGCAGAAGGGATAGAAGATGGATGATGATGTCTATCAGCGCAGTTGTTGTTGCTGTCAAAGAGGATAGAGAACGGTTGGCAGCAATGGAGGGAGGCAGTGGAGTGGATGTCTTTGAAAATCCGACGAGGAAAATAAGATGAAGAAAATGTCTATATCACTGTTGTAATAGCATAGTGCGCCATCAGACTCAGGGGAAAAGTCAGGATTGGGAGTGATTGTGAAGGTGCTTGGAAAGAGAAAGAGCAAGAGAAAGAGCGAGGAGGGCAGAAAAAAGGGAAGAGAGAGACCCTGAAATGGTTTACAGTAATGAGCAGAAAAGAAGGCTTGATGATAAGGAAACTGAAAAAAGTTTTTTTTTTAGGCGAGAAGTCTTGGGTATGAGGATACAGGCTGTAATGTTTAAATTGATGAGTGAGCTGGTGTTCAATTTTACTCCGCGGAACGTGCAAATTCTCTTCTCCCACTCTCCCACATAACATGTACATTTTCGCACACAGAGAATAGATATTTTGGATATGAACGACTTCATCAAAAAAAAAAAAAAAAAAAAAAAAAAAAAAGTATGCATTGTGTATAACTAAAACTCCAAAGCACTAAAAAGAAGGGAGAGGGGGCCTCATGTCTCATATGGATTGGGAGTACAAGGAATCCCTTTGTTCGGTCAAATTTTCAACGACGATCGCTTTTTGCCAGATTTGCTTCCAATCGGGGTTTTGACCCATATTGCCACATGACCGCTTCAATTCCGACTCGAAGCATTTTGTGCACACAACTCCAAAGCTTGGATCTAAATCTATCTTACCCTATTCGAGAGGTAGAACTGATTATATCGTGCATAAACAATCCTACCAACAGAAATGCTTATTAGTTTTTTTTTTTTTTTTTTTTTTACACGCACTCGATTCTTAATCAAGCCTCAAAGAACCTGCTGCTTACAGCACTTTGATATCTTCAGTAATAGGCTCCAAAGGATAAATTGCTAAATGGATGGGAGCATCCTTATTTTTATATGCTTTAATTTTTGGCTTATTCGTCTTGTTTTGAGCAAAATGATCCATAATTCTCTGTCTTAAACCATATCCCTTTCAAAGCTTATTTCTATCTCCAGATTGTTTAGTTGCTTCAGTCAGTGTCGCAGTTCGCCCCTGATAAAGCTTTGACCATTGGTATATATATATGTACACACATGAATATATTATATATATATATATATATATATTTGTCATTGCACAGTATTGGGTTTCGACCCAGACACTGAAGTTCGGTATTATTATTATTATTTTCGCGTCGCGATCAGCTTAAGGCTATATTATTGGATTCCTTGCTGAACAAAATAATACACATGTTTTTTGTTTATGGAGCTGAAGATTACCTTAAACATATTTACTGAGGGCAGAAGAAAAACCTTTCGCATAGTTGACGTATTGGTTACGGTCATGCCCTAATTAGTTTATGAGCATCATGTGTCCGGATGCCGAACGTGGCAAAGTTAACATAGAAGGTTCATCTAAAGATTGTACATAGTGAATAGCCTACTTTAAGAAGTGCTCCCCCACATTGGCACTGACCTAGGAAAGGCAAGCCACCAACCTCTGTCTGAATCGTACTTCCCTAATTGTAATCATTCGACTTCTTTCTTGGTTAATCAGCTCACACGCTTAACTGTCTCAAGAATACATTTCTATATTTCAAAAATAAAAAACACATTTCCATGTCTTCTACCGAGGACAAAAATAAGGATCTGCTAGATCTTTATGATGGCACTGATGACTTGCTCGACTACGGCGATTCATATGATCTTGACACCGAGATTCCAGATTCTGAATTTCAGGCAGTCGAAAATTATGATGAATACAACTTCAGTATTGATGATGATCTCTCACCCGATTCTGTCAAGACTACTATCGCCGCTACTACGGCGTCAACTTCAGATGTAGCGAATATTGCCAACCAAATGGCCGTACCTGACGGCAGCAACAATATCAACCCATATGATACTGCAGAAGGGGAAAAAACCAGGGATGGTGCTACTGAGACTGAAGTCGAGATAGAAGGTGCTGTAGATGCGTCATCATCATCCTCTGCTACAAGTAACAGTATCGCTAATACTGATACTAATGATGCACAAGTTAGTATCCAAAACGGCAATATTAACAACAAGGGTAACAGGAGAACCGATGGATCCCCGGGAAGTCTTCAGGGCCAAAGCAATCAATCCAAGGCTGATTCAACCATAAGCAGAGATAGTGCCAAACAATTCAGTAGCAGTCCCTACTGCAATACATCGCACTCGAGCGCATCGACGCGGGGAGGATTTGGACGAGGAGGACATGTAAATATGCGTGGCCGTGGAAACTTTATGGGGGTTGGACGCGGCAACTACCAAGGCGGCGGTGGTATGGGACATCAGTCTATGATGGGCATGAACATGCCCATGAATGGTATAGCCCTCAACCAAGCTATGGCTCAAGGCATGAACCTGAATATGGGAATGAATATGGGGATGAATATGGGGATGAACATGAATATGCATATGATGGGATTGGGCATGAATGGTCCTCGTTTCTCTGGGTAAGCGCCTATCTTCAATAATTCAAAAAAAAAAAAGAAAAAAAAAAGTTTATGATCAATAATGTTATTCCCAACACGATCTGAAACGTGTTTACTTCTCTTTTTCGTTTCGTGATACTCGTAATAGTGGTTTTGGCAACCAAGGGATGATGCATCCTTTTGGTACCGGGCAGAATATGGGTAGTATGAATGCACGACCTGGCATGACTGTTCCTGGCAGGACGATCCACATTAATCCGAACTTTCAGAACCGTGTGGGGATTCCTGGAGTCCCAGGCATGGGTATGGGTTTAAGTGGCGTCGGAAATGGAGGCATTGTAGCAAGAGATCGCTCCCAACAGCCGCAAATACATAAGCAATCTCAGAATCTGCGATCCCATTATGACGAGTCTAGTAAAGGGCAGTTGCGATCATGGGAAAACAAATCCCTCACTACATCTGATTCAACGGTCCGTTCAGGATCGCGCGATAGACGTGATAATGATCGACATGATGGCAATCAAGGACGTTCCGTAAGTTAATTACTTATCTATATCGTAGCATTACTCTTCACCTACGGCCATACTGATATGATCACGCATATCGATTTTGGATATAGGACGAACATCGAGGAAGTTGCGATCAACCGAGTAGCTCAACTTCGGGAGGGGGATTAGGACGTCGAGATTACGAAAGCCGAGGCATCAGCGACTCACATAGTCCTTCAGAACAAGAAAGAGGAAAGGAAGGTGGATCTTTTGGCAATCGCTCCAATCATCTGGAGCCACGTAAGGATTTGTTTGCCCAATCACAACTAAATACACGAACAAGAAGTCGATCGCCCCAGTCTGTTCAATCTGGAGGAGGTCATAGTTCTATCAACAGTAGATTGGGCTTGAAGCGCTCAGGTGAAAATTTGAACGATGCGTACAAGGCTCATAAATCTAGCGGAGGGAGCACGCCTCGCAGCGAGCAGAGTCGGTCAGGAGCCTTTACTGAAAAGGAAGCAGGATCTGTATCGTTCTTGCGAGATAAGAAAGGACCGTCGGATTCATCACGGGAATCAGATATAGAAGCAAATGGTGCACAGGGAGACAGTGTTCCCAGAGGATTTGTCAAGATGGAGAATGTGCCTGAGTCATTTTCAGATGACTCGATTCGGAGGCTAGCCAGCGACGTTCCCGGGGTCCGCCGCGTTTTGGTAAGACTTGAATTGAAGTTCATTGTCATGATAACGCATTTATGCAAATTTCACTGATTTTTTTTTTTCTTTTTTCTTTACTTTTATATAGAGCATTGCTAAGAAAACCGACCGTACTGTGACCCTCGGGTTTGGCTCGATGGATGAAGCAAAATTTTTCCGTAGACAGATTAATAGGTTTGATATGTTAATTGAGATGATTGCTGCTTTAATGTACAAATATAGTCAATATCCAGGAAACGCTCCCATTCAAAACACTTACTTTTTTCTATATCGTTCGCTTTATCTCTATCACTTTCTAGGACAACAATTGAAGGCTCCTTGGTCACAGTGACCTTGGCTAGTGCGTAAATAACATGACATTCGAATCCGACCCGAAGAGCAATTTTTTTTTCTTTCTCTTTATTCTCATTCGGATATCTATTTTGTATATCTTTGCTATTCTCGTTTAATCCTGCGCATGTTTGAATTGTATTATATTCATTTCTTTATAATTTTTTCCCCCTTTCGGTGCATGCATTTTGTCATTTGATGAGACTATCAACATCAGTGGATTGAACTCAAGGGGAGGGATCTATAAAGTTAATAATGAAGAACCATGTATTCTACTAATGGGCCATTCCAGAGCAGGTGTAGGGATCTAAAGAATGAATATACTGAGTATTGTGCTCAACCTGTACCTTAATGTAAAATAGAAAAATAAAGATGGTACATCATAATATCATCCGTAAAGCTGATGGCAAGAGTGGTGAGAATTGACTTAATGCATGGATTTTGACCGTTTGGAGTCGTAGAGTGGAACAGGGTACCCCGGATCAGGCGAGCCAGGTTCTTCATGATGCTCGTGCAGTGTGTCACCTTGCTGTCGCTGCTGCACACTTCGTTGCGTTTGCTGATGGAGTTGACTCATGCTTAGGTAGTCATGCTCTCCTGGCTGTACATTGCTGGTCATACGGATTAGTCGATGTGAGACATAATCATTCCCAACTCCGTTGCCTATTCCAGTCATGGCTCCGACAATATTAGCACTACTCCCACGCCTGGTGACGGCCGGTGAAGCTGAGTGAGGTGTTAATCGCTTTGGTCCTGATTTTTGCCTTCGATGGTGTGCACTTCTGACCCCAATAGAGTATTGTTGTCCCTGAATCCCAGCCTGAATGGCTGAAGCAGATGCTTCGGCTCTTAGTTGTAATAAAATTCGGTCCAAAGCAAGTTCAATCATCAGCCTGTATTTGAGCATTGACAAGAAGGGCCAAGTCGATTGCTCACCCTTGAGAATCCAGTACTGAATTGACTCGTGGGTTGGATTTGAGATCAAGGTCAAGAAGTCCTGAAGCTGGACTTCAGGGACGATTGTAACGTTTCCAGATACCTTTTCCTCCACTAGCTGCACGAAAAGATGAGGAAGAATCCCTATTTGGTTCAGCTGGATACGTGGGAGCGACGTGAGTTGTCAATTAACCAACCTTACATACACATATATTGCAGTTATAGTGGTTTGAGAGCTTGAATCCTTACCTGGCCCATTCTATGCTTAATCTCCTCCAAGATGACTCTTGCAATCCGCTCCATCATTCCTGCAGAGTAACCAAACCGATCAGATCGACCAGACTTTCGATCCTTCAAACCGCGTGATAGGAATGGGACAATGTAAGGGTTTGCTTGTGAGACAATAAAATGATTGACGTTAAACAGCTCGGAAAGTCTGGTTAGGGGCGTCTCGGGACTTACTGCCCCATATGAAAAGAATGAAGGGGTAGTGGAGTTTGTGTAATTAACGGCTATCACAAAATGTTAAATATTAATATTAACTTAATCTCGTTCAGGATCACGGAACTAAATTAGTAGCAAAGCCACAGTGATGTTGTAATTAAAAGGCTAGTTTATACCTGATGGAGTCCATCTAATAATTCGACCGGATTTATCCTTAGCTAGAAGATCCGCAGCAGAAGAGAATCCCAGCATTGAAGCCGACGTGCACGCTGCGCTACTAATCAGCTATGGGTAATATAGTGTATAGTACATGTGATATAAGTCCCACGGTGTTGAGCAGAGAATATCAGTCGTAAAATTAGGGGGAAATAAATCATGATACTTACAACATTAGGGGATGTGATGTAGTTAAGAAGTTTTGGGCCTTCAGACTTCCGTGATGAGGGCACCGTGATATTGAGGACACGCTTCGTTTTTTTAAATGCTTCCTAGGAGGGTATCCGAAGTAAATAATTATCCGAGGTAGGTTAATCTCCAAAGCATTTTTTTTTACTTATATCAGACTTGCCATGAAGGATACTCATACATCAAATGTCAAATTTCCAACGTTGGTCTGAATACACTCCTGTAAAACTTTGATGTCAATAAGATATCCTATATGCCATAATAAAATTTTATTTTAACTAGTCGAACGGACAATGTAATTATGATTACGAGAATTGAAGCTTTCAACGTCCACATACCTTCAGTCATTAGACGCGTGATCTTTCGGCTCAGGTTACCCCTGACTCCAACACGCTGAAATGCCCGGAGATCAATGCCGCCTTCCTCGAAAATACTCTTGAAGATAAGGACATGCAAATATAAATACTTTTTAGACATTTTGATTTTTCTTGGTTTTCCAACTAAGCAAGCCATGAAGGCTAATTAAAACAAACGATATTGAGTTGCAAACATACAGGCAATTCTTCATCCGTTTTGACGCAAACTAATGCTGCCACCAAGGCACCCACGGAAGCACCACTAATGATGCGAGGTAAAAGTCCATGTTCAAATAGAGTCTTGACCACACCCAAATGGTACATGCCTATTAGCAGCTCAGCATGTAATCACTCATTCAGTTTTTTTTTTGTACAATAGGTTTAAGCATGAAACAAGTTGGTCCAAAGTCGTTGTCATTACCAAATGAAGCACCTCCATGAAGTAGAAGCGCAGAACTTCCAAAGCTCTGTCTTGTTTCCATGAAAAAATCTATTTTTGCCTGTCTTGAGAGTGTAGCGTGGCTAGTCTCGGCTACATGTTCAAGCTGTGAGACTACTTCATCCATATACGACTCGATCAAATGCTTCGTGCCTAGATAAGAGTGGCAAAAGAGTCGTGGGTCTGTAATCCCACCCAAGTTCCGGAGTAGTCCGGAACGGAGTAGGTACATCATGGCTGAAACATCTTTGGACTCTCTAACAAGCTTGAGGTGATGTCTCCGTGAGAGAATCAAGTTGTAATCATAGATATTGGATCGGTGATTGTTACGCCATACATCAGACCCAGTGAGGATGTCAAGCTCGGTGGCTCTGGCCAGCCACTCATCAAAGTTTTTGGAATGTGCAAGCTCGTTCGTCATACGATCTACAAGATTACGGTCCACAATCATGGACCACAGGCCCTACAGGTATTGAGTAAGCAAAATAAAAACAGAGATGAATAGCATGATCCTTTCATGCCTATATCCTGACCAACTTTATTATTCAATCCCCTGCTTTTATTGAAAGAAAAAGGAAGAAATACTTCAGCCCGTAGGAAATACCTTCCATGAATATATGATCAGCTGTAGCAAAGACGCAGAAATAGTCGCAAGTAATTGTATGAGTGAGTCTATAAAAGGTATCTATATTAAAATAGGACCATACGATAGCGACCACAAATTACAATAGGCCGGAAGTTTTAGCTTCTGTTGTACTAAATATTCATGGTTCAAGGTGTTAAAAACATGTAGGGCCAATAACCCGACCATTCTGCTTTGCCTGACTGAGTGAATGATGATGGTTCTGAGGAATGGGAAGATGAAAAAAACTGTCTGGTGAACAAATGGAAATGATTAAGAAAAGAAGACAATGGACCGATCTCTCTCTCTCTCTCTTTCTCTCTTTTGCTTCCCTCTTATGAAGAATGGCAGATTTACAAATGGCATCGTGTCTGCACGTGAAATCGATGTGAAGCGCGTGAATTTTCGTAACGTACCTTTTTTGATTGAAATGAATTTATCAAAATGAATAACAGTCGTATCCTCCCACATGTCCAAGTTCTGGGAGCAGTGGGAGCAGAGCTCTCTTACAAGAAACAGGGGATGGCTCAAAACCTTGTTCAGCTGAAATCAGCTCTATCCAAGCGCTCGAAATCGTTGGGCGCTCGACCAACCAGAGTAACCTCGATGACTTCATATCGTATCGCACAGCTGGAGTTTTATCCCTTTGACCAATTGAGTGTGCTATTTTATATATCATTGGTGCTATTTTACCAACCAACTGAGCCAAGTGGCTTACCAATTTTACTTAACTTTCAAACCAAATTCGCTTAAGTTTTATTCAACTGTAATATCGACCCAGAGGTTCACCTCTGAGTGCTATTGATATGTTCCTATTGACCTCACGCATCCACCCACAGCACATTGAGGGGGTAATACAGTATCATATTTCGAAGACTTGCCTCAACGTGCTCTGTTAACATTTCTTGCTTATCTATCTAACTCTTGGATCCTTACATCGGCCTTAACATGACCAAAGACCCATTCAGTCGTATTGAAGCGAGGGGTATATGGGGGTAGGAACAAGAATGTAAGACCATGGCTTCAATTACTTTTTTGATCTCTGGGCTTTTGCGGAACTTGACATTGTCCATTACTATTACCCTTGGCGCTTGGAGACTTGGGTGTATGTGTTGAGGCATGTATCCATTGAATGGTGTATATGTTGATAGATGTGTTGAGTGTGTCTAGATATATATCAACAAACAGTTACGAGTTAAAATGATTTAAAAGTGAGCACATTTGGTTGACATGTTAAGTGGAGTTGGGATTTATTTAAGCGAATCTTCTAGCAACTTAAGCTAATTTCCTAAAAATATAAGCACACTAAACTGACCAAAGGGATATGATATTTCGTTGAATGCGTGCTCGATTTAACAAACGACGTGTCGCCCCCACTTCCTATGTTCGACTATTCTTGGATTACACTCTTATTCTCACAGGAAATGTTATGATGAACGAGGCTCTGAATCGAAATAAAAAGCAATAATTAACAAGCGATACTGCACGCGTAACGATGTGTAATGCTTTCAAAAATTGAATGCACAAGATAAAGATTTAGTTTGCATATACTATATGTATTAAGATGGAGTATTTTCTGATCAGACAGGTCTCACACCATTGATTAGTAACTAAAAGTAGAGCTATACTGATGATTATTAGTGCATTAGAGTGTAGTGCGTGTGTACTTGTCGTTATTACATGTAGGCGCTTGCTTCGGATGTGTAAAAGAAATAGCTGCTAGCTGTTGATGCCGTAGCAAAGAGTGAAAGTGGGGATAAAAATGCCAGAATACCAGATGGTTGCTCATTTTCAGACACTATTCTTGTTGGTGTCCTTGTCCGTGGAGTCCTTCTTGATGCTGCAGCTCAGATGCAAAAAAAAAAAAAAAAAAAAAAAAAATAATAATCACACATTAGAATTAAGTTTTAAAAAAAGGCATGAATATGCAATATGTAAATATGTATCGGTCTGTTCACCTTGAGAATAGTCCCTCTTACAAATAGGACAGATACCATGAACTTCTTTGAACCATGGATCAATGCAATCGCTGTGAAAATAATGTTTGCAAGGTAACTCCCTCAACTTATCCCCAACTTCATATTCTTCTAGGCAGATTGCGCATGGATCATATCGTCTCCTTCTGGCCCTCTTCTTAAGCTGTGTTGTTTTTATTGGTCCTGCAGCTGAAGCTGAGGCTGAACTATTGTCGCCTGTCATACCAGTTAGTGTATCTGTAGTAGTTACAGCCATGCCTTTATCATTACCATTGAATTTACGAGTCTGAGGATAGCCTTCTACAGAAGCGCTTGTTGAGTTTATCTGCTGTTGGGTGCTGCTATTGCGGCTATGAACTCTAACGAATTGGTTCCCAATACCACAAAGGCCCTCAATTTGTTGCTGTCGTTTATTGTCGCTCTGCTGCTTCATTGTATGCTGAGGGTTCAGATGAATGCTCTTATCCTTATGGGCTTCACCTGTATTCAGAGAAAGCCTAGAAATTTTCCTTTGTATTGGCATATCATTATTATCGGGATGGCTCTGAGTGGAAGATGGTTGGTCGAGGCTTCTCCTGTACAGCTGTTCTGGCGATTGATTCTGATGTTTTCTCGTTGTTCTTTGATCAGTGTGGATATGGAGTACCCCAACACCACATCCATCATCGGGATCACTTCGCTTTTTGCTACCATACTCAGACTCTCTGTCTCCAGGAGACGAAAGCAACGATGCTGGCGAGCCTTGCCAGTGAATTTGTATAGATGGCCTACGGAGAATCAGTCTGAGTGAACTGCGCCAATCTGGTTGCGCGGCTCCAAAACCGTTGTCGGACATGATCACTGCACTCAAGCTTGGTCGCCTACGCTCGCCAGCCCGCTCTGCTGGAGCAAGGGACTCAGCGATACTGGCCTCTAGAGAACTGGAGTTATCATCAGAAGATGCTGAGGTGGCCACATCCGTGAGTGAGACAATGTTTAATGGTAGCGGACCTGTTTTGAGCTTGCGTGGCAGGGTAAAACGGTCATCATGCTGCAACGTTGATTGAGAGCATAGAGCTCTTGTCTCTAGAACGCCTGCAGTACTAGCCCTTCTAGGTGTGGTTGTTTTGGTTATATCTCCGTCTGTAGGCACGAAATATAAGGATGGCAATGACCTTCGGCGACCACCAAGCGATTTGACTACCAGCTTGGGTCCAGCATCAGACCTTGAGTTGCTTTTGACATATGATGTCGCAATATCCCTGCCGATCTCCAAATTCCTCCATCCCTCCTGTGCATGCGATTTGTATTTTTTCTCTTGAACATAATCATCATACATACTATTCTTGTCCCCAAAGTCAGCATAATTTCCAAATTTGTTTCCTACCCAGTTATGGCATCGCTTGTTATGATCTTTGGCTGCAACCGACTTCACCGCAGGATGACATCCTGTAAATAGGCTTGACTGCATGCCAGTGGATGCACCTAGCCCGCCATATAGGGTCTCGTCAAAGGATCCACCCCTTCGTTCCATTCCTAGCGAACCTCTAGCAGAGCCCGCATAACTACTTTGGTCCATAGCTGGTATTTGTGGAACGCCGAGACCCGTGCGAGTGGGCACGCGCTGCCCGCAATGGTATAGAGTACCAATTAGTTGTGTATCACTGTTGCAGCGCCTCCGGTTTTCTTGATCTATAACAACTTTTTCAAGATCCAGGTGCTGTTGTTGTCCTAAACAATTGGTTATATCAACTACACCATGGGAAGACCCAGTGTTGTGGAAAGTTGCTGCTACTTCATCTGATTTGTTTTTTTCATTGTTTTTGGCATCCTCATCCTCACTTTCGCCGTCTGTATAAACAATGTCGTCCTCTTGAAAGATCCTAATCTTGTAAGTGTCCAGAACCTTTTGATCCACAGTCCTAAGCCTGATGTTCTCCATCACAACCTGCCGCCTCCTATGAGACAATGAGCGAGCCTCAATCACACCAAACCCGGCCCTGTAAGTTATGCAAGTGAATATGTTAAAAAGAAAGTGAATACTTTGTCATGAAAGTGCAGATGGGACAAAAAAAACACTGGCAGGCACTTTACCAAATACTGACAATGAAGGCTATGAATCCCAAAGCGATCCAAAAGAAGAGGCCCAATGAGCGATCCGCTATAGGATGTTCGTTAGTAGTTGGCGGGACATGTGTCGATGTAGGGTTTCTTGGTGTGGTAGGAGGGTTATTAGGTTCAAGGGCACGATTTGTGAATGTCATTTGTCCAATCACGAATTCGCCCTCAGTTGCAATGCTCGTGCTTAAAATCTTGATCAATCTAGGGTCACTGAGTGCCATAATCCCGATAGTAGGCATCCTAGCTTGCTGAGGCTGTGTCGACGTAGATTTCGTACTGGAGAAGGCAGCAGATGAATTTGTATCTTCAGCCTGGAGTTCTGTGGAATCAGGCGGGGCTTCACTATTCATGCTTGATTTTGTTGAGACTTGTTGACCTTGAGAGGTTTCACTATGTTGTCGCTCTGAGGCTCCTATCTTGGCCAAAATTTCACCTTTTGAAAATCCTCGTAGCGCACGCTTAGTCAGGAGTCCTTCCTTCAGTGGGGCTTCAAAAGCTCGTGTATTCTCTGGACCCTGGCTGCGAAAGATGTGTTGGATTGCACGCTCTGTTTGAGCTTTCACCTCTGCAAACGAAACCCTTGCCTTGTTATCATCGTATATGATCATACCCGTAGCATGCTCTGAAACCGCTTGAATGATAGATATAAGCATAGATACATCACAGCGATTTCTGCCGTCTCCTTCACTGGTGTCATTTGAATTTGATAGGTTGTTGGAAAGAAGCGCCGATGACACGAATGCTATCCAGGGGTGCTCTGTCGGAGGATAGATGGATAGTGAGCCGCCAAGGTCGCATGCAATCCTCCACTCGACCAGTACACCCTAAGTTCATTTTGAAAAAGAATTAGCGTCCATGAAGCGGCAAAAAAAAAAAAAAAAAAAAAAAAAAAAAAAAGACACGATATTTCTGCATACCGTCAGGGGCTCTTTACTTCCAGCTCCAAACATCTGCGAATCATCCACATGATAGATTTGACTAGTTGCGATGGCCAAACTCGAAGTAGGTAGTAGTAAAGGTGTGCTACCATTGGTACTGTTTTCCTGGGCAACTGAGTCATTACTTGCAGGTAGCGATGTGGTAGATGGCGGTGACAAAGTAGAAGAAGGGGAAGAAGGAGAGGGAAGATCCAGGGCTGCAAAGAAAGACATATTAGGGGCTATTATCTGCATTAAAGGTTTCTGAATAAATCCTGTGGTAAGGTCGACGACTGAAGCAGGGGAGAAGGAGGCGGAATTTGAAGCCACTGATCTTAATGTATCATGACTAGCGATGTCCTTCTGAGCGGGACGAAGGGGCCGCAGAATTGTGTTGATAGGATATGCATGGGTCAAATTCGTCAACTTGGTGGTGGCGAACCCACTGAGGATGACAAAGAAACAGCACAAATAGAGGCACTGTGCCATCTTGAAAGCAATAGTGAGCATCACTATCTTTTCTTTTTCCTTTTTTTTGCGATGTTGTCAATTTTATCTTCTTACAGTGAATACTATATGACAATGTCACTAGTGAAAACGGGGACGGACAACTCCCGTGAGAGGGATGATGTTCACTGGCTCCCCTCTAGACTCTACGTCAGTAATAGCCTTCGAGAATTTATAAGATCTTAATATTGTTAAAAAGAAGACGTGGATATGGATGCTGTGTACTAGGTTCTGACTAATGGGCGAAATGTGCTTTGGCCACTTTTATTAACTGGTGGTAGAGAAAAGATTGCACAGAAGCCAACGTTGGTTGCACAACTGTTGGAGAAAGGGAGACCACCCTGCCTGAGGCAATCAATAAATGTGTAATAAAACCAGAATGATAACGTCCAAAAATGGTGAGAGAATGTGGGATGTCAATGTCTGTTAATGACTGTCGTGATAATGGGTGGAAAATTAAGCCTTGAACAAACACGAGCGAAGGAAAACAAGAAATGGACAAAGGGATAGACGAATATCAGAAAGGATGCCAAGATGAGTGTTGGAAAATGGAGTGTGTGAAAGTAAGGAAACGAGGAGGAGTAAGCTGAAAGGGATGAAAATAAGAATGGAAACAGGAGGATACCGATACCGATTCAACTGGTAAAATATATAGTGGATGATATGAAAGAGAAGAATAGGGGAAGAGAGAACCAAAGAGAGAACCGAAGAGAGAGTGAGAGGGCTACAACGCAACCTTGTGTGAAAATCAGGATGGAGGACAAGGCTCCAATTGCAGGTACTGCATAAAATGTATGTCTGGATTGCAAATCGATGTCAAGATGTTTATTTGTTCTTTTCTCCCTGACCCTTTTTTCTCGTCATTATCATCTCGATATTTCATATACTCACAAGCACATTCCTGAGAGTTCCAGGCAGTATTTGTGAACGAAAAACCAGAGATAGCGACCATTCTGCCCCGCTACGCTTTCTTAAACTTTCTTTTTATCAGACTCTTAACAAATCCTTCATATACAACCCATAGTTTAGGGAGGGATGCATCCTGATCATGGCGCTTCTCAAAATAAGACGACTGACAATGCGGACTATGCAAGTGACATGAGTGCCGCGGATGACACTCAGACCGGTTATTGCTTGCAATGCAACATTTTTACATAATAGCCATTCTTTTTAAGGCTATCTCATCTGATAATGGTAGTGAAAAAGTTATTCTTGATCAGAAGGGTTCCATCCTTCTGGGACATACATATCGAGTCTTCTTTCCTTATTTTTATCCCGAAGATCGATTAAGGAATTTGATCGCCTCCTTTAAATGCCTCTGTTATAAAGTGCTCCCTGGATAGAGTGTAATAGATTGAAATATGGTGCGAACGATAAAAATAAAGTGAAAAAATGCAGATGAGGAGGAATGATGAATTTGGTGGCAACGTTCCCTCGATTCCTCAGATTTCAGTTAAGATTTTTATTTTAGGATTGAATAGAGAGGTGTTGCTGCAAACAAAACTAAAACTACAAATCAGCAATCTTGACCACTTGCTTTCCAAAGTTTTTACCCTTGAGCATGCCAACGAAGGCATCGGGTGCATTCTCAATACCAACGGCAATATCTTCCTTATAGACAATCTCTCCGTTCATCAGCCATGACCCGACATCTTTGGCAAAATCAGCACCGCATTCATCAGCAAAATCGCTGACAATGAAGCCACGCATAGTAATGCGCTTGGAAACAATATGGAACAGGTTACGGACGCCATAGGGATTGGGCGTGTTGTAGACACTGATCATTCCGCAAGCAATGACACGACCGTGATTATTCATCACCTCCAGAGCTGCTTCGAGGGTCTCACCGCCGACGTTTTCGTAGTAGATGTCGATACCCTTGGGTGCAGCAGCTTGGAGCTCCTTCAAGATATTTCCCTTCTTGTAGTTGAACGCGGCATCAAATTTAAGTTCCTTAAGCAAATACTCGACTTTTTCGTCTGATCCAGCGGATCCAATGACACGAAGGCCAAGCTGCTTAGACATTTGACCTACTAGCTGTCCAACAGCACCAGAAGCAGCCGAGATGAAAATCGTCTCACCGGCCTTGGGCTTCCCAATGATCTTGAGAGAAGAATAGGCGGTCATGCCCTGTTCAAGGAAAATTAAAACAACTAAGTTTGTTAGTTGACTGGCTGCGACTTTTTTATATATCTGAAATGCCTTGAAAATGACCTACAGGCATTCCAAGGACACCGATATAGACTGAAAGTGGAACTTTAGAATCTCGAGCATTAAGGATGGCACGAAGACCTTGAGCACCGGGCACGACACTGTACTGCTCCCAACCAACCGTGCCAGTGACGATGGTGCCAACAGGGAAAGAGTCATTCTTAGATTCGATGACCTCGGACACACCTCCGCCATTCAAAGGCTCACCAATGACAAAGCTAGCAGTGTAGGACTTGGTTGTATCTCTCATCTTGCCACGCATGTCTATTGATGTAGGAAACCAGAAATAGCCACATTTAGCATTCATGGGACTGTACGTACAATAACTGCAGCAGCCGCCAAAATACATTAAACCCGTTTCAACCCATACAAGGATCCAGAGAAATGAAGAGATTGCGGACAAGAACATCATTGGGCTTAAGATCAACATCGAGCTCCTTGGTTTCGACAGCAAAATGTTCACCGGGAACAGGATACTCGACGGGATGCTTTAAGAAGATCACAGACTTATTCTGAACCATTGTGATGTATATAAATGGAATAGGGAATAGAGAGAGTTACTATGGTAAGGCTACTGCAATGAACGGGTAATGATGTAAAATGAAAAAGAAAAGAATACAATAAGGATAATGGTTGGCTTTTATAGTTGTTTCTCAAGGGTATGAAACAAGCTGTTCATGGAAGCCTATAGAAACAAAATTAGTTTGGATATCATTAGTTATGCTATCGTGGCAATAAGATGAAAGAGGGTGATGAAAGCCCCATTGTAAGGCTCCCACTATCTATTTAGAAATTAGGAAAAGAATATGATCGCGAACATCGGTTGCAAAATATATTATTTCGAGTTAAAACAGAACAATGATCGAAACTATTCCATTTTGGGATTACCTCTTCCTGATAAACGATTTTCCGACGGACGAACTCAGTCTTGACTAATTCTTGACCAAACAACATTGCCGTTCTTTAACTCACAACCCCTTGGCTGGTGACAGCCTGGTCAATGCATGGAATTTGTGTTTGTCAGACATCATGTCCTTCTTTTTTTTACAATTCAAGAGTTTAACCTCTTTATCCGATGTGGTCCTCTTTGAATTCTATTTATTTGTCTTTAGTCCTTCATTTTTATGATTATTCTGAAGGAGTTCGTACATTTGAATATGAGATCAAACCAAGGAAGGAATGTCCTGCCATCTTTCATTAGGCGGTAGATATTTAATATATGGAAAAGTTGGTGGTTAGTGAATTATTTCCTTGAGCTCTTTTATTACTAATATTGCTACACAAGGGTTCTCACAACCCCCCAGCACGGTATCCTTCGAAACTAATACAATGAATTGATTATGGTTCTTCATCCTCCTTGCCTCACACCCATGAACTGACATGCCACTGTTATAATATGCAATTGCCAATTATTCTACGTCATTTCATTATTTGTATGCTCTGCTATCCCGACAGATTGTAATCTTAACATGCGACCAACTCAACCGCTCAAAATGTTATTGCCCAGAGAGTCCTACCGAAAAGTTTCAAGGAATCTTATGATATCCGTTACCTCAGTACAAAAAATCAGGACAAGTGACAAAGAAAATATCCTTGAATCGAAAGGAGACTCGTCTTAAAAAGCTACTAACGGAGCTATGTATATTCTTGAGATTTTGATATGAAGAATCTAGTGGAAAGAAGTTCTGCCACAAAAGACGAGGTAACAAGACTCTACGACCCCATTGCATCAAGAAGACAGGGTGGCGGAGAAAGTTATGAACTGGAGTTCCATTACCAGATATGGTCCAGGCAACACTTAATGTAATGATTTAACATGAATATTCTCAAGAGATGGATTTGAATTCAGTATCTCAGCAGAACAATGCCAAGGCACATGTCGCAAAAAATTAAGAAAATTGTCCTGATGTTAACTCAATAAAGTTGGTGTGACATTTCAAAAAAGCAAGTAATTGAATGACATGGATGAACAATTATCACCTGTATGCCAATTGTATCAGCGATGACTGGAGATCTGGCAAAAGTGAATGAGGAGCCATAATGTCAGGAAAAATGATCAGAAAGAAATTGAAATAATTGAAATTTACATTTTTTTATTCAGAAGCAGCACATTCTTTCGCCTTTCGCCTTTCACCTTTCAAATAGATCAACGTAATAGGATTCCCAAACATTCGCAAACAATAACGGGAAGGGCATCAAGCGGATTCTCCATTGGCACTTTCTGCTCATAATTTTATTATTAACCGATCCGCATGGCGCACTCTAACTCATCCTTTCGTGCCACACAATGGGACCCTGTTCTTATCCTCGTATGGGCCATCCATTTGTCACTTTCATACAACCGGACTCTAACAAAAATAAAATGAAGTCTCGTACTGATTATTTTCGTCGTTTTCTGATGCCTTTTATACACCTCTTTAGTCACAAATCGTTTGCCTGCAAGCTGTTTGGTACATATCCATTTCCACCATCGTCTTTACGCTCTTCAAGTTCTCAGGCATGGATATTACATTGGACGCAATCCTTAATTATCGTGAGATTCGTACCGATAATGCTCAGGGGATGCTGTTGGGCCTTGCATGGCTGCTTAACTCAATCATCGGGTAATAAACAGTTGGTTCGGTTGTCATGATTTTTTTTTTTTTTTTTTTTTTTAAAAAAAAAAAAGTGGTTAAATATGTTTTCCCTTTCCCTTTGCATGACAGAGTCTATCTTCTGCTCAAGATTGTTGCGCGCGCACGCCTGGTGCTTGACTTTTCACTCACGCTTCTTCTCTATCATGTCATCATGACGAGTCTTTATTCAGATCACATTCCTACTGGTTTCCTGTGGTGGGCCTTGAACGGAACCACAGCTGGAATCATGATCTTTGGGGGAGAATACGTTTGCATGCAACAGGAGATGGAGCCAATCTTGCTGGGTGGAGGCAGTAGTAGCAATAATGGTGGTAATAGCGATCATGAATTACAGTCTAGATCTGCATCAGGAGCAGGATTAGCTTCAACTTCAGGATCAGGGTCAGGAAATAATAGGAATAATAATGATAACAATACAGGTTCTAGCAGTATTAATAATAATGAAAGTATCAGTAATCAGAGCACTATCAAAGGTAGTCATCATCTTTCATTACAAGGCAAAGCATTAACTGGGATCCATGATGGATACAGCTATGGTGAGTCGGATTCTTTACTCATGGAGACCTTTGACAGCCATTCCCCGGATCAACAGCAGCAGCAACAATCGTCTTCCTTATCTACTTCATGGTCCATACAGCCACAGAAGGCTCGGTCCAGTGGCAATGCCAGCGTAGTACGGTCAGGGTTCGCACGCTCTAGTGTCATTCTAGGAAGCCATAAACAAGGACGTCAGCGGACTTCAGATAATTATAAGATAGTTCCTATCTCGGACATTGGAACTGATTAAAAAAAAAAAAAAAAAAAAAAAGAAACCTACTATTTCTTCCCATCAATAAAGCATTAAAGTGTATTTCATTTATAGGTCCACAGCCGGCATAAGGAATTCAGCAGCAACATGATATCATTACATCTGTTTATTGATTAGAAAATATTATCAGGCAGTGCCTGAAAAGTTATGGAAGACAAAAAATGGTCTGTATTTTACATTTGTTTCAGCGCAGACGATCAGTAAAGACAGGATACTGAAATACATTAATAGGAGAAACAGCAAATAAAGTAAAAGGAAATAGAAATTCTTCTTTCTAGCGCACAATTGGTTTGCCTTCGATTGCTCGGCGAATCTCTTCTTGTGTTAAGGTCTCATATTCTACAAGGGCCTTAGCCAAACGATGCAGCTCCTCTTTATGTGTCTTAAGCAGTAGCTGTACCCTGATATTTGCAGCTTCGATCAGACCTTTTGTTTCCGATTCAATCAATTGTTTCGTTGGCGTCGATAATACTGCCATGTCCTCTTCTGTATGAGCTACTGGTCCGACTTTATCACTCATACCGTACTGCGTTACCATTGCCTTGGCCACCCTTGTCGCGTGGACAATATCACTTGAGCATCCACTTGTCACATTCTCTGCTCCAAAAATCATCTCCTCTGCTACACGACCCCCCATCGCAACATCCAACTGTGCCAGGTACTCTTTCCTTGTGAAGCTATCTTTGTCCATATCTGGCAACTGCACAGTAACACCCAAAGCATTTCCACGGGGCATGATTGTCGCCTTGTGAAGTGGCATAGCGCCTGGCGTATAAAGTGCTACCAGAGCGTGGCCACCTTCATGATATGCTGTTAACTTTTTTGATTCCATCGTCACAACTTGGCTGCGTCGCTCTACACCCATCAAAATCTTATCCTTGGCATGCTCAAATTGTTTGATGCCCACTTCACTAACGCCTTCACGCGATGCTTGGATTGCAGCTTGGTTGATCAGATTTGCTAAATCAGCTCCAGAAAATCCCGGGGTGCCTCGTGCAATTACCGAAATGTCCACAGAGGGGCTAGTATTAATATTCTTGAGATGATGTTTCAAAATTTGCATTCTTCCACGGACGTCTGGCAAGGGAACATTCACGTGCCGATCAAAGCGACCAGGTCTGACTAATGCTTTATCTAGCAGTTCAGGGAAATTAGTTGCTGCGATGATGATAACGCCTTCCGTCTGCGAAAATCCATCCAGTTCGACCAACAGTTGATTCAGAGTCTGTTTCATATATGTTTGGTCCTTTGGGTTACGTCTTGCTCCGATTGCATCTAGCTCGTCAATGAATACGATACTGGGTGCTCTGCTTCTTGCTGCTGCGAACAGTTCGCGAACTCTCCGAGCCCCGACACCAACATACATCTCATCAAACTCACTTCCACTCATAAAGAAGAATGGAACACCTGCCTCTCCTGCGACAGCTCGAGCCAACATGGTTTTACCGGTGCCTGGAGGTCCAGTCAAGAGTACACCCTTGGGTAGCTTACCACCAAGCTGATTATACTTGTTAGGATCCTTTAAGAATTCCACCACCTCTTCTAACTCTTGCTTAGACTCATCTACGCCCTGAACATCCGAGAATTTAACGTTGTTTTCAGATGAGGGTTCGAACTCTGTTTGACTAGGCGCCGGCTTTAATAACCCAGAGTTCTCAAAGACCAGAGATAGGAATGTCAAGATGCAAAACGCATAGGTAACAGTGATACCTAGCCACCTTAGTCCTCGCCATAACATATATCCTTTTGTAGCTATTCTCAGAAAAGTAAAAACAGGGAAGGTTTAAGAAAGTGTAAATTATAATAGTTATTTTCATGTCTCAGCAGGCGAAAGCCGAAATGCGAAAGAGGTTTTCGTCATCCTAACGTACTTTTACTATCATCCATCACCACATAAATAGGGTTGCCTTTGTTGCCTGCAGCGGCCAATGCGTCTCCCATGGCAACTCCTCCACCATTCTCCAAAGTTGCAATATTGTTCGGTCGACGTAATCCCTGCCCTATACTATTGATCACTGCCTCAGATTCTGTGGCAAGAGGCTGGCGTTGAAGTCGCTGGAGAAGCTTAGGCACGATTTGTTCAGCTTGATTCGTTCGTGCTAATGCGATTGCATAGTATTGCAACGATGCCTCTGAGGTGGCAAATTTGCCGGATTCGAAACGCGATATAATAGCGCCGTAGTCATCTATTCGTAAGAGCTCCTATAAACAAATTAATAAATGATAGTAAAAAATAAAAATGAAAGAGAGTAATTAGAATTGGGTACAAGTTTCAAAGGATGTCTCACGCCGGTAACCAAGGATCGTCCCAACCGTAGCAACGGTTATCGGCAGTCATTAGAAGAGCGCTTGCCTTGTAAAACTCTACTTGAGCAGCTGGATTGTTAGGGTTAGCCATTGCCTCCGCCTCCAGTTTCTGAAGCTTGCGGTGATTAATGAATCGGAAAGATGAATAGCTGCGGCATCCTTGACCCGACATGGCAGCTCGACTATTTGGAGAAGATATCAACAACGACTGGTTATTGGTCCATGACTCTACTCCATTACACCCACCTAAGATCCGAGAAAAGTTTAAGATAAAAATATTAATGCTAGAAGTGGCACTTGCTGCTACATTGAAACAGAAAACAGGAACTAATCTCGATAAAAGCTTTTTTTGCGATTTGGCGGCTACTGTTAATAACTTCTTTACCTCGAAGCCAACCACGCGTAGAGCTACGTGTTGAGGAAGTGGCACTACTGGAAGCAGCAGTAGGATGACGCTCTCCAAGCTGCTTTAATTGACCTATATAAGTAGCATGTTATAATGCCAACAAATAGTAGAGGGAAAAGGAGGGTATAACATTTGTGTAAGCCTTCGTCATTTTCCAGAAGCCGAGCGATCCCGAGTCTCTCTGACTTGTTTTTACACCATTGCTCATCTGGCTCGATATAAATATAACGAAGCACTCCCGTTGAAGAGCTAGGTCCGACGTATAGACATTAAACAATTGAACGAGCGTAACCTATGTATTCCTGCTTCCGTATTTAAGTACTCACCTTTGACTTGCAACAAAAGTGATTCAACATGCGCCGTGGTCACAGTCTGGGAACTCTTTTCCAGCGCCGTCACGGACTGGCGAAGAGTTGACAAAGACAATGCGCTGCTCTTAGCTGCAAGTTTGAGGCATTCAGGAATATGGATGTGGCCATGTCCTGATGCTCTGGCTGACGTTGCTGAAATCATGTTTGAAGTGCTTCGTGGAGATCCAGTTGCAGCTTTGACAGTAGCAGATGCCTTGTTGCGTACATGTGAGGATCGTGAGGCAGCGCCCATTGGCAAAGGTAGTGAGCTGAGATAAGTTGCCGATTCGGCGACTACGGCCATGATCTAGCGATGGTATTCATTTTTCATAAAAAAAGAGGAGGGAGAAGGTTGTCAATGACGTGAAAGAGGTAGCTTTCTTTTCTCTGTGAGATATGTTGAGTCTGGAGGATGTAAGCAGATTGGAGACGTATGAGCAGTACCTGCTGCGAAAGCGAAAATGCTTGCATCAGTGGCGAATGAGGGAGAAGAATAGTCGAAGATCAGGAAAAGGAGGCGTTGTAAGATGAAGGAGGAAGAGAAGAAACGCGCGATGCAACATGCAAACGCACACAAATGCAATCCTAGAAAGGAAAAGCAAGAGAGACTGATTCCTTAATTCCTCGTCTCATTTTACTAATATCATTATTTCCACACAATTCAAGCCTAAACAATCATAATTCCTTATCCTTCATTGCTGGCGACTATCTCACAGGCCGCATCGCCACAGCACATGGAAACATTGACCCTCAAAAATGTCAAAAAGGCATTCATGTCACACGATGTCTTGCAAGGACGAAAACAAAAGGCTATAATTCAAGCATCTGAATCAATAGTTGGCTCTTTACTTCAAAAGCCCTAATGCTGATGAAAAGCTTTGGCAATTTCTCTTGTACTGTTAATGTTGGTGGCTGTTTTGAGAAGCAAAAAAGATTCATGGGCTACATAGTAAGCGCTTGTCTTCGATGAATAATGTGGGAAGGGACAATCATGGGAAACACAACAGCCTAAGGGATTCATCCGGAGGGGAGGGGACAAAGCACAGGCGAAGGCGAGGGCTTTAGTGGAACAGAGCGCACAAGCTACACCAGGGATGCGATTCTCAAGTCGTACATGATCCTCCAAATTTTTCAAGACATCTGCGCCTTGCTGCTAGATCAAATTTGAAGCGCGTCGCCAAACTCAATAATTGATCCAACCGTGGTGGGTCAAATAAATGAAAAACTGACAACCATCCAGTGAGATCTGGATTTTCTGTAGCAGCCATTAATACAGGAATAGAAATCTACTCCTCAATACATTTTGAAAATAGAAAAGTATGAGGAACCCATGTGGTCTTCCTTTTGTCTTCACAGCACATCAAAGTCGATTTACTCGAGCACCAAGGTAAAGAAAAGATGGATTGAAAAGATTAAAAAGCAAAACCTCAGAGTCCGACTAGGCCGTCCACTCTGTTATAGGGATGTTCCTTGCAGGTGCTTATCGTGCCCAGCCGACAAAGGGCTATCTCACTATTATAGTATATGAGAGCTGCAGCTTCAATGTATAGTTAGGGTCGCTATCTCTACAACCACATTCAAGAGTTACTTCTGTTTTAAGATAATAGGGAAGTTTCATTTATTTTTATTGACATTTGATATCAACGTGTAGCAGGCCTTGGCTGCCTTGTGATCTTGGTAGATGAATAACCCAGATCCAGTCTTTATTCCTCATATATCGGCCAAGCATTAGTCCGAAGGGAACCAAGCTTGCGGATTGTGTTTGTTCTGTTCGCAATAGATGGGGAATTGCGACCTTTCTCCAAAAATATTCGGGCAACCACAAGATGATGGATGCAAAGGCATACAAGGCTCCATCACTCTGTCGTTCTCCTAGTGCTGCAAAGTTACTTGGGATTAACGTCTTGTTTGTCCTAAAGTCTAGAAGCCAAATCCTTTAGGAGAGGCAAATAGAAAGTACTGCTAGATGACTATTCCATGTTTTAATACCGCTCTGAGTCCAAATGAGTAGTGGAATAGAATTTTCCCGAAGATTCAGATGTCTTCTGCTCCTTGACTCGTCTTTTGACCAATTTCAAGTTTCCTAGAAAAAGGAGTGATCTGTAAAAATAACAAAATGTTCGCATTGATCAACCTCCTCCATTGGCGTCCAGCACTACAAAACTCCATTTTAAGGAAAATCGACTTTGCTTCCCGCTTGAATACTTATTGGAATCCTTTGTTTTCAATTTTTATTATGTAAACAGGAATTGCCCTTGGGCGCGATTCAACCTTTTGCAGTAACTACACAAGTGATGTCTAGAATTGTTTTACTGACTTTACTTAGGCGCCTAATGGTAAGGCGGAACTTTTTCTTATTTTTTCATTTCGCACGCTATTTCTTCGTTAGTATTTTGATACTTTGTGAGCGAACTTTTTTTTTACTTTGCGAATGTACAAAGCGCGCAGAACAGACGGACGGGCCATCTGTGAAGTCATTGTCCCACAAGGTTTACGATGGGGCTCCCGATATATCTCATAGTTAATATAGTTTCCAGAACACTGAGAATAAAAGGAGAGTATCATTCATTCCAAAGCTCAGTCCAAAGAAAACAAGAAAACAAAAAGTATATATTCCAGTGGCCATGTGCCTGTAAACTCCACATCTTTTTTTTTTTTTTTTTGGTCTTGATCCTTATCCACCAATGCAAGGGTCTGTTTTTTGTTCTTTCCTCATTGGTGAAGGAAAAAAAGGTCGTCTCATCTCTTTGGTTCTACAGCCAACCTATCCTTCGATCGTTCGGATACACTCCGATCCTCTTTTAGTGATACATTGCTCCGTTTTGGTCTTCTGGCACACATGCATTCTTTATTTAATATGTTTAATTTGTTTTTCGCCAAAGAGCACTTGCATGTTTAATTCTATGACATAACAGGAATTAAGAAAAGAGTACAAATACTCGCTTCTCTTGGCAATATCTCTCCTTCCCCTCTTCTTTTCTTCTCTTTCCCGTGCCCTCTTTTTTGCTCGATTCTTATTTTGTCTCTCTGAAAAATCTGCCCACCCCATCATCTCGCCTGATCTGGTGTACACATCTAAAAGGTATCTCCACTTTTCTCTGACTATTCCCAAAGTGTTCAAGCCAGGATGATTGTAACCCTGTATCTTGGGCTCTGAACTGTCACTTGCGCCATCACTTGGCCTTTCCCTTGCACAGTGGTTGCGTAATCAAGCAAGCTGTATAAGGTGCCATAACTCTAGATTAAAACATAATGTGACCCATTCGGTTACTGCAACAATTTGGAAGAGGCAACTGTGGATGCACTGCCAAGACCTAATAAAAATAATAAAAATAATAAAAATAATAAAAAAAGGTCTCGAGCGCACAGCCATCTCTGTATTCTATCTCAGCCCATGACCAATCTTCAAAGACATTTTCTTCAACTTCTCTTTGTTTCCATAAAAGAAATGACTGCCGCGCATTTACTTATATGCTCGCCCTTTCTTTTAACTTGCCCTAGTCTGATACCTCCTTATCAAATCTCATTTCAAGTCGATGACCAGCTCGCCTTTGCCGTCACCTTTTTTGACCATCCTAATGCAGGACTATCCTTTGTTCTCCTCCCCCTCCTCGCCTTCTGCACTCTCTAACTCGATCTCCCCACAAGTCTCACCTGTTCTGTCTTCCATTAACGAATCACCAAACTTGCATCACCCTAATGCCCATATTGCAACCTCATCACCGGTCAACACACAGCAGTGCCAACAGCAGGAACAGCAACAGTACCATCATCATCGTCATCCACAGCAGCAGCATATGAGCACCTCTATTATTCCTCCAGAAGAGCAGCGTCTACGCTCAAGTGTTGTTCAACTCTATGAATATCAACAGCAAATGCTCCATCGACTTGTACAAAAAGATCACCCACTTCATATCCCAAATCCCGAGGCTGCTCGTCGCCATCAACAACAGCTGACCACTCAGCTTGAGTATTACAGACAGCTGCAGGTCATGCATTCCCAGCGTGCCCGTGATATTGAATTGTTGCACCTGCAGCAACAACGGCATCAGCAGGAGCAGAACCAGTCTCAGTCTCTCCATGTCATTAAACGATTCCAACTTGCGCAGAAGATGCTACAAGTGCAACAGTTGCACCATGCGCATCAAATTCAGAAAATCCTGTACCTTCAAAGACTAAATCGCCTCCAAGAACAACCACTTTCTCCCTGTGGTGATGCGGTGGCTGAGTCATCATGCCTTTTTTCCACGAGTGAGGAGGGAATGGCAAAACTCGAGATTGATCCTAAAATGATGCATTTCCCTATCAGATCAGCTAGTCGGCCTCGATTGGATTTGCAAGAGCTTTTTGGGGGTGTTGCACAACGTCTATCAACAAACTCGTCCATTCAGCACCAGGCGGAAGATTTGGCTAGGATTGTACTCCCAAGCCCAGATCAGATCAGGAAGCTACGTCGTCAGAGGCTCAAGTGCCATGCGCGTCTGCGGCAGGCTGCCACAGCTCGTGTAGCCGAAGCCCAAGCCAAGTCGCAAGGCTACCAGCCCTGTGTGGTAATGATGGCCGAAAAGACGGAAGAAGTCAATACCGGCCAGCAGCGGACGATCCCACTCCCACCCTCCCCTATATCTCCAACTTCCTCTACATCATTTGAATCGACTAGCCCAGTCTGTCCATCGTCAGTGCAACTAGCTTCAGGATACGCTGCTGGGGTTCAAATCGAGAAGCAGATGCAAGCAGCTTTTTGGACAAGCTCGACGACTTCAGTCATACCACGTACATCTGCAGATCTGGTTTATAGGCGACAGCTCCGACATAGCATGGCATTACAGCAACATATGATTCAGGATCATATTCATAAGTATCGAATCTTCCAGGCATATTGCCTGTTGCAGCGAGCACATGAGGCCCAGGCTATAGACGAATCAGAGGTTCAGAAAAGGAAGCATCTCCAGACGCTTGCATGGGTAGAAGCCTTACGTCAGTCCAAAGAACTCGAGGTTCCTCAGTAGGACCAAACAAAATTGATTCCTTTTTTTTTACTTTTTTCTTTTCTTCGTTTCTGGGTTACACCTTGTTATTCATAGAGTTTGTTCTTTAGCTATTTATTATTCTCTTTGCCCTTTTTAAATCCTTCTTTTTCCGTGAGTGTACTTATGTTGTCTTGTAGTTTTGTACCAGATGCACTCCCTAACTATCCATAGCATACCCTAATTATATTCATCAACATAGAGTCGCTTGCATGTACCATTATGACAATAAAACTATAGAGAACGTTCCGATACAGTTTTTTTTACATATTTGTAAAAATCAGCCACTAAATCAATTCATTCATCGTTTTAGTTTAAAGAATATATAGGTTCAAATGTTCGAATCACCACTTATATTTAAAACAACTTGTTTTGCATACTGTAGGCATGTTGTATGTCTTCTGTCTTTGTAGGGTTTTCTCTTCACGCGTTGTGTCTAGGACACGCGTTGCAGTTTAGATTAGGGAAATGGTTCAACTGTTGATTGGAAGGATGTGCAAGTGTGTGTGTCTATCTTGTACTACCTTGGCCTTTTGACAGTCCTTTTTCCTTTTGCTTCCCCTTTCCTTCTTCCCTTCGGTCCATTTATTCATCTGTTGGTCTTTCCTCTATTTTCCTATTGAGCTTCTCATTGCCTTGGCGCTTGCATGCTTTTGTCGGTGCCTTTGTTCTGCTCTGCATACCAGCTGTGGACTGAATCGACTAAATGAAATTGATCCCATCACGAATCGACTTTCTTCCAACGCAATAAAAAGAATTAGTCTACTATGAGTGCACGCATCAAAGGGCTATTTGGAAGCAAGAAAAAAAAAGATGACCGTCAGGCCACACGCTCGCAAACCAAAGAAATCTTCCCTCCACCTTCATCCTCTACTTCTGCTTCCGCTTCAGTCTCGTCACTCGTCCAGACACGCGCCCACTCGACCAGATCCATCGCTAGCTCATCCTCTGTAGGTGACATGCAGGGCGAAGTAAGTCCAAAAAAGTCTGGGACATTCAGCTTCTAAACAGTGTTACCATCTCGGGCTCTGTTCTCGTTTTGCTCTGAAGAAGTGGCAAATGCGAGTGACTATCTCCTTTTTTTCTTCCCCCACCTCTTACTCCCATGGTCAATACAAAAAGAACTAACTAGAAATTCCCTTCCTTTTCTTTTTTCTTTTTTTTTTGCTGGTCATCCTACAATTCCTCCTACGCAATTGAACTTTGCACTTTAGTTGTCTGCAAATTTGACTTTGACGCCATCCAAAGCTGCATTCGCCTCCGATATTAGTGCAAGGCACCACGCCCAGCAGGATACAGTTCCTTCTGACGCATCCAGAGTCCCGACAACACCTCTTCTCCCTGCAGAACGACAAGCAATGACTACAGATACAGTCATTGAGGAGCTTGCTTTTTCTAACCCGAACCAATCTAATCATAATACTAGCGTCCCTCCTAGCCCGCCCTTATCAGCGCAAAAACGGGAAGAAGGGGATAATGACAAGACAGCCATCCTTCCTTCTCAGTCGCCGTCGATGCTTGCCTCGCTGGACAGCCAAACAATCACTACCCAAGTCTTCGATTCAGGTGAGTTAATCTCTCACAAGTATATAGAGTGAACAGAACATCGCATAGCGATGGCCGAGCTATCTTGTATAAATGATACCTTGCTTACCATAGACTTCCATTCGAGGATTGTTACTAAGTTCTGTCTATGTTTATGATTCTTGGTGGTAGAGAAAGAGAAGGAAACGACAATATTTGTCGACTCTCTACAGTCTATTGACCGCTCTGCAGGTAAAGCCACAGGATTTCATGATGTTTATTCTGTAAGGTCTCGCATTCTATTAAACAGCTAAAACCCCAGTTGTAGATGATGTACATGATAGCTCAATCAGCAAGCATCTTTCGATTAAAAACAGTAGCCATGGAGATACTGTAAGTCTATAGCATCTTGCACTCTTGTAAAGCGCTATTAGTTTAAATATTATAACAAACTAACAAATTTCTACGTTGATAGGAGAATGATGAGCAAAATTGTTCCATCATTCCTGCAGCATATTCTGAAAAAAATGGGCATGAAGTCAGCTATTTTGTGCAACATCAGGATGGATCACTTGTGGAGCAGCAATCTTACAGTTCAGTTACATCGATGGACCATGATCTCAACGTGAACGATGCTATTTACCTCAACTCGACAACAGAATTTATCCCTGTGGATGATCAGGACGAACAAGTTTATCTTGAGCAATATTCAGAAGGTATCATCAAAATATAAAAGCATCTTATTTTAATGAGGCTTACATTGAGCCAGTATTATCTGATATAAGTAAAATCTAATTATCCTTTTATTTAGAGGGTGACGATATCCCAGTGCTTCAATACAAAGTAACGAAACTGCAAAAGCAGGTTCGAGAAATGCGCAAGTTCATGAGAGGACTTGTTCAGCTGCAAATTGAGCAATATGAGCCAGCAACAATTTTGATTCAGGCATGGTGGAGAGGATGTTTGGTAAGAGTGAACCTATTGATCTGTTTTAAATAGATATTCGAATGATTTTGGACGATGCAACTATGTACAGTTATATTCAAAATCCCTAACTAATATTCTATCAACGACAATAGGTTCGAAGAGAGCTTAAGAAACAGCGAGCTTTTTCATGGCATAGGAATCCAAAACGATCAGTCAAGCCATTGAAATACTTGACGAAAGCAGAGCTTTATCAGAGCTGTGAGAGAATCAGTGCACCAAAGGCATCGTTACTGGTCACGGAAGACCTCGGAGGTAAAGCGAAATAAATGATATCCTATACTTTGATATTTCAATAATGTGACGTATAGATCTTAACAACAAAACATCATGATACTTCGTTCTTAAATATTTAGCTCAGAAAGATACAATTGCAGCGATCAAGCTTCAGGCGGTTTTCAGAAGCTATTTAGTCAGGAGAAGAGTTCATGCCTATCGAGAAGGCATGAGGGCTGCTACCATTATTCAAGCAAGATGGTACGAAGTAGATCTAGTCTCTTTACCCGTTAATGGTAAGCAATGAAATGGCCTTTGTATCAATTATCTGGCTGCTGATATTATATCCGTATTTTATTTTCCATAGGCGAGGATATAGAACGCGGAATCTAGATACCCGCCTGGGTGTGGAGCAGCTTCGTTTCAGGAATTTGAAAGTCCAAAAGGCATTTGGACGAGTTTCGATTAAACTACAGTATCTTCAGGGTCGAATTCTCGCATTGGAGGAGAATAGCTTACCACTACACGAGGCTCAGGAGCTAATTCATAAGGAAATTGAAGAGATGGGAGATCAAATTGACAACTTAAAACAGGAGCTTGACCAAGGGTTGAAGCAATTAGATGAGCAGGTCTCTGAGGAAAAGGAACAGACAACCATTGAGATACGCACTCTGACTGAAAGGATTCAGAAATTAGAAGAAGAACTTAAGTCCATTCGCAACTCGAACACAAGGTACGAGGTCTTCAATTTATGAATTATGCTTTAGTGTGGTAGTCTTTTTTATTATTATTATTAATTTCGAAATCTCTTAATTCCTTTATTGAATTCAAATATTTAGTATTGAGAAGCAAGTCAAGTCTCTGACACTCGAGCTACCAGCAAATGCGCATACAGATACAGGAAAGAGCGATCAGGAAGATGAAGACTATGAGGTCCAATATGATGAAGATGGCAATCGGATTGAAAAGCCACCGAAGAAGAGCACAAAAAGGGCGAGCTTTCATGAACAGCTCCACGATCATACTGTAGCTGGTTCACGCAGGACAAGCACCACTCGACCCATTATGGATACCACAGTTAGTGGCAGTCCAACACAAATAGTTGGGTCCCCAGTGCCTATGCAGCAACCATCTCACAGAGGAAGTATCGGTAGCGTTCATAGTCAGGGACACGCACGAACACACTCTTTAACTTCGCAACCACCACCGTCTCCCGGTCAAACGTTCCCTAGAGCCTTTCCTGCATCATACTCACCCACCATTAGCAACGCGGCTGTATCAAGCGATACCGGAGCATTTACGAATGGAATAAGGTCACACTCTATTCCTTATCCTGGAACCAGCAATAACAGCAACAATTCACCACGATCATTAACGATAGATCCCAATCAACTGTTCCGGTTTCACCCAGCAGCAAACCAATTTATACCACTTTCTCCATCATCATCGTCAGCTACAGCGGCAGCAGCAGGGGTTGCAGGGGGTTTTCCAGGAATGGCTCTGCCTGATCCAAAGAAATATGTATCGGTAGATGATTTTGAATACATGCAGGCAGAAGTTGATACTCTGCGCCTGAACAATGATCGTTTGGAAGGCATTGTTCTCGACCTAACAATGCGCCTGAACACCCTCGCAGCAAATATGGGTCAATTCTACCCTGGATGAAAAATTAAATAAAACACAATTCGTTTTTTTTTTTTTTTATTTTATTTTCTTTTCTTTTTCTTTTTTTTTTTTTTTTTTTAAAAAAAAAAAAAAAAAAAAAATACATAAATCTATCATATTAATAAAATGCTGCGCCAATATGTTGAATATATGGTACTATGGAGCACAGTTTTTTGAAAAAGGGTATGTTGAGATACTTTACAAGGTGATTAAATGTGAGAATAATAAAGGATATTACTGCCTAATTTCCTCATCTGCCTCACGCTTCTCATCGAGATTGGCGGGCACGATGCCATCGAGCTCCTGGAGGGCAATCTCGGAGACTGGGCCCTTAAACCAATGACGAGCGGACAAGAACCAGGTCAGAGTAGTGAAGACAAGCAAGAAACCCACGGCGGCAGGGGTGAAATTGAACTCATTCATGTTATTGACAGGCCACTTCTGGGGCAAGTTAAAAATAACGAAAATGAAGGCAGTCCAGATACAGGCAATCCAGCCAATGGGCTTAGAGAAGCGACCCAAGTTGAACTCACGTTGGACAAACGTGGAAGAGCCGACAGTGATGCGAAGCAAGATGGGGATGGCATATGAGGTGGTAAAGCCGATGATGGAGATACCGGAGATAGCACTCAAGGTAGCGGTGGAACCAAGTGAAGGTAAGGCGAGGATGATGATGACAATGACTGAAAGCCAGACTAAGCGCAGAGGCATTTGAGTGCGCTTGTTAAGCACAACCCAGTAGGAGGAGAAAGGTAAACCACCATCACGAGCAAATGCGTAAAGCATACGTGAGTTGGAAGCAACCGTGGCAACACCGCAAAGGAACCCGGCAAAGACAATAATGAAGATCAAGACACTACCACCCTTCCTGCCTGCACAATCCAAGAATATCTGAGGAGCAGCACCAGATACACTATTGAAAGTATCCTCATAATTCTGGATACCAAAGGTCAGGGCTAGTGCAAGGCCGAGACCAATCATGACAGAAGCAAAGATGGACATGAGAATACCACGGGGACCATTGACGTAGGACTTTTCGGTTTCCTCAGACATGTGAGCGGACCTGATAAAATATTAAAAGAAAGTCAATGTCTAGCACACTTATTCTTCTCTTTCTTACGACTCTTGACTTTGCCCTTTCTCTTATTTTGCCCCAGAAAAAAATAAAAATAAAAAGTAACTTACGCATCATATCCCAGCATGGACCACTGCGACTGCAAGAGACCAAGCATGAAGACAAAAACAGGGCTCGCATTGCTTGCTGTGTAGCCGGTGTAATCTCTGAATTCTGTGAATACAAACTTGCCAGACTGTAGCGTAGGGGCGCCTACAAGGACCACGATAATGATCACGATAGTGCCGACAATATGAATAAATACTGAAACCAAAGAAGCCACTTTGAGGGCGCGACCTCCTGCAGTGTTGACAATGCCAGCAGTGATCATCAATGCGACCATGATGTAAAAGTCCTTCTTGCCATCATGAATATATTCTGGTTGCCAGATAGAAATCAATGTGTTCATAAATGTTGCTGCAGAAAGAACAGACCCCGAACATCCCGCCACTGGAATTTACACACGTGCAAATATAAATATAAAAAAAGTAAGCTTCGTGTGCGAGAAATCAATAAGCCATTTGTTTTTAATACGGCAAGATCGTGCACAAACCTTGACCAAGCATATTGAACCACGCCTCATACCAAGAGAACATTGGGCCCCACTTTGGACCTCCACTACGAAAGAGGGAGGAAAAAGAAAGAAAAACCCTTTAGTAAGGAGGTATGAAAAATTGTTTTTAACCTTTAAGGTGCATTTTTTTTTTTTCCTTTTTCGCTTACAGCTTAGCGGTCCAGAAATAAAGACCTCCAGCAGTAGGGAAGGTACTGCAAATCTCGGCCATGCCCAAGCCAATAAACATAACAAAGAAGGCGACAAGCAACCAACCCCAGATGGCCACCACGGGTCCTCCCGTTTTCAAACCGAAGCCAAACAGAGGCACAATCCCGATCAGGACTGAAGAGTTAGTCAGCGTGAATCCAAAGTTCTGAAGCCCAGTAAATTGACGCCTAAAAATAAAAATAAAAAATTTTTTTGTCTCAGTTCCGAGCTGTCGGTGCACTCTTCCAGGACATACCACACAACACACTTCACTTACTTCATGTTTTGCTTGTAGCCCAACTAAAGTAATACCATTAGAGCAAATGGAGGTTTAACAATATATTATTAGTTCATCTTTTCTGTTTTGTTGCAGTTGTTGTTATTATTGACCTTCATGTCAATGACAAATAAAGAAAGTGGAAACAAAATATAAAGTGAGTGAGTGAAAGCAAGCCTACCGCGGCAAGACGGGCCTCGTCCTCATTGTAGCTAGCCGCATGGCCTTTCTCAGAATTGTCCATGCTTAATGAATACTGAAGGAAGAAAGGGACAAAGGAGAAAAAAAAAAACCGATCTGACCGAGTGGAAAGAAAGAAAGGAAAGGAAGGAGGGAAGAGAAGAGGCGGGCAAAGAGATGTAAGAATGACGGGTGTACACTTTTTTTATATGTAAAAAGAATGGCGCAGGAACAGTAGCAGGACAGCTCAAAAGAAGTAGTAATTATATATTAGTGTGGGATACAGCTTATCACCCAATCAAACACAAATTTTTTGTACGGGGATGGTGTGATTGGAGCTCTCTGTCTGCAAATATTCGTCATTCACATGCGATTATCCATTTAGAAAAAGGTTAACATTCCCAACCCAGGAACGCTTATTTGGGCTTGTTTGCTTTTTTGTTTGTTGTTTGTTTTGTGTTTTAAAGTGTTTTGTCTGGGTTCACAAAACCATTGATCTGAAGTGAAAAATGCAAGGTTATCTCTTTCTTGAGGCCCTTTTGGAAAGAGTGTGGTTGATTTTTCTATCCAGTTCTGACAACCCTTTCGAATATTTAATTTGAATTGATTCATGGGCCTGAGTATATTGTCTTGTTGGATTCAAGATGGCATCTTTTGAAAGGGATTTGATCTTGGGCTAACGTTCCTCAATAAGACTGAATAAAGAGGAAGACATTGTCAAACGTGGACTGAATTCTCAACGAACCCCCTACCCTGTGGCGACTTAAGGTTTTTGCGCTGTCTATTAGAAAGAAATATCATGTATAAATGTTGGACGTCCCACATGATCGTTACGACCACGATCGTGGTTCTTAAGCATCGATCTGGTTCATTGTCTGGGAATGATGGCGAACCCTGTCACTTGAAAGCGAGTAGATGGAATAGCGCCAACGACACTAATATTTCTACCACACTCTTTCATAGCCATCCAAATCTGTGGATCGAATATAGATCAAATCCCGCTCCATCAATAGAAACCCTCCTGCTTCTTCCATATCCACGAAGCACGCATTGATAGCTCAATCATCTAGTAGTTTCTTTTTTTTTTTTTTTTTTTTTTTGACTGTTTCTTCAATGATTTGGGCTTTGCTTGGCTGAGATTGCACACTTCCTTTTGCGATCGCAGCCTTCCAGGAAAGACTCGTATTCCTTTGTGGAAGAATTAAAGTTATGCCCTCGCTCTCCAACTTTTCTCGGAACTTTCCCTCACTTTAAAGCTCATTATCGCCAAAGTTAGTTTGAATATGCAGCTCAGAACTGAGATATCAATGTCTAGCCATGTCCAGTATGACTTAAAATGGTCTAAGGAGTAAATAGATCCTTAAAATCAGAACCACTATCTTCTTCTATAGCCATTCAGTCGCAAGTAGACACTTGGGTCTGGTGACCGTCATTCTGATTTTAGTCCTCATAACCTCAGCTCGATTCACCGAAGCCAGGATCTCAACGGTCATTTCTTTGATGACCCAGGCTTCAGCTGCCGTGCTTTTAGTTCAAATCTAGAGTAGCATAGCGTTTGTTGTCCTGTTGTGCACGTATGACCAGCAATCAAATATCTCATTGAAAGCTGTATCCAGTCATAAATATGTCTTAAAAGAAAAGCATCAAGGATTCATGCATCATCGTCAGAGTAGACCGAATTGATAATCAAGATATTCTTATAGTGTTTAGAGGATGTGGGTTGTATGTAGATGAAGGTGAGGGTTTTTTATGTGTTGTATATTTCATGAACATACTCACATTCGTTTGATCCATTTTGGCACACTCATGTCTTCCAAAAACGCGATGCACAGTCTTTTTTTTTTTTTTTTTTTTTTTTTTTTTCAAAGAGTAGGACAAATTGTACAAGAGCGCATCGCCAATGCTACAAAACTTTATGGCCAACGTTATATAATCGAATACAGTGGACATGAAGATGTAGATTTTTTTTTTTTTGAATACATATTTGTCATGACCCGGATAAATTTTGGCTCACTTTTGAAATTTGGTTGGAAAACAGATTAAGTTTAAGTCAGATATTTGTAACGCAAACAAACATGCACACAATCTGTTATATAATTTGTTTATAAAAATTCGTGAAGGTCCCACAAAAAAAGAGGGTGCCAAGTAGACATTGGCCATATTTGGCTATTGCCCTTCAGAGCAATATTAATATGCTGTACCACGCTTTATTGGGTCAAAATTGTTTCTTGAAAAAGAATGTGGAGGCGCTGGTTCTTAAGGCTTGCGAGTAGCAGCATATATATGTCCATGTATATATATACAATGCATGAACGCTCACTGACAAACTAGAACATTTACTTTTTTGTCTTGCACCGCGGGGAACGGCTCTTATGTTTATCCAAGTCGTTTATGTCGTGGAGCAATGGGGAAAGGTCTCTACACCTATGCTTCAATAGTTCCCAAGTTGGAAAGGAGCTAGAGCATCACGTTATCATACATATCTATATGTCTTTGTTGCTTAATAGAGATTTTCTTACTGGTGCTCGTAATAGAAAAATATGACAACTTCAGTGACTATTCATTAGTACAACCTTTTCTAATTGTAGCGAGAATCCTTAGATCAAATTAAAATAAGTGCACCGGACTCTCGACTCTCTTCAAGAACCTTCCTTATTTTTCAACATACTTTGGGATGGAGAACTTCAACGACACGTAAGATTTCGAGTTTTTTATTTTTTTTATTTTTATTTTTTACCTTTTCTTTAACACAAAGAACGGCGGATGTGGATAGCGTAGTGACTGTGTTGTAATTGTTGAATACAGCACAAACCCCTAGAAACGGCCACGCAACGTCACGCGTACTCAGCCCCTGTAGCTTGGCTCTCCTCTTGATTTTGTTGTCCATATAGGATGGCCGCCCTTGATAATTGATGGCTCTCAACAATGTTGCGAAAGTTATGCCTGCCATAGCATCTCTATGCATGAATGTCTTGCAGCTGTCACAATATAGCTGATGAGTTTCAACCCGACTACCACTATATCCTGGAGATCAGACCCGAGGAGGTGGGACAAGTAAGATAAGCTATAACCTTTCCATCCTGCTCTTTGACAGTTTTGTGGTTGGAGACATTTCTAAGCTGGAGATTGTTGCTAATGTAATTGTAGTACTGTCAATTGTGTTAATTCTAGGGTCTGGCTTTTTTTTTTATCCTCCTCATTGCCATCTGCCCAGAGGAGGTAGATTGGTGACAAAGTCCTCACAAAGTTTGCTTTAAACCATCAAATCCTCTTCGATCTCTGAGGGTTGTTTTTTTTATTATCTTTTATACGCGTTTGTGAATCTAAAATTCATTATTTTGTGCGACCATCAAAATAGGTTTCACAGCTGCAGTGTTTTACCGCCACTTAATATTAAAGTAAAAGCAAGTTAAAGCTAAATGCCTGGCACAGTCTTTTCTCTCGTTCCAAGACTTCATATGCTTGCATATCTAAGGATTAATTCACTTGGCTTGTCTCCCTCTTTTACACTAATTTTTAGTACTCGACTATCTCGAAACCTTTTTGATGAGCTTTAAGTAGTAAATTTAAACTCGGAAGGGACACGTTCTGTACAAAAAAAAAAAAAAAGGCAATTCGACTAATAAGTTGATAGAATTTTCAATGGAGTGTCGATACAGGGATTGAGCTACTTGTTGCGGTTTGGCTAGATCCACTATCACTCTGTTGCTGCTGCTGCTGCTCGTGAAGGATACGCTGGCTTTCCTTCAGTGCCTGAAGTTGCTCCTGTTCCAGTTGCTGTTGTCGAAAATAGGCTGATGCATCAAAAATCTTGTCCTGATTATCCGCTCTTTTTCTGGATCATCGACAAAGAAAAAGATGACGTATGGTGTTAGTATTCCAAGGTCTTTGAATGTTCGTAATGCAGCACCTGAAGATTCAATATTTAAGGGAAATATAATATACCCCATCTTTACTGCTGTAGCAACATCTACAGGCCCAGTAACAAAATAGGGTTCGTCCGAGAAAGGATCTGTTGAGGATGCATGTGTTGATGGTCCATTGTAACTGGTAGGAGCACCCTTGCCATTACTAACTGAAGCTCCATTGCCATTATTGTATTCATAGCTGTTGCTGCGCCCTTTGCCAACCCCAGCGGCATCAATATCGTTGAACGACATCAAGTCCTGTTGATAATCTTGAGAGCTTCTGGGTGCGTTCTCAGGGCTCCGGTTAGGTACAACGTCCGTCATCGCCGACACTTTCGTGACCTTATTCATGTGCTGACGCTCCATCATTTGGTTGTATGCAGTGAAAGCTTGGACTAACTCCTGATTGCAGGCCAGAAGTGATGCTTAGTTTCATAATAAATAAAAAGAGGTTAGAGTTAGCTATATTAGAATTTTTTTCTCTGAGCGCTATTCCTATAGAATTCCCACTTATTGTACTCTCAAACATACTTAGCCATTGCTCATTAGGATTTGCTGACTCGGTCATTTCGGACAAATATTGCTGGATTCCGCGCTGGAGAGTTAAACATTTGGAGTGGAATTCCTACAACGGCACGAAGTGGTTCAAAGTTAAGCGTACGCACAATTGAATTTCATCCTATTGGTAGACGGACAAGAGAACAAAAAATCATGCATCATCCTGGATGTTCGTTCTGGCCTACCTTGATTAATTCATTCTCTTCGATGGCCTCCAGCTCAGGATCTGCGAATGAAACGGCCTCAATTAACATATGTGCATTATTTCTTGCAAGTTCAATATCCTGTGCCATCTGTCTCATTTGCTATTTCGCCCCAAGTACATAGGTGTGATGAATATTCTAGCGTTGAACAAACTTTTTTTTTTTTTTTTTTTTTCGTAAAAGGAATGCAAAGACGGTGATGTAGTTCATAACATTTACCTGTTCTGGGGTGATGGGAGCACGCGTCGGTGAAGGAGGGCCTTGCCGACTATTGTTCTATAGAATTATGCAATAGAAAATATAATGTTTCAGAAAATAATGTGGACTGCGCTGACCAAGGATTTCCCTCTCTGTTCAAGGTTCTCTTACACTTCGTGGAGTGTTGTTCTTAATGAGCATGTAATAAAGCTGTGGGATGATGACAAGACCTGGATCTGTGGCAAATGTCACAGACCAATCCTCCAGACGCTCCATGAGGCGAATCTTCACATTAGCATCAGTGGCCTAAGAAATCGGATATGGAAAAGAAATAAAATTCATCAGCTCGGTTAATTCGCCACCAATGGCAGGTAGCAAACATCACATTTATCCACTAGGCTCCATACATCTGCAATGATCACAGTCTCAATATCTTCAGCAAACTTGGAGGTCGCTAATTGGGCTGTGAGCACAAGAAAGGACAAAGGCATAAATAGCATTAGCAAGATTTTTCTAAATAAAACAAAATAAAAAAATAGAAAGATAAAAAAACGCAATGGTGCCATAAAGATACCTTTGAACTTTGACCCGCAGCCATCAACCATGGCTTGGATCAACTGAATACAATAAAATAAAATAAAGTTAGAAAGTAACTCAAGGTCATGGAATACATCGCCATGAAATGTATTGTTCCACTCACTGTAATGGCGTTCATTTGCTGCTGTGGCCTTCCTAAACGCAACTTCTTCCGCAAAGCCTTGGACGCTTCTTTGGCTCTGTAAATTGTGTTTAAAGGTTTAGGATTTGTAATTGGGGCAGAGAATACACCCGTGAAAATCGAGATGAGCGACAGAAGGTCATGTCAGCGGCTATTGTAATTAACTGAAATGTCTATGTTCATCGTTTTCCAAGTACGGTACAAGTTACTTTTTTTTTTTTTTTTTTTTTTTTTTTTTTTGACCTTACCCATCGTCTTTAGCATTGACAGTCTCACAGAGGACAACAACTTGGTCCCAGTTCGTAATGGATGCTAAGCCCGTGATGACATCTGTTTTGCAAAAAAAAACATCTTCACGAGTCAGCACCTGTGCAGTTGGTGGTGTGGTATGCTTCGCGCAGTACATCTCCTTTCCATACAAGTCTGTTACCAATTTGGGTGGTGATGGCACTTTGCTTGGAGAATAGTCCCATCTTTTGAATGAATGAACAAGTAAATGAAGAGACTTTTTTATAAGTACGAGCTGAGTAATGGAAAATGATAAGAGGGAGAGAAAGGCTGTCTTCGAGCAGAAGAAAAGGGCTGTTGACCTTATTGGTGGATTGGTGGATTGGTACATTATGATATGAAAGCCAAGAAAAACAATTAATTAATATAATATCATGTGATATTGGCTATTTTGCTATTTTAACTGGTGACGATTAAGGATCAATTGGTCATTACACCTTTCCTATCCGTAAATATGCAGCCAATAAATTTTGATGGTGGCAAAGCGTGATTTAGACTAATTTACATGTAATTTTTATTTATTCATCATTAATCCTGCGATAGCAGGCAAGGTACTTGTCACCCTTGTTCCGCTCCACCTTCTGTCCCTCTTCTGTAGCATTCCTGACGTGTTCCACCGCTGGATCATCAGCCTAATTGTATTCGGAAAAAATAATTTAACAAAAAAAAGACCTCTACGATTCAAAACATCATATTGTGTTACACTTTTTCTTACCAACTCCTCGTCCGGAATCCTAACAAACAAAGGGTGGGCATCCAAGTGCTTCACCATCCACAAATGAAGATCCTTGACATCGCTGATAGTGTAAATGATCCCGCCTGGACGAAGAACATATGCATATTCTGATAAAAGTGTAGGTCTAGACATACATCCATAAAAACAGGGAAATTTTAGATTCTTGCCCGTCATACTTTCAATCAGACTAACATCAAAAGAAACGTCAAAATGTCCATACGTAATGATACGGGCCTTATGCTTCCTCTTCTTGAAGTGAGGGTCAGGGAACAGGAAGAACATCTTGGAGAGCTATAGGATCCGGTATCGTAGGGTTTTTTGTTAATTGAAGTACCCCTATATGACTTTAGTCTGGTATTTGAAGCAATCTTTCGTATATTTAAATTTTTTTTTTTTTTTTTTTTTTTTAAAAAAAAAAAAGTTGGCCTGTACCTGATGCTTCTCGAAAAAGTTTGGCAAGAATTTCATGGCATTCATACGTAAAATCGAGATGTTGTCGTAAGAGCCAGGGTGATTCTTTCGTAATGCTAAAATCTTTTGATTGACGTACTCCTCGACTTTGACACGGATCTCCATTCCTAGCCAAGCGATAGTGTATCCGGATACCACATTAATAATAAAAAAACTACTAGTTGGAAGAAGCATATCCGAGCTGACAGAAAATGAGTCTCTCCTCCCTTAATTCTTACCAAGCATCAATGTTTCTGGAAATACAGTTGACAAAGCGACAAGAAGACCACCATATCCACATCCAATATCTGCAAATTCGACTTTCTTCCCAGAATCCTTGACCACAGCCCCATCTACAGCCGCGCCTTCCTTTGGAGCAAAATGATTAGGAAAGTTCTTTGACCAATCCATGTGAGCTGGGCTGATGGGACTATTAACATTTAGATGGATTGACATAAGAAACTTATCGATATAGTATTCGATTCCACAGAATTCATCCACAACATTGACTTCGGGCGGCACTCACTAATCAAGATGATGATCCGAAAACACGTTGGCATGGGCGCGCTGTCTAAAATATTTTTTCTGAAATTATATCATACAACAGCTTTGAGTAATGAACTACAAAGTCTATGGATACATTATGGACTTTAAACATAGGCATTAGCATACCTGTGGAAGTCTAGCCTCCATTTGGCCTTCCTCCGCCTGCCTTTTCTCTCCTGTAATCTTTGGCATGTCGTTTTGCATGTTGTGCTCTGATTGTTTTTACAAAATTTTATTTTTTCAAAAAATAAAAAAAAGTGATCTCAAGCACGGACAAAAAACAACTATTCTGCTCAGCCACTAAAAAGGCGGACACCATTTTATTCAGTTTAGAGAAATCAACATTCTTTGCAGTTGGTTGACTAATTACCAAATCCAATACATTAAATCGACATTGAAATAGACCTCTTTCCAGCAAGTGGTTACAGCGCGGCATAATGACAAACAAACGACAGATGTCCTTCGAGGCCAATGAAACAGTACTCTGTTTCCATGGCCCATTGTTGTATGAGGCTAAAGTAAGGGTTAGAGTGACACCACGTTCAGCATACTTTCAGGACACGCAACGCAGCGATACTCATGCTTCAATACCACACCACTCAAAACATAGATTTTGAAAACGGATTGGAGAAGTCTTGACCCACATGGTGAAGAAGGCCCTGTATATCTTGTTCATTACCGCGGCTGGAAGCAAACGTGAGGCACTATTCACTTTTGTGTATGGATATTGTCACCACTTTTTATCAAGATCCAAACTCATCGGCTTTCTTCTTTTTTTCCCCCCTACGTCCAAATATTGATAGCTGGGATGAATGGGTACCGGAATCGCGCGCTCTCAAATGGAATGAAGCTAATCTTGCAAAACAGGCAAGCTTGAAGGAGTCGTACCCTGGTAAAAAAAAGACAGTTTCAAAGACATCAGGATCCACTGAGAGCTCAGATAGAGGGAAAAAGCGAGCCAAGGACACTAGTGTGGACAAAGAGGAAGATTTTATTAAGAGACCAGAGATCAAAGTACCCATTCCAGACTCTCTAAAGACTCAGCTCGTTGATGATTGGGAGAATATCACAAAGAACCATCAGGTGAATAACTATCGACTTTATACACGGCCAAAGATCATTAAATAGGCGGCCAAACTTACCCATTCTATTTTGGCTCTTGGAATAGCTCGTGCCACTTCCAAGGACACCGAATGTGGTTCAGATTCTGGACATGTACAGGGACTCAAAGAAAGACAAAAAGACGTATGAATTCACAAGATCCCTATAATTACTAAAACAGACCATCCAGTAATATTCGACATCACATTGTCTGCTGACATGACTGCCACGACATTTATTCTTTTTTTTCTTTTTTTTCCCCTTGTGGTATGTTTTCCATGTGCTTGGATCCATTAGTAAGAATGATGAGATTTTTCAAGAGGTCCTGTCAGGAGTCAAGACATATTTCGATAAATGTCTTGGGAACATGCTTCTATACCGGTTCGAACGCCAGCAGTATGTTGATATTCGAAAAAAGAACGTGGGCAAAGAGGACTCTGAGATTTATGGTGGCGAACATTTACTCCGTCTATTTGGTATTTTTTTTTTTTGTACATCTTGATTCTGTCGCCAAGTGAAATACATGCATACATTATGTGACATGATTTATTTATTGCTCCGTTTTTTGGCTGTGTCTAGTACAATTTCCCATGTTGATTGCACATACAGAGATGGATCAAGACTCGATCAATGCGTTGCGGGAGAATCTAGTTGATATTCTTAAGTGGATGCAGAAGAATCATAAAGATCTACTTCTGTCAGAATATGAAAACGCTAGTCCTGCATACCAGTCAATTGTCAAGTCATAATGGATGGCCGAAAATACACGTATATCCTCGCAGTGCACTTTTATGAAAGAGTGCTCATCTAATACAAATAAAAGATTGTTCATGTTCACACGATATTTGTCTTGCCATTCTACAAATTATTTCCTCAAGGTCCATTATGAGAGCCAATAATTTTTATTTTTATACTTACATATTTTTTAAATTAAACTCTAATGCGAGCAAGCCTTATCATGCCACACCTTTGGCGTCCATTGGTCTCGCTCGTCAGTGTAATAGCAGCAAATGTAAATGTAGACATAATCCAGAAGTGGATGTAAATGTAGATGTAAAGATAGGGATAGGTAAATATAAATGTAGATGATGATGTAGATGATGTAGAGGTAGAGGTAGAGGTAGATGATGTAGATGACGAAATGTCAATTGATTCATTGTCCTGAGTTGAATACATTCAGTTTAATTCTATTTTATTAATATATCTTTTAAAGGCAAACTTTTGGTCTCTTCTCTCTTTTCTTTTTCCCTCTTGTATCCTCCCTTTTCCCTCTGTCCTCTCCTCTCTTTAGTACATGCATTTGTTTCTCATATATCATTGACAACACACATAGATATTTCATACATCCAACTCACAGATACCTTCTATCCATGACATCCATGACAGGACAATCATTACCTCCGAAGCGTATTGCTGACTATTTTTTCATGGTCGGCTTGAGGGATGACATTTTATTGGCAGCATCAGACATCCCTCCAACTGAACCCCTCACGTCTGATGTTAGTCCTACAAGCGAAACACAATATCCGCCACAGAGTCAGAGTCAGGGTCAGGGTCAGGATGTTTTTGTGCACAGCTCATTTTTCAATGGTGACACAGCCTCAGCTTTAGCTTTCATTGCAAACAACCCGCAGACACATACACAAGCAACGGAGACATGTAAAACCAGGTCCAACCAAAGGGCACGGTCCAAGTCCATGGCACAAGTGACTCGCCCCCATCCAACCTCCGCCACCCTCGATAATCAATCTTCAACTCCCCCTTCCCGAAGTATGTGAAACCGAACGTAACAATCAAAGCAGGTTTTCTTTTTGTATTTTCATCTAATATTTGGAACACTTTTTCTGATCTTCTATACTGTGCAATGTAACAGCACTTGCGCCGCCTTATTCAGTCATAGATTCGGCACTTACTGAGAGATCTGCGGTCACAGCAGCTCCAAAGACAGCCATCAACGCTGCTTTGGCCATATCAAGGCGACCCAATAGGAGGTCGGTGACATTGAGTGATATTAATATTGTAGAGAATAACACTACAAGACTTCGGCACAAACCAAGTTATCGACACATATCTGCAGGAACGCTTTTCAGGACAGTGCAGGAAGGGATCCGTCAAGAAATAGCAAAGGACCCAATGATGGTCCGAGATGATGATGATGATCATGAAATGTACACAGCAGAGCAACACACTAATCATAGTCCTATAGCAGCAGTAGCGGAAACTAGAATAAGTATGGGATTGACTTTGATCACTCGGCCTTTGATGCCTTTCAAGTGATCATGAGAGTTTATAATGTACTAAAACAAAAAAATTTCACTCATACAAATCAAAACCTTGATTCTTATTTTTATTTTTATTTTTATTTTTATTTTTATTTTTATTCACGTTGATATCCATGAATATAACGAAGTCTCTAACATGAGGCGACAAAGCACAAGTCCATTGAATATGAATGCAATGACAACACAAATACCTGCACTTTCCAAAATCCAACAGCAAGGGAAAACTAGATTTTCGGTACAGGACAAGAAGTGTTTAACTTTTGAAAAAAATATGGCTGTAGTCCGGAGTCGGTCCAAAATCGTCCACGGAGCTGACAACGCTCAAGCAGGAGGTACGCAGGAATTAACACAGGAATCAGCACGGAAATCTCCAGATATACATCCTGCAGAGCTGCTCTTTGATCCCATTGTGACTTGTCGGTATCCAGAGACAGACTGGGAGGATGCAGAGGCCTTCCCACCTCATTTGCCAATGGTAAGCCATAACATTGAATATGGCCGAAGACGAGTAAAAATAGAGTCCCCATTTATTACAGAAACCCGAGCTCTGTTAATTTCTTTGACATGGTAATTGCACCTGAACAAGAGAAGAAGAAAGCTCATCCTCATGAATTCGTCGATCATTCTTAGTTCTGCTTTCCAGGAGGGCTATCCTTCGTATTACAAGAGGAACGACCACCAACCACATATCACTCCTTTGTCATGACACAGGAAACCGGGAATCGATCATATGCAGTGTGTGTAACTATTTATGAACGGCTACCTACATCCATGCAGCAGCAATTTATAGCTCTCTGTGAACATTGGACTAGGAACCACATGGTATGCACCTTAAGCTCAGAGGGATTTCAAAATAATTGATGTATTGGCGTGGTAATCTTCCAAGTGTAGCCATCTAATTTATCACTCTTGCCTCCACATATCTAAATCCTTGATTTTTGCATTTATCTGACGATTCAGTCGGAGAGCGAGATGGAATATGTGAAGGCCATCAAGACTAAGATATCACGGGAACGAGCAACACTCCATAGTTTACGAAACAGATTAAAAGAAGAACAGACTCTCGGAAGGAAGCCGCAGATTCTGGATCTGAAGCGAGACATCTTTGATTCAGAAGAAAAGTTGGCGCTGCTAGAGGATCAGATGCAGCCTTGGAAGAGACTCTTCGTGGAGCCCGAGGATGTTTGGATCCCACGATGTGTGGGTCTTGTGAGCGCGGTTCCATATCATTATCTGCTGAGAGATTGGCTGTTGGCAGTGGTTGTGGCATGTTCAGGTGGCGTGGAGCATCCTGGATTGAGCTCAAATTCTTTCCGACTTGAAAGGTCTTTTTATATGTATTTATATATTTAGATCTAATGTGATGTGTGCCGCAAAGTACTGTTGTTTATTAACGTTTTTATGCTTTGGTTGATATGATAGTTATGTGAAAAACATTATCCATGACGTTGGTATCCCTCCGTTCGGAAAACTGGAGATTGGAATCACCATCAATGACCGCATGATTTACGCATCCAGGCCGGCTCTAAATAGCGTTCCTATTGTGAAAAATGTTCGTCAACGCAGATTATTTTATTTGGGTTCGATGGCTTCACGATCCTGAAATGGCTACTAAATGCGCTTTATTTAATTTACTATAGTTCTCCTTGTATCCGCTATTCCGGTGCATTTCAGCTGAGGATATTGTTACTTTGATTGAAGTGAGTAAAACAAACTTTCATTATCATTATTACTGAGTAGTGATTGTATTAATATGTGTAAACATTTTCGCTCTTTGATAGGTTATGCTGTCCGAAGGCAGGATTATCTTTATTTCTTCTCACTTAGGGATGCTGACATTAGCGGCCGAAAGTCTCCTGTATATGTTCTTCCCACTTTATTGGCATGGAGTTTATATCCCAATCCTCCCAGGAGCATTAATGACATGTCTTCAGGCGCCTGTACCTTATATTATCGGCGTGAAACGAAGCTGTTGTGAGTCCGACTTCCCACCCGAAGAAGTAAGTAGATAACAGAAGCATTATATTTTTTTCATTACTATGAGGCTTCTTTTATTGGTAAGGCTTATTAATTTATCTCATCAATGATGAAACAGGCTTGTGTAGTAGATTTGGATAGAGGAACAGTGAATGTCCAGTTGCCGCCTATTCCATTGCCTCCACGGCCGCGTAGAAAGCTAATCCAATCCTTCGAGCAATATGCTCCATCTTGCACAAACTCTGCTCGTCGCCGCCTGGTTGCCGCCGTCACAGCCTCCACGGCGCCAACTGCCTACAGTATTGATTCTGTCTCAGGCCCTCCCAAGTACGTTCAAGAGGCCTATCCATACTCAAGGCTAACCTTATTTTGCGGTGTCTCCCGAGCGCCACGTCGAGGGAGCATCGTGCGGACGGACTCTTTACGTCCTCCTGCTGGTTCAGCATTCTCAAACATAACCAGCGCATCTTCTTCTGTACAGGATGTATCATCATGCTCAGGAATTAGTAGAAACTCTTCGACTAATACATTGACTCATAACGGTTTACATCCTGCCTCTCTACCCAAAATCCCTAAGATGGAATTTGAGAAGGAAACGTTAATGGAGGGGCTAGCAGATGAAATGAAAATAGTCCTTGCCTCCAGTGATGACCAAGCGCGTGTTACGGATATGCCCTTAACGGCTGAAGGAACTAACAGAGATCCGAGGAATAACAAGGTTGCACCCGAGCAGGTAAAAAAAAAAAAAAAAAAAAAAAAAAAATTGAAGGTAGAGAATTTCTCTAATACTTATCTTATACATAAATAGAACACAACTGAGGTTACTACAGCGATGCGTAAAGTACTGACTTCTCAACGCGCTCATGCAAACTTATTTGAGGCACATAAGAGACAAGATTCAGGTTCCTCAATACAACAACAAGCACAACAGCAATCATCATCGTCCTCCAATGTCAATATAAACAGTATCCAGTGCAGCTATTTGGCATCTGTTGATACTCCAACTAGAGCGTTATCACACAAGTCATCAATGACCTCTATTGAATCGTCAAGGTCCAGACACCAAGGCTCTGTAGTCCACACTGGTTCTCCATTGTCAACAATGACATCAAATACGATGGCAAGTATCAATGGGTCAACACAGCCAGGAGATACATACTACATGCATTATGAATCATCATCTACTACGTCATTGCCTCCCCTTGTGCACAATATGAGTGCATACTCCATTACAACTACCAGTAATAATGCCAGCTCAACTCTTCTCGGCAGCAGTGTAGGAGGCGGAGGCGCTGGCTCTATTGAGGAAGCTGAGCCAGAACCAAGTATAGCTCCCATACTCAAAGAAGGTCATGCCCTCAGCTCTGTCCCTAGTCCTGCTCCAATTGCTCTGATTAATTGTTGTTGTGGCATCTGTTCACATGTCCTAGCATCTCATCAACAAATTTATCGATGCGAAGGATGCTCACTACTTATTCATGCCGGATGTATTGAGGAATTGCTATACCCATGTGTTCCTTGCGGGTTCGATGAATCTGGTATCTGCTGGAGTGTGTTGCAAATGTGGGCAGGGTTGTTGAAGGGATATCGATCAGGCATCTTAGCAGGACAGCAAGCGCTCCAGCATCAGATGCAGCAGTTTCAACAGCAACACTACATGCAGGCACAAAACCCTAGAGGGGTTTCTGGGCACACAAGGCAGCGGTCAAGCAGTGGGAGTGAAGACTGGGGAAGTGCAGTCGAGAAGGAAACTAAAGATCTGCGGTTCACGTGGGCAAGTCTCCGTGGATGGGCCAGCAGGAGCAGCAGTACAACAAATACTAATACGCCATCGACTCCAAGTGTAAAGAGTCCAGCAGTTGGATTTTCTCAGACCATTGAAGATGCTTCGACACAGCAGCAACCGGTGACAAGAGCAAGACGGGGAACGGGTGGAAGTGCAATGAGCGATGTGGTTCGGTTCCATCGAGATGTTTTTATGAAGACTGTGGACAAGGATGCCAAGGTGAGTGTTGAATAAGGACATCTCAGTGTCAGTGCGAAGTATAGATGTTTTTTTATTTTATTTTTTTTTTTATTTCTAGATTTGAGACGACTGCTATACACTATTATCTGATTATTGATAGATGAATCTTTTTTATATGTATCCTATTTTCTCAGCCGTTTATGACGGCGTTTACAGAATCACAGGCATTTGTACAATTTGTGCAGGACCGCGTTGATCGCTCTCCTGGAGACCCTGAAATCATGTTTTTTGACGAAGTCATCAAAACTAAAATTAATCGCTCACGGTTCCGTCTTGGAAAAGAGGAGACCAAGTTCTTGGACGTATGCCAAAAAAAAAAAAAAAAAAAAAAAAAAAGAATAGTCAATCGCTCTCGGTGCTTTTGTGTTCCAATCTAACACTTTTTTTTTTTTTTTTATCATCCTTCCTTCTGTCTATTTCTAGGACACATCATATGGAATTCAAAGTACTACCAAGGCAGCGCCACCGTCGGGCGATATTGACATTCATAATGGCGAAACAAGACGTTTCCCAACTGGTCTTGATCCCGCATATTTGTAAAGCTCCCTCCCTTTTTGCACTCTTCTAGACGAAATAAAATAATATGATAGCAAAGTTTTTATTATATCCAACCAGTTCATCATGGTATGCATCTACTCAACAACCTGGTGTGCTAATAATTTGTATTTGTGTCATGAACCTAAGAATGTCTTGATCTAAAGTCGAGATTGCACTAAGTGGCCCTTCAAACCCTTGGGATTTGTGAAGGGCTTGATATACTGTTCATAACCGGCAACGACCTCAGTCTTGTTTAAGGGTTCATGTGTTGCCATCTCTGTGTAACGTTCATATATTTTCCCATCATATGCACCAATGGCGCTATGGAGCATGTAGTCCGGAAACGCGAATGCGTCCACCAATGCAACTGCATCAGGACGAATCTTCTTTTCCATAAGCTCCATGATCGCCTCTCCAAGCCATTTAAGATGCTTGGCTTCTAAGTATCCTGAAGCCAAGAACTGACCTGGCTCCTTGTGGATCATGTGCAACGCAAACAAGTCCGAAAGCCTTGTCAAGACCTGTTTAGCACTGCTTGACAAGGAGGCGGTCGGATCTACGACCCCATTAGGTTGAGGCATCTCCCCCCTGATCCCAAGGATAAAGTTTTGAACTAGAACGAACTGACAATGAGCAGTCGAGACGTTATAAATATCGACCAGCATTGAATTCCAGGTTCGTTTCTCAACATCCAACGCGTGCACAACCTGAGCAACTAAATGGGCTGCACGGTGTCCAAATGCAGTCAATTGGATCTCTGGGTTGTGGAATTGGACAGCAGAGGTCACGGGACATTTAAGTGATGGATTCTCAAGATAGGCATTCATGTATGCCAGTGTCGGATTGTTGATCTGTAATGCTGTATTCCGTTCACCAGATGCACGTTTTGCTACAAGCTCGCGGAAGGACTTGAAGAGATAGCGGCCTGTCTGCTGTGAGAGAATGTAATTGTCGCCTTCCCACGTAACATTTGGTACTATTGGATACCATAAGAAAACACGACGCCAATTGTATTATTATTAATATTTAGAAATTGATAAAGACAGGATTAGCATTCCATATGCAATTAAACAAATGAGCTTACCATAATCTTGCAATAACAGTGGAAGACCTGAGAAGCTCGAGAATCCATGTCCACCACAGCAGCGCCTACACTCCTCGATACCTGCAGCCGCCATGGTGGTCGTCAGGGATTTCAACCCTGAGCTGGACGCATGTACGTCCGCCAACAACGAAAAATCGCCCGAGGTCATGTTGTGGACATTGACATTATATAATCTCATCATTTCTTTGCTCGTGAAAAAGAACGCATATGAAGTAGCGATCAATGGCAAGATACGATATTGTTGTGTAGAATAATCCAGGACAGGCGTCTCGACTACTGTCTTTTTATGACTACTACTATCTTCGATCACTTTAGGTACGTCCTTGTCCACGAATTGACGGCGGATTGCAGAATACCGTGCCGCAATCGTCACGGCTTTGGCTAGACCTTGGCGCGCTCCTCCAACTAGAGAAGCACGGATGAGGACCATGCTTCCGTACGAGAGCTTGGAATTGGGTGGTTTAATGTACTCTCCGGTTCCAGGCTTGATGCTGGAGTACTTGGACAAGAGCGAGATCCTTGGGATACGATAGTGATCGAACCACATGCAGCCATTGTCGGTTGTGTTATACCTGATTGGGTTTCAAAGCCCAGTTTTAATAATGTCAGTGGGTGCGTTTACATTATCCAAAACGAACCACTAGAAGTTTCGGCTGACGAAACAAGAAACAAATAAAAAAAAAGAAAATTACCCCAATTTAGGCCCAATATCGCCAGCCATAACACCTGGGAGGAGAGTATGGTCTTCCATCGATCGGATGGGGACCACAAACGGATGAGGTCCATGATCCTTACCAGCACTAATAAGCCTGGCCATCACCACTGCATGGTTCGCGGCTTTACCCAACCCACCAATCCACCATTTGCATGCTGTCAAATAAGGTGTGTGCAATTCAAACTCATCTGTCTCCGGTATATACGTCGCCGTGGTCTCGATTCCTTGCACGTTGCTTCCATGACCCAACTCTGTTTGTGCGTAACACCCAATGATCTCGTATCGTAATGCAGGCTTCAAAAACTTTTCAATTTGTTCCTTACTCGCCTGGGCTTGCAATGTTGGAAGGAACATAGCACGATGCAAACCGAAAGGCCCAGCTTCTGTGATCAGCGAGTCGGCCTGACTTAAGTCATCTGGTCCCCATCGATGCTTCTGAGCGAGCTTTATTAACGCATGGTCTTTGCGAAGTGCGGCAGCAAATCGTTCAGTACGGCCAAGAAAGTATCGTTGTGACTTGTCAAACGCTGGGTCGTGTTCAATAAGCGAAAGAATACGCTTTTGTCGCTCTAAGTAGGCTTCACCATAGAGAAATGTCGACAGCTCGTGGACATCAAAAGAAGCGCGACCGCGTTCCCAAGCCAGAAGGTCTGAGCCTTGAGGTTCAGATGGAGGAATCTTTGGAAAGCGAAGTGCTGACATTACCAGAATGAGGAAGAACTAGAAATGGAATTAGTTGGGGAATAGGGTCATGCAAATAACAGTGGAAGAAAAGGAAAGGGAAATCTATTGGGGAGAGAGTGGAATTCCAACCGACACAAACATCCAATAACTTTATTGATCGAGGCGATTCGCCAACCGAATGAAATGCCTGTGCGCCGGAAATGCATTTACCCTTTCTTTCCCCACAAAGTATAATAATCTTCAATGTGCGGGAGTGTGGAGAAAGGGCACATAATGTTGACTTGACCTGCTGTTTTCTTCCATGGGAAATGACTACATGCATACAAATTGTTGCGGAGTGTACTAACAAGTAGAAAGTTTGAGTAATCCTTAAACTATGAGCTCTTGCCTTGTCTAAGAATATCGCTAAGAATAAATTCCTTAGTTATGATGCGAAGGTAAGGAAGTCCAGCCAGCTCGCGACTTACACATTGGACAATGATGTCTGTCCTTACAGCGTCGCGATAGACGTATCTTTAGTACTTTTCACCACAGCACTTAGTTCGCATATCTACCTCCTAAAGGTTACTATAGTATATCTGCCATGCCTTGTGTTAATTGATGCTGGAACCTCTTGCCCAGTATACTAGATGGAAGTAAAGGACCAACGCCTTTTCCCAAAGCTTTTCTTTCCTTGGTTTCCATTTGAGGCAATCGATGGTGAATCGCCGTCAAGTATGTAGGGGAGGATAAAGTTATTTGAAAATATAGCGTTGATGACTGATTTTGAGGATTTATTCGCGTTTGAGGTACTGCTTGACAGGTGAAGAAGGTTTATTTCTTGGTGCCGCCAAATTTCCCTTTTCTAGGCCGTTACGTCAAACGGGTTGTCTCCTGGGTTGTCCCTATGCTAATCATGATTTCTGAAATATTACAAAGGTTCTAAACTTGAAGACGAGTTGTTATTGATCAGAGAACGGTATTTACTGGCAATGACATAATTGTAAATTTGAAATATGCAATACACTACAACATACAGCCACGAGGAGGAGAAATCATTATAATGGATAACTTGTTAGAAAAACTATTTCATTGAAACAATCCATCTTGAATGACAGTTAAATTGTAAAGTTAAAACGCTGTATTTATTAGGCTTAGTCTAATTGCTGCACTATTACCGGCGACAATGTCCTAATATAATTACATGTAAAAAAAAAAAAAAAAAAAAAAAAAAACTACTACTACAACTACCTCCATTACTTTCATTAGGAGCTAATACATCCTGAAATCGTCCAAGCCTTGTACCATAGCACATACACCCCAAGACTAACGAGCATGAATCCACTGGATAAGAGTACTGTCGAAGGCTGATAGACATAATTTCAATTGTCTATTAGATGCTATTATTATTATTATTTTTTTAAAAAAAATAAACATACAAACAAATCCGCGTCACGAATTCGTACCTGATGCAGTGCTGGCTGGTTCCTCTTCGCTATGGGGAAGACGAATTGCGACCATGAAAACACATATTTGGACTCGTTGTCACCATGAGCATACGGGCAATTAGTAATAAGAGCTGTTAAAGAATGTTTCGAAGGCTCTATTCCATCTCCAGATTGTACGGTTCCGCCGTCTACTGCACTACTGATTAATTTTGTCGATGCTGCTGGATGCATAGGGATAGTACCATTAGTATTACTATCTGGAGTGGTCGATAAAGGTGCTGAGATAGAACTGTTACTACTACTATCCTTAACATCATGTAGCATCTTCTTATCAAGCTCTGCTTTAAGGTTATTCAACTGCTTCAGGAATGCGTTGTTCTCCTTGGCCAACGCCTCGATCTTTCGAGATTTAGCTTCTTCAGACTGCCGCAAGCCCTGTACCTCTTCCTTGAGTGATATTAATTCCAGCTCCAGAGCTTTTTGAACCTTTGCCTCAGCAAACGTATTACCAATACTCTCCCGAGCTTGAGCAATGGCCTCTAAAAGCTCCCGCTTATGTCTGTTTCTCAATTCTTCCTTCTCCTGATTGGTTTCTAGAACTATGCGGCTAATTTCTTCTTGATGCGTGGCCTTCAGTTCTGATAATGCTGTTTCAAACCCCTTCTTTACTGACTTAAGTTCCTGTTTATGCTCCTGGGCCATGCTATTAATACGAGCCATGACAAGGTCCATTTTAGATGCAGCTTGTATCAATGCTTTGTTTGCATTCTCATTGCTGTTACGCATCGTATCCTTCTGAGCTTCCAGATGAGCCTTTGTTTCTCCAAACTCTTTGTTCAATTTCGCAATTTCCTCTGAATGCTCCTGGTTTTTAAAATGGATAAATGAGTAAAATAAAATCGTACTGTAGTAATCAATTTACTTTCACTTGACCTCTGTAAATATAAACTCACCTTATCCTTTCGCTTTAATAACTCTTGATAATCGGCAGCAGATAGGGGCGCTCCACCATTAGCAACTGTTGACTCTTTTTTTTTTGCTACATTAGAGTCGTAGTTATTTACAGTCATGGCTTTCTCCAGCTCCGTTAGGCTATGCTTCAACATCCCTAAGTCCGTATATGTTTCTTGTGATCGCGTGAGCTCATTCTGGAGTCTTGAAATGATCAAGTCTATGTTCTCAATTTGTCCGCCTTGCATTGAAATTGCAGTAGTTTTGATCGGATTGATACTAGATCCAGTTAACGAGGTAGGTCTGATCTTGGCATGGGAGCTTCATTCACGAAAGAAGTAAAGTATACAATAGAGCTCGAAAATTAGTCAAATTAGTGAAACCTGGGGATGGGGGCCAATTATATGATGATATGGGCCTTTTCAAGCTACACAATTGTAGTAACATACTCTTGTGGAGAGCTCCCTGGTGTAGGATATGACATTCGAGAAATATAGATCTTGCAAGACACCTTCTCGTGAAGTACTACACACATGAAAGACTTCAGGTCAGTGCATAATCAAAATGAACCTCGTGCTTATCAAACATGGAGATTTTGTATTATTTCTGCCCTTGCTTTGACCTCGTGCTTCATGCAGCTAATTGGTGTCATTGTTGCTGGGGTTTATTTTGTACTCTCACAAATAAATGAAGAGAAGGGAGGGAAAAAAAAAAAAAAAAAAAAAAAAAAAACTTACGAGCACCGTTTTCATCCATGATGTCAATACCAAACTCGAGGTTGTCATTCTGGTTTAGCTCAAAGGGCTCACTCTCTGTGCTTTCCGAACAGAGTCTTCGTCCATTCAAGAATGTGCCGTTACTTGACTTGAGATCTCGAATAAATACCTGGGCCAACGAAATGTTCAAAGCCATGTATAAGAACTGCTCTTCATTTTATTCTTTATTTTCCTGCTGATGTGATGTCCTCATTCAAGAAATTAGTTACTCACCTTGCCACCCTCTGACCAAACCTCTGCGTGAACACGACTAAGGACTTTGGAATCAAAGTATCCATTCGAAGGATGGGGTGCTGTCGTAACGCCCGTCTGACGACCAATTTTGATTTTGGAGTGCTCTGGTAGCTCAAGAGACTTTAATGCAAATGTGTCGTTGACTGGCTCGAGCACTAGGATGGGACTGTTGGAGGGCTGGTGAGCGCGGCCGTTGAATCCGATGGATCCTGACATTCCATCCATATTTTATTGTGGGTGTAGACGAAGATAGTCGTGACCCAAGCTGACTACCTTGTTGGTTAATGTCTGACCTGAATTCCAGTCAAGAACTTCAAATTTTTGTTACAGAAGTAGCCGAAGATATACCAAAAAAAAAAAAAAAAAAAAAAAAAGAAAGAGCGATGTCTTGTTCAAGTGCTATTATGGTACTCTATTAATATTACTATTTCCTTCTATTGCTTCAATATAGTCAACAAGAGTAGGAAGAAAGGTATTGAGGTAATAAAAAAAAAAAAAAAAAAAAAAAAAAAAGGATTTGTCTGGAAAGGAAATGTCGATAGTCCAATATAATAATTATAACCACCGCTTAATGAATACAGAGTGTGAATGAGCGATGGAGATCGTATTGTAACCGGATGAGAGTGTGTGTGAGCAAGAAAATGAATCGATTCAAATGTGAAGTTCTGAGTGATGAGCAAGCAGAGAAATAGTCCATTGGCGGCAAAAATAAAACAAAAATGCGATAATGGGTCAAATGCACCAAAAAGGAGGATGTCAAATGCCACGCAGAGCGTGTTTGTTTGGACTCCTGTATGTGTCAGAAGTGACTGATGAGGACGGACGCATTGCAACAATCAGTGGATACAATACCAACATGTCTGAAGTTGTGAAGTAGGGATGTAGAACTACAGCAGAAATATGTGTTGAACATGTTAGAGACGATCCGTGTGAACTTCCGGTCAAGCTTATATAGATTTACATGTATTCTACTGCGTACATGTTATTTCAAATTGATTTTTTATTTTTATTGTGATTCTCGACTAAACATCACTTTATTCATGCGCTAGAAAACCCAAATATACAAATGTAAATTATACATGAATATTCCTTTTTAAATATTAATTTATTTTTACTTCTATCAAACACGCGTCAGATCACCCGCCCCATTCCGCAGGATCTCATCAACGACCTTTGTGAGTATATTCACAGGCTTTTGAATTGTTTCCATGATGTTGCCAGACTTCTGTTTCTTGGAGATCGATTCTAATAGGCTATTCTTTGTGGTAAGCCCACAGCATAGACCAAGAGATTTGTGATCCTCGCATGTTTAAATTTTTTTTTTTCCGGCACATGGACAAACTTTGCTCTATTGCCTCATTTGCACATTGTTAGTCTCCCATGGCAGTGAGACAAGTTAAATCCTTCTTCCGATTTTTTTTTTTTCTGATAAACCTCAGTTCTGACATCGCTGCCTCGTTGATCAAACGTTCCGGGTTTATAAATTTCTTCCATATCGGCTTTCCTTTCAGTTACGGATTGTGAAGATCACTAAGAGACAGATGGTAGGAAGAGGAGAAAGATTGGTAAAGAGGTGATGTTAAACATTCAAGTAGTCATGTGCATGCCAATATCACAAAAAAAGCGAGCAGGGAAAAGAAGGGCGAAAGGAAAGAAAGAAAATCAGGAAGGGTTAGGGTGGAGTAACATCAAAAAAAAAGAAAAAAAAAATGTGAATGCACGCACGCTCCTCACCCTTTTTTAATAGACTACTCAGATTTCTGAGATTGCTCTGCTTTTTCTTTTCTCCTCTCGAAGAAACGTTTTTCCAGCCCACGCATGATTGAAATGATTGAATAAAATAATAAAAAAATAAAAGTGATGGGTTTTTTCAATTGAAACACCACCCACAGGAACAACCTACGGTGAACAGCAGAAACACTTAGACCCAGTCCATGTCTTTTTATTTAAAAAAGCGTCATAAATCTTGGCCTGGTCGATCTATTTGAAGAAATAGAGAAATAGGGTCACAGGGATTTCTTTCTTGACTACTCAAGTGGATCAAAGAACGGAAACAACAGCACTCTCTCTCACTCTTTCTTTCCTCTCCACTCAACTTCTTCATTCCCTCTCCCTCAGACATACTTTTATTCTCAGACTTTCTCTTGGACGTCTTTAATCACTCTCCTGCCTTTCCTACCCCTCTCGCCATTCTCTCTCTCTTTTTTTTTTTTTTTTTTTTTTCCTTCTGTCATCCTTACAACCTTCCCTCTCTCTTTTTTCATTCTTTTTATCTCTCTCTTTCTCTCTCTCTCTCTCTCTCTCTACTTTGCGGAAGGTGTGGAATGTTTGTGCACAATTTAGAATTTTAACAAATCATCCTCCTTACCTTGTTCCAGCTCTAGCCTCAGTCGTCAATCATTTCCAACAACGCCTCTTCTATAATAATCTCATTAACTAACGCTTTCTTCTTTTGTCCCTTCGACCTCCTCCACCTCCTTTCCTCTTCTTTTACCTCTTCCCTCTATACCACTGCCATCTTTTGCGCTACCTTAGTTCTTCCTCACCCTCTAGTCAAGATCCAATTCTTCTTCCTCCTGTCTCCTCGCCAGAACTCCAGAACCTGCTCTTTTCGAACGTCCCCTTTCCTCCCTCCACTTGGCATGGCAGTTAGTCCTTGCATATCCATCCCTGCTTTGTTGCCCTTGATTTCCTCCTTGGCTACCTCATTCTTCTTCCATCCCCTCCCTCCTTCCACACCCTCTCCTTCATCTAATTATCCGACTGAGAATAAACAAGCCAATAACACTCTCTTCAAGCCATGGTCTCTAAAGCCATGCGTCAGATCATTCTGATCGGCGTCATTTGCTTTGGCACCATTGGAATGTTCAATGCAATGTCTTCGATCGGAAATGCTGGAAAACATTCACCTACAGCTCAGAACCTCGCTATTACCTCCTCCTCTATCGCCTACATCATCGGATTCCTTGTTGCCGGAGGAACACATAACATGCTTGGACCACGACCCTGTGTAGCCTTTGGCGGCCTCACTTTTTTCCTGTACGCCGGAGCAATGATGCTTGCAAAAGATAATGAACATTCGATCTACCCCCCTCTTGCCGGCATCCTACTGGGACTTGGTGCCGGATGCATCTGGGTCACACAAGGAGCAATGATGATGTCTTATCCGACTGAAGACAACAAGGGCAAGTATATAGCTTGCTTTTGGTCAATCTTCAACCTCGGCGCCGTCCTTGGATCTGTCTTCCCTCTCGTCATGAATAGCCGTCCAGGGATGGATCCCGACGACTTTTCACCCTCAACATACATCGTGTACATGGCCCTCATGGGCTCCGCCACATTTCTAGCCATCTTTCTCGTCCGTCCTTCCAGTATCGTGCGAGATAATGGTGAACCTGTGGTTGTAGCCGAATTTGCTGGCGTCAAGGCCGAGTTTGTTGCCATTCTATCAGTCTTCTGTGATTGGCGTATGCTCCTCTTAATCCCTGCATTCTTCTTCTCCAACTTCTCCTATACATACCAATTCAATGATTTTAACGGTTTTACTTTTAACATCCGTACACGCTCCCTTAATTCCATTATCTTCTGGGTGGCACAGATCCTTGGAGCACTAATCATTGGAATGCTGCTTGATCGGCTTCCTATGAAGCGACCTAGGAGGGCTTTACTAGGTCTGTTGGTGGTAGCAATTTTATTCAATTCTACATGGATCGGGGCGCTGCTAATGCAACACAAATACAACTGGGAACGAAGGGCGCCCAATAGTAAAGACTTGATTGATTTTGAACACGGCGATACCTACTCAGGACCTCTCACCATCTATGCTATGTTTGGTTTCTGCGATGCGGCTTTTGCAGTATACTGTTACTGGCTCATGGGCGCTCTCTCCAATAAACATGAAGAACTCTCGCGCTATGCTGGGTTCTTCAAGTCAATCCAATCACTCGGGAGTGCCGTTGCAGCGCCACTCGACCTTGCCCAAACACCATTGCGAGCCTATCTCATCATCAATTGGATCTTATGCGGCTTCTCCATCGCAGCCATGTTTCTCGTTAGTAGGACCATCACAGACACAACAGTTGAAGTACATGGTGAGGGCGACGTGTATGCGGACGACGAGGAACCAACTGAAATGCTTGAAGCGAATTTGACTCATGCCGGCGCTATGGCAAATGAAGGGACCGGCAGCTATCAGCAACGCCAATCTGTGATTGGCACCAGTTTCTTTGATGAGAACGTGAGTACAATCTGCGCTAAGAGTGAAGAAAATAAAGTCATATGCGGTTCACCAACAAGTGGCCAAAGATCTGGAGGCTGGCGATCCTGTAACAGAGTACAGAGTTTTGATGAAAGAGAAATGGAGGAAGGCTACTCTCATGGGTTTTCCTCGTCACGACCGGGCCCTGGACCTGGAAGTCATGACTCTTACACCTCAACTGCTACTGCGGTCTCAAATGAGAATCATGGCAAACGTAAGAGCAGCTCAGTAATTTCGGCATCATCAATAGTAGACCCAACTACGTGCCCCTCACCCACGCTTCAACATCCTCAGGGACATATTCGAAGCGAGTCCCGTCTCTCGAGAGCACCGCCAATGGTGGAGATCCAAGATGATACAATCTATCTGAGCCAGCAGCGCCCACAACCACACCAACACCTCTCTGTCCCACTTACGCAACATTCATCTGTAATACCCTCCATATCATTGACCACTGAGCATGCTTCGAGTTCTCAATCTGGCATTGAGCCCTCGGCGCCTGCAACATATCTTCATCCCTTTGACTACTTGAGTGCAGGAACAGCAGCGTCTTCAGCATCTGCACTGTCTGCAGCACCACGATCAAGCTTTGGTGGCGCCAGTAGCTCAGGATCCACAAGATACGATGAAGAACAAGACATGGATTCTGTCGATACATGCTCGCTCTCGTCCTTGTCGTCTGGTCACGACTCCATACCAGAGATGAGTGACATGGGTCCTGTCTATGGGTCAAGTCGCTTATAATGGCGATTTAATATATATTCTACTCCTTACTCCGTGTACCATAGCTACTATAATGATAATCATTTGCATCTTAATAAAAAAAAACTCTTTTGATGAATAAACACAAACACTAGTTGGAAACAACACAATCCCAGCATCATTATCTAATAGGCTGGGATACTTGGTACACTTGCTATTGTACAAAGTTGTTTTAAAAGCTTTAGATGATCCAACTTTATCCTCTGCTAACCTCTCACGTCCATGAGGCCGATTCTACATTTCCCCAGTCGCAACCACCGTAAGTGAATTTGTCCACGATTAGTACTTTTGCTCATCATCCAGTCGTAGACACAATAACTTCTGTTGATCGCGTAGGTAACCGATAACTGCGTTTCAGAGGCTACTTATCCCCTGATCTCGATATATTCGACAGCTTGAGCCATATTGTTATGGCAGGAGGGCACTTGCGGGACGAAATATATTCATTCAGTCGGATGACAACATACCAAGAAAAGAGCCCTGAAATACCCATGAAAGATGCAAGTTGAATCACCTCCAATCAATACTTTCTTCTACATCAAAGAGTTCGTATATGGCCATGTAGCGATCTCAGGCTTAAATAGAAGTACTTCCCAGACCACTAATAACTATGTGCACAGTAGCTGCCAGCTCCTTCTTTAATTGACGTTGTAGTCAATAAATGAATAGAAGTTGGCTTGTCATCTGACTATATTAATGATCATGAAATTCTCTGTATGCCTCAATAACGCTCTTTCTCGTCTTCTGAAGCTACCACCGAAATTCGATTAAAGAGGAGCAGAATGCTTTCAATGACCAGTGAAATCCTCACTGTTTAGGTCATGATTCAGTCCTAATACTCTGATGATATATTCATATCTGACTATACTCCATGATCCTCCGAATCCTTTGTAGGCTTTTCATGGTTTTTGTCTAGTGGTGTGTTACTTTCAAGATTCGAGATTAATTGATTAGTCTGCTATACCGATGATCCAGCAGGCAAATTAGTTGACAACATATTGTTGAGCAGGCGTTGGAGTGAACGTATACTTAATACATTCGACTTTTTTATTTTGGAGATAATCATACTTCCTGGGCAAAATGCCATGTTCTTGCTTCAATAGAATTACAAGTACACGCTGTTGCGGCATTATGGGTTATTGAGGGAGGGGATGGTTCGGAAGAGTACTGTCGGTCTCTTTCGAAGAGTTTCAGCATATTAGAGTGCTTTCGCCTAATGACGATCGATTAAAACCGATAGTAGTAATAAATAATAATAATAGTAATAAATAGCAATAACGAGTGCATAGTTTAGCATGACTTGTAAATTTTCATTCTTATTTGTGTCGTCGATGAAACACGGCCTGTTTAGGAAAGTCCGGGTAATTCGGACGTCATGGGTCTGTCCGTTCAGTGCTTCTTGACGAACCGTTTCATTCATTCCAGTAGTTTCTGTTTATGACTCCTTGCTTTGATGAATACTTCAGTCTATACTTGCGTTTTTCACTGGAAGGAAATGACAGGGAGGAGTAAGAAGCGACCTACAGCCGCGAGCTGAAAAGAAATGATGGTCAATTAGTTTATACACTTGGGCAATTATCCAACGTGTGCGGAGCTGTCATTTTCTAAGGTGACTCATTCAACGTGTACATTTCCTACTAATATATATTATAGTTATCTGATATGACCCATCACAGAGCTGAAAGGCGATGGATTGAAGTGTCGTCAAAGGCATTTGTTGCACCTTTTTTTTTTTTTTTTTTTTTTTTTTAATTTATTAATCGAATTGTAGTTTTTGCCCGAATGGATATCGCTCAACCGCTTCGCCCAAATCCTAGACTTTCTTTAAAGTAAAAAATATCCTCCCTGTCTTATACTCCATTCTTCAAGCCCCAAACCTTTGACATTTTGCATCCGGTATTACATCTTGAGAGAGACAAGCAGGTAGGTATAGTATGAGAGGTATATTTCTTTTCATTAAAAACTAAAATATCAATGGAATTCTGGTATTTGATATCCGTTATCCGAAAGTTACAGTATCGTAATCGAGCGCGTGAAGCGTTCTTAATTCGGTAAATAAAAACAATGAAGGAAGACCATTGATTGTACCAGAGATATGATGAAAGGATGTGTAAGTAAGAACAAGGGCGCGATTGAACTATAACCTTGATCAGGCCAGAACACAGATCACAATTGACGAGGTACGTGGGCATCCTCCTAGAGACATGGCTTCATCGCATTCGAGACTTTATGTGTATATTTATACAGCTTGATTTGGACAAGAAGATCAGGGATTGAAACACTGGCAACTTTAAACCAGGACACAGCTCGGCGAGATAAAGAATATGATTTTTTTTTTTTTTTTTTTTTTTAAATCACGTATTCTAGGGCTGTGTTGCACTTGCGATCACTCCACATCTTATTGGCGATTCATCGTTGTTTATGATCAGTTGTCAATTCATTTCTTCATAATTTACAAGAGTCTCAATCATTAATTCATTCATCAAACTATGGACGAGCAACCGACTGCATTTCACAATATACGACTTCGCTTCCACTTAGGACCGACTAACCTCGGTATCATGGGGTGCTTAGAAGAGACTATGGGGCTTTACCCCGTCATTATCCATCAACACGACTTCCGCTTTGATGTTTACGGTTCTCCTATGGATGTCGCAGACGCGATTACAGGAAAACTCCTTGTCAACAACCCTAGTCCAACCTCTCCACCACAGCAGGTGATATCCCCGTGGGCTGGGCTGGGCATCCAGACTCTGCATCCATCAGTTCACGAAACCAATGGGCTATCCACAAGAATAGATGAAAATAATAGGGAACTGTCACGAACTGATTCAGACCTTTCACACAATCAATATACATTCACAAAGAATCCACAAACAATTTTATCTGGAGATATCCTTGAATACAGAAGATCTTATTCCTCATCATCACCACCAACATCCTCTTCACCATCGTCGCCGATCACGGGAGACCAGGACGTTAATGATTCTACTCCAAGCATCCCGCCGCTAATATATCTTGCCAGGCCGTCAATATGTGATATCATTGGGCCGCCAGCACATAATGGCACCAAGCTATCGAAGCATGGTGACAAAGATAAAAGAGATCAAAAGGATGAAGATTATGGACAATCGCTCTTTAGAGCAGCAAAAACAGATTATCAGATGGAGCAAGAGCGTCGAGCGGACATGGGTATGCACAAATTTGGTAATGATCCGACGCCTTGGACTTTGAGTATCATTTTAAGCATGCATGAAAAGATAGCTCTCTATATACTCCATATATCGGGCGGACTCATGTCCTACCTTGTAGAGGAGAAGGATCTAATATCATGTGCTCATAAAGATATGACACCAACAGACCTTGAGACCGTGTCACGAAGCGCAGGATTGTCAGTGGGTATCTCGAAAAACCAATTAACGCGATCAGATGAAATTCCGGTGTGGATCCAGGTTGGCGATATGAAGGCTTTACGGGCTATTCTAAAAGGAATCGCCAAGGCACTGGCGACAGAGCCGTTATATAGCCTGGAATCAAAATGGATATCAGATGAAGAACGCATTCGACGTTCATCATGGGAACTAAAACTTCGCCAGTATAAAGGCCCAACTGCGCATAATTCCATAGAAGATGAATGGGTTACATTCAAAGATGAAAATAATCAGTCATACAAAGAAAATTCCATCTGGCCTCCACAACAGCATGGCCAACCTATCATTGTGACCCAAGAAAGCGCACTATATGATCAAAATGTGGATATGGTGATGGCGGAAGACGAGGAAGTAGAAGAAGAAGAGAGTGATGACCATGATGGGTGGTCGAGCAGGATCTCAGTAAGTGGATGATATATAAAGAAAGGGACAAGTGTGCAATTTCTCTCCCATGTCCTCATTCTTTTCTTTTCTTTCTTTTCATTTTCTGTAGTCACCACAAACGCCCTCCACATTAAACGTCATGCATCATGACCCCTGGGCAGGCCCTCCGCCAAATCGCCCACGTGAAAGCCGGGGTTCAGAGCGCCTGCAAACAAGACACCGGATGTCGAATAATGGGGTTTTTACCAGGGCAACCAGTGGCAGTGTTATGAGCTTTTTCGATGATGACGAGCCTCAAACCCAGCAGAATCAACAAGGTGAAGAGGCTGGAGACGGAACTAGGGACACTAGTTCTAGCATACCACCGTCAAGGTCGGGATCAGGTCCCTTACCAAGAAAAGAAAGATACCGTGGAACAGCTGGCACCACCATGTCAGATCCTGGCCTTATTGAGAGAAATGTGTCATTTTCAGGAGAGAGGATGTCACGCCACTTCGGATCTCCTGAGCAAGTCTCAAGGATAATACTTAATTCTAATTCACGGACTACATCACGTACGAGTACACCATCGGGCAGGAGAGTCGTTGTTGCCGATGGATCTGGGCGCAGATAAAGTGGCTTGAATGACCTTCCTATAAGAGATCTAGAGAATGATAAGAGTTCATGTCCACAAAGTAACCAGTGATATCCAGTGTGATAGAGCTCATGAAGTTTTGCCTAGAATGCTTGGTAGTGTGAAATATGCAAACAAGCAAGCAACTGGAAACATTAAATGAGAAAATATACACATTAGAAGAACGCCACCATTTTTTTTTTTTTTTTTTTTTTTTTCTTTCCTCCACATCCACCTCACTTCATTCAATTTCTAGGAAATAACAAAGCGCATTCAGCATGGTAAATGCGATTGATACTTTACATTCCCCGTTTTTAGAGATGAGCAGCGGGATTTGACCAAGTCAAGGATGCATGAGGACACGGATAAAAAAGATTCATTAACTCAGGATCATGCAATTTGGTTACGTACTCTGTTTTTCTTTAGGCTTCTTCGCAATACTACCGTGTCAAGCGTCATACACAAACCATCTTCATTAATAGCGCCAATCCCAAGACGGATACGGTCGCAGCACTCAAGCAGCGCATTGTTAAAGCATTAATCACAACTCTGAAGAACAAGAACGACGCAGATTCTGGAGGTCATATCACCTCATCGACGCAGATCCAGCTTTATATTCCAAGCAAAAAGGATCCTAACCAGTACCAGCAGCTAACCGACTCGAAATCCTTAGCAGACTCTGGTCTTGTGGACCAGCAAGTCATCGCTATGACCTTTAAGACCCCTGGTATGCTTCTTCATCACTTTTTACTGCATTTAATTGTATAAAAAAAAAAAATTTACACCTTTTTATTCTGTTTCTTATAGAAGGAGTATGGGAGAATGTATATATTGCGCAACCAGAGGCCGTGGCGGATTTAGATGATTTGGAAGATGAGGCTGAGGAAGTAGAAATCACAAGATCCTCCAAAGGCAAGGAGCGCGCATGAAAAAAAAAAAAAAAAAAAAAAAAAAAAAAAAGCAAGAGTCAGGAGAAAAGAATGATGATATGAAGAAACAAAAATAAAGAGGTTTACGTGAAATAGAGAGTAATATCGTCCATGATTAAAATTGGCTCAGGATGATTAAGCATGGTGCCTACACGTTTTTTTATTCTTTTATTTTTATTCTATTTCCGAGCAAGCTTCTGGATTGAATAGAATAGAAAGTAAAAACTATAAAATATGAATAAATTAATTGCAATCAAGCACATCACTTCATGATTTCATGATTAAGGGTCAAGCCTTTGTGGCACACATTTCTTTGAACGGCGAAAAGAAAAAGAAGGGGAAGAGACAATTCTATCGTTTTCCTTCCAACCAAATCCTTTGCTTCTACATCTCTGTTTATTGATATAAATATTCATACTCTTTATTTTATTTTATTTTATTTTTTTATTCACTCACTTTGACCTTTTCTCCATCAAAACCAATAACCCCTTTATTTGTTATTTAAAAAAAAAAAAAAAAATTACACCTTGAGCTAATAACACAAGGAAGAACAGGAAAAAGTCTCTCTCCGATGAACACGCCTCTGGATTCTACTACGGATCAGGACGAGTGTAGTTCCGCCGCGTCATTTGCTCATTCACTTGTTGTCGCGCCGCTCGATACGGCCAATACCATCCATAACATTAGTCTTGCTCTCAACAATGGGAGCGATGCAACTCAAGCGGATGTCTCAATGGATCTTACCACCACTTCCACGGACGCGGATGCTCTAATGAAAGATGTCACAGATGCAGTGCAGAGTAATATGACAGCTACAGAACAACAGCAACAGCAGCCTGCAGAAGCACGTATGGCTGTTGCTGAACTCCTAGTCTCTCTCGCGCAAAACTCTCGTAGCAATGAGTAAGTGTGTTATAGTACGACATAGGAACATTGGAGAACAAAGAGGACCACCGCCTTCATAAAAGAAAAAAAAAAAAAAAAAAAAGGTATCATGCGCAGGTTGTAAGAAAGACGGGGAAGAAAGGATGTACTGAATCAAGTTTATATTCTTCGGATCAATTTTTTTTAGGGCTTCAACATCACAGGATGATGGAACAGCAGCAGCCACTTCGGCGTTTGTCAGCGCAGTAACAGGCAACCCGCAACCAATAACTGATATGACACAGGAATCGCCAATCTTTAAAAACGCCGTAGATTATGTTGGGTCTGTAAAGAAGGCCTATGAAAATAACCCCAAGGTGTACACAGAGTTTTTGTCCGCTCTCGGGGAATACCATAATCAAAAGTATGAGACAAAGCTGCTATATACAGCCATTACGTTTTTTCTTTTTTTTTTCCTATAAGTATAGTTGTATTATCACTATTGCTCCTAACCGTATAAGAGCAATGACAAAAAAATATGATTGATTTTGTATCGAAGCCTACCATTAGATCGAATGGTACAAACAGTGATGACTCTTTTCCAGGATCAACCAGATCTTTTACTCGGATTCAAAGAATTTCTGCCAGAAGCACAGGAAATTTTGAATCAATTAGTGCCGGTACGTATTTTTTTTTTTTTTTTTTTTTTTTTAAAAAAAAAAAATAAATAAATAATAAGTAAAAAAAAATGGTCTTATTCAAATGGTCAATTTCCCATTTTACATTCCTAGCCAATGATGTATTCGGATTATAAGGGAAACGCGTCTAAAATAGAAGTAAGTAACGTTGGATCTCCAGCTACAACCAGAGCAACTATACCCGCCGCATTGATAGCTACACCAGGTAAATATATTCATCATCCAAAAAAAAAAAAGTATATACTATGGACATGCCTCGTTGACCTTTTATTTATTTATTTCTCAGTAATGGGCGTTCAGCAGCCAGCACAAAACTTTAGTACTAATGGAAGAGATGGCGCGGCAGCAGATTTCCTGAGTATGATCAAGGTATGAAAGAGGCAGTCGAAGAATACACAGCTTTTTTTTTTTTTTTTTTTTATATATATATAAAAAAAAAAAAAAAAAAAAAAAAGTTATACACATGACGCATGACAATTCATTATGTATTTTGCATTTTGGCTTTCAGGAACTATCGCAACAAGAACCGAATATGTATCAACATTTGATTACCCTTCTTCGAAAATTCCAAAAGGACCATAACTATGCAAACGTAAGAGCAGAAATATAAAACAGTGAGAGATAAAATAGGCGAAGCAATAACAGAAGTAGAGGCATAGCATACTCAAGCGCTTTTTTTTTTTTTATTTATTTATTTTTGTTTGAACTCATATCATATCTGCTTCTCCAGTTATACTTTTACGTCTCGATAATTCTGCGGAATCACTCTCATTTGTTACAGAGGTTCCAAAATTTCCTTCCTTCGGTTGTTTCTGGTGTAGAAGTGACAGAGCCAAGGATCATATCAAAAGCACCGCCAGAAGAACTGGTTGTATCCCCTGAATTTATCGAAGCAAAAGACTTTGTACAAACTGTCAAGGTAAAAAAAGCTCTTTCGTCACATGGCCAACTCGTCATAATCAATGAAAGTAGAATACCCATTTATCTCTTCCTTTCCTGTAACACATACCATTCCACGAAATTAAGCTCGAAGCCAAGAACGATCTATCAATGTATGACAGATTTATTATTGCACTGGAAAAATATCAGTATAATGGGTGGACTCTCGATCAGGTAAAACATCATGATCATCCTTTTCAACGCTATTATGAGTTGATGATACCCAATGTAAGAACTCTTGAGTCTCAACCTCTTTTTATACTTCATCCGCACCATCTCATATTAGGTCTATTCAGAAGTCTCGCTTATTTTTTGGAATCATCCAGATGCATTGATCGGATTTAAGCAATTTATCTCATCGGTACCGGCCCAATCTTCACAACTCTGAAGTATATAGGTGTCCCACGCTTGTCACACGTTCCATGAACATTAACCGCACAAGTCATAGAAGCTCGAGATAAATTTTTTTAAAAATCCTTGTGAAGTATTGAATATTGAATTATTTTTTTTTTTTTTTTTTTTTTTTTTTTTCGTATTAGACATGACAAATAACTGCTTAATAAAAAAATGGTATGGGCCATTTAGTCATGATCTACACAACACATTTAGGGAAGGTGAAAGGGAGGGATATCTCAGAAAGTGAAGGGTAATCTAGAAAAAAGAAGAGAGTGTATTTTATATTCCAGAAAATCATAGCTTTCGAAAGTCATTGAATAATGCTCTATGTATCACAACGAGGCAGGCAGATCAATATAAATGACCACCTTTGTTGAGTCTGTAGTGGACACAACAAGTAGATTCAGTGATGTGATGGTTACTTGAACTCCATGGGATACATTTAATAAAAGAGTGTAACAAAAGGAACAATAGGTATCCTTTACTTCACCATGCCGACAGGCAAGTGCATGCACATTAATAAAAAGAGCTTATGTTCGATGAAAATATCAAAGGAAGCTAAAATATCTAATCGATAAAAAGTCGTATGGAAGCTCCGTTGCTCTTTCACCAGGATTTTTTTTTTTTTTTTTTTTTTTTGCTACTTAATGGGATAATAGGCTTCCTCTGGGACACGGTACTCACTTTTCTGCGATTGCTTGACCCATTCTGTGGTAACTAGGCGTGGTACATCAAACGAACTTGCATCAGAGCCGTATAATGTAGAGATCCGCATGGCCTTCTGCCACTCATCTAATGGCTCCAAATAGCAGGGGTCAAACAAGACAATAATCTCATTCGGAATGCCGACATATCTTTCATCCAGCTTGAAATCATAATTGGCACTGACACGATCTCGTAAAAGCTGCTGACAATGCTCTATATTGCATTGGTCCGGCGGCATAATCACAGCGCCATGAAACTCAAGTATTTGAGAAATCATATCCAAGCTGTAGGAACAAAAAGTAGAGCGAAAATGATTCTCTTGTTTAAAAAAAAAAAAAAAAAAGAAAAGAAAAAGACAAAGACGAAGACAAAGACGAAGACAAAGAAAAGAAAGCCTTACTTTTCCCGACATAATTGGTAGCGACATATTTTGTCTAACATCTGGTCTAATTCTTCTTCATAAGCTTTCTCCTTGTCGACATACTCCCAAAAAGGACTTCCCATTCCCAGACTTTCGATTTCCTTCATCCTTTGTGATGATTTGGCGTCAAGATCCGCCATGATCTGAGAGGCACTCTCATCTCTCCTCATACTCCAAAAGTCGATTGTATCAGATAGGACATCAAATGTCGATTCAAATTCTCGTGTTGGGCCTTTTGGGCATTTCGTATTCCAAATTTTCGGCCTTGTAAATGGAGATCCTGGATTTGTATCATCTGGTTCACGCTTTACTTTGTTAGTCGCATATTTGGGCACTGTAGTTGAGGGCTGGGATGCAATTGACTGCAGCAACTGTGTTGGTGAAGGCGGATAAACCACAAACACCTCTAGGCCTTGAAACATGCCAAGAGGCGGTTCACGTTCACCTTCCTTTCCATAATACCGCCGTGTAAGCTCAGCCGCAATCTTCCGTGCACGGCGAGCATCTTCTTGTTCCCAATTTTTATCGAGGTTGTCGATCTCCATCTGTAAAACCACCTCTTTGTCGTCTATATCCTTGTTGACAGCTGATGATTCAATTTGATCAGCAAAATTATTAAGCCTCTTCATTTTATTCCTTGCAGCTGTTTCTTCAGCAGCCTTCAAACGCCTGCGCTTGACGACTTCGCTTCTATTAGGCATCTTGTCCAGAATTTCTTGCAACCCCTCCGCAGTGAGTGGCTCGGTATATGAATCCTTGTACTCGTCCATGATCAATCGGAATTGCTTTTCAGTTTCTTTTGTTGTAAACAACATGTACTTTGGGTTTAAAGGAATTAGCCGCAACTCGTTAATGCAGGCGCGGATCCATGTAGGTAGAACAATGTTTCTATGACCCTTTTTTTTGAGTCCAATAAGGTCAGGCCCTATAATACCGCGAAAGGGATTTGAAGAGCATTGATGAACAAACAATTGCCGCACTCATGAAGCGGATAAGGAAACCCCGGTATTTTCCATGAACTAAAAAAAAAAAAGAAAAAACAATTCCATACCATGAACTCCTGCAATGATGATGGTGCCTTCCACTTGATCGGACTGAGACTGCTTCCCCCCGAATCGCTTGATCAGTACTTCTAACTCTGACTTGGAATGCTGCTGATCGCCCCGTACGACCCAGAAAACCTGGCCTTTGAAAAGATCTGTTTCGATTTTGAAGGCACTCATATCCCCAACAATGCTGTGTAACAGACGTGCTTGCGTTGACTATGAAGGAGACGTAAAAAATAGTATTTTCCGTCTCAGACTCTGTAAATAAAGACAAAAAAAAAAGAGCCAACACACCAACATGTCTCCAATTGAAACGTTGTTCGTCACTTCGCATGCATACCTTCCGTGGCCCAGCCAACTTCTCCTTGACCTTAATAAGCGCGGTAGAACTTCTGGCACTGAATTGTTTGTTGGAAAGCTTGCCTTTAAATTCACGAAACATGCGATGAACTTCACTCATGGTCATACATGAATCCATGTCTTTATCCTGGCGAATGTGTAGGAACCGAGGGAAACGGAGCGTATATTCTGCGGCATAAGAATCCGTGTTGGGTAGGATCTCCGAAGCCTTTACTTCTACTACAATAGACCTTTTTTTATTATTATATTCTCGGTTAGTAAAGCTATATCTCAGCCTTTTTTGGGCTCTATTATTATGAATCAGAGACACCTCAAATACATACTTGGCAGGATCAATAATCACATCGGGGCGCATCTTGGCACTGTCGAACATCTCCACCCATGGGTTCTCCTTGTAATACTTATACTCTTTCCAGTGAGGCGACAGTAAATCACTATTTGCAGCATCGCCATGACAAATGCAATTGAGTATTAGCTGGGAACAAATGCCATGGAACTAGCTTTGTTTCATTAATAAGGACATGCCTGAATTTCCCCATCTGCTGATAAGAGAAGCCGGAACCAAACTTGCAAAATGTCAGGAATTTCTTTCCAGTAGAGGATTTGGATGTATTATCGCGTACTGCGCATAAATAAGAAGAAATGACACCTTGACCACCACGGGAGCCTGTTCCATAGTAACCTCCCACGATAAGGACGTCTAAACTGTCACAGATACCGTCGATATACTCTGGTTTAATCTTTACCCAATCCTTCCCTCTGCCATTAGGTAAATACACTGACCGCGGGTTTTTGACAATGACGCCTTCCTGGCGATCCATTACAGCTGCATCGATTGCATCGATAATGTGCTGCTCTGTGGAAGCGACTTGATATTTTAAAATTTCCAAATGTCCCTCACGCTCTTTGATGAATATGGAGGGTAGCATATCACGTCGAGCCTCTAGCGGTTGATCAATGATGGATGCGCCGTTCATGTACAGCACATCAAAGACAAACACTGGATCGTCGGAGCAAATTTTGAAAGCAACCATTAGTATCATGGTTTGAACGCTATACTGCATGTAGATAAAATAGAAATGAACTGCTGCTTACAAAGCGGTCGTCTTTTATGCTTATCGCCAGAATGATCTCCTCCTGCAGTCTTGACCGTTCCAAAACCAAGTATTTGTTTAGTTGCTGGATCATATTCGACCATTTCGCCATCCAAGATCAGACTTTCAACTTTTGGGTTAATGAGTGGATGGAGGAATGGAGTAAGCGAACCCTCTTCTGACGTAGCCCCATAGAGGTGAGTATATTCTGTAGAGTTCCTGGACCAATATCGATACTTATCCCCGTCTTTATGAACCTGTACGCGCTCTCCATCAAGTTTGGTTTCAATCCAGAAAGTCATATTTCCCATGCTTTCTACTACGTCTTTGGCACTTGGTAGCCTCTTTGAGAGCATGGGCTTGTATGGACGGCCAAGGCTAACAGTAGAGGTGGAAATACGTACTGTTGGGTCCGCACAATCAAGGACAGTCTTCCGAAGGTCACTGCACACATTAAATAGCTCGAAAGCATCTTGATGATAGCATGGAAGAACAGAGTTTTCATTCATGTGAATCTTGAGATCTCGGTTGATGATTCGCACAATCCATTTATTTTCCAAGGGTGTATAGCTTTGGACAAGCGTTTTAAATATGTGTATGTTATCCGATCCTCTAAATTAAAAAGAGAGACATGCTTGTGTTAATGTCTTTCCACATCTCTTATTTTTGCATTCCGATAGTTTGCTTAGCATACTTTCTTGAGAGCCCTGTAAGAAGCCTATTGACATCGCGGATCGTTTGTCCTTGTGGATGGGTCACTAGCGACCGACTGGCCACCACTTCTCGTACTATTAAACTGAAATCACCGCTTGAATCCTACGATTTGAAGCGTTGAGTTTTTTTTTTTTTTTTTTTAATACTATTACTAGTGATTTATCAGGAGTCTTTTTACAATTGGAATTAGATGTTATGGCCTCTTACCCGAGAACCCTCTTTCCAATTCTTGAGTTTAATGGCCGGTTCAGAGCCGGGCAGGATGTTCAGGCTTATGATATACAAATCTGCCATTTTTTGTTCCTTGAGACCATAGCGACCCCTTTCACGATCAAGCTAATGATTAGGGGAATAATTTGATCAATCGACTTGTTCAAACAAATATTGCAAAAAAAAAAAAAAAAAAAAAAAAAGTGCAGAGCTATCCTCACCTGAGGCAAGATAAGCCTGATAACTGGAAACATGTCACCATACCCATTTTCGCGCCATTCCTACAGTTGTTGGACCCAAAATAAAATAAAACAGCATTACATTTTGCTGGAAAGCGAAATAAATAATGAAATTGTTTTTCTATTCTCTTATTTATTTATTTTATCTATACCTGGAAATACCTGCGCAAAAGTGGCGACTTTTCTGTGCGTTTTCTTGAAATTTCTTCCAACAACATTACGAGATCATGAAATGGCGGGCTGGGCACTGTTGGATCATTATCTTGGTCATTATTAGTGGAGGAAGATTCATCTTTGGGAATAGATATTCGTGAAGCCCTTTTAGAAGAACTATCCGGTGTAGTGGCCATTGAGCTTTGTTTTCTTTTGTCAAGAAAGGCAGGCTTTCAGTTTATCTGATGGTGCTCTAACGGTTAAAAGGCTAGTAAATCGCAAGGGTGGAAGTAGCAAAGAAATTAATAAGAAAAAAAAAAAAAAAAAAAAAAAAGTGTGTTGTTACTGAGCATATTGGTGGCAAAGAAGGGCACTGATCGTCACGAGTCAGATGCAGTCACATGGGCTTCGCTTGAAATGGAATGAGATGAATGATGAAAATAACAAGTTTTCTTTTTTCTCATTCTAGTAACAGAGCTTCAATAGGTTCGTTACCATCACTCAGGGACGGAAAAAAAAAAAAAAAAAAAAAAAAGAAAAAAGAAATGTAGCAATACAGGGTCATGGTGATTTGTCTTTTGTAGCCTTTGTTCCCGCCTCGTCATCGGCTCTCGATATTGAACCCTCATAACCTTACTCTTTCTCCGCCTTTCTTCAGCCCCGTTCATAATGCCAGAGTCAAGAGCCAATAATCTCGTTCTCCAATACAAACTTCTTCCAGCAGAAGATGTTCCAAAGGCCTACAAAATAGAAATCACAGGTGAGTATTTTTTTAGCTGTTTGGTTGTTTATTTAAATACTAGTCTATTATTTTTCTTTGCTTGGTATTTACTGGCTCTTCTGCAAGAGCTGATTGTAAGCCTTGATGAAATTTCGTGTTGATAGCTTGTGCTTGTATATATACAGTCGTATTGTCATTTACGTTCCTGACGCCCAATCTTCTTTCATCCAATCAAATGGCCATGAATCTCTTTCTCACATTCTCCCTATTGGTAGAATATCCCGAAGATGAAGCCGCGTCGCTTGAAAACCTGGTTTATCGGCAAGAAGCTGCACCTCAACTTTTTCTTGGATGTTACACAACAGCGACGGGAATGAAAGCAGGTACAGGAACAGGAACAGGAACAGGTGCTGAGCAGGTGCTGCAAGGCGATATCCTTGTTGGATACATTGTTTCAACTCTGTCATCCGATCTGCATCTCACTCATGCATCCATGTCCACCCATGATCCCAAGGGGACCTCTGTCTGCATTCACTCTGTTTGTGTCGCAAGGGCCTACCAACGTCGGGGAATTGCAAGCGCGATGATGAAAGAGTACTTGGACCATTTGCGGCGTCTCAATAACAATAACAACAACAATAGCAGCATCGATAACAATAACAATAGCAACAGCGTCAACAATAGCAATCCCCCAACATCCGCATTGCCTACTGTCCGTCTAGAGCGTGTATTGCTCATTGCTCATAAAGAGTTGATCAGCCTGTATACAGGAGTAGGCTTTGAGCTTGTTGGCAAGAGTGAAGTCGAACATGGCCCAGATCCATGGTTTGAAATGACTTGCACCTTGTGAAAGATAGAGAAAGAAACACACCCACTGATTATTCCCGCTCATCTCTCTTCCCCTTGTTTTTTTTTTTTTTTTTTTTTTTTTTTTAGCTTTTTACGAAATAAAGTCAAAAAAAAAAAAAAAAAGGTGTACATGCTCGAAGGCATCCAATTTTTTCTTTAGTAATTGATGAGCTTTTTCATTCTTTTCAATTGCTCCCGCTCCCGTCTTCTTAATGATTTATCGCGTAAACATAACGCTGAAAGCTACAGCTCTTTTGACAATACACATAATTTATTCGACTCGTCTCTCCCGCCCTTTCTCTCTTTTTTTTTTTTTTTTTTTTTTTACCACGATGTGTTGCTTAAATACACAAACATTATCAGTGAGCTAGTGCATGCAAAGTAAACCATGGACTGCATGGAGTATTAAAAAAGACAACAAACAATGCAAAGCGCGAAAGTTGCATTAAAATTCACTCCCCCTTTTTTTTTATCTTGTACATTACTCTTGGCCGAACAAGAACAAAGAAGAACTGCTTTGTTGAAGAGAGAAGTTGATTTTTCTTTTCTTTTCTTTTCTCAAACCACATTGATGGAAGATGCTATACTATATTTTATGTAAGAGTGGAAACAAACATTTGCCCACATCTGATCAACATCAAGGTTCTCAATATGGTTTGACTTGACATGAAAGCTTATTATAATACTATCGCCAAGCATCTCCCTTTCTTTCAATATTGGATGGGCTGAATGCCTCCATAAACACAAAGCGATTAGAGTATTGGAAATCGCCCCCATAATCACACAGTCCTCATCTCTTCCCTCCAAGTGAATTGCTACACTGACAATTTTTTTTCGTACTTTTTAGTGCCAAACTTTTTCCCCACTTTTTACCCTCTTCTATTACTTCGTGACAATATTTGTCACACAAGTAAAAAACTTTTTTTTTTTTTTTTTTTTTTCCCCCTCTTCTAGTACTCTTAGCTGAAAGATGCATACAAGTTGGATGATGATAGTTTACTGTGCAATAGGAAAATAATAAATCGGGAAATATGAAATAGGCGGCAAAATATTCAAAATATTTAATGAATATCAATATAATGCTTTCATTAATAAATGTTTTCTACCAGTCATTGTGCAGGTTTTACCATGTCAGTCAATAGCACTGTCAACCTTAAGAACACTCCTTCCTTTCCCTTGTTTGGTACTCCAGAAAAAAAAAAATAATGGTTATGGTTATGATTATGATCCTGATCAGATGCATTGACGGTATCGTCATGCTTAAAACACGCGCGCATAGACATATACTTTCAATGTCATTCATGGTAAAAAGATCATGCTTATTGCTCTCTTCATTGTCTTTTTATTTATTTACTTAATGATCATGCTGTACAAATGAACAGAAAAAAAGAACTACAACAAGACGAAAAAGAAAAAAGGGCGGCAAAATATACAAATACTATTACATAAAACGAGGGAGGAGGACATTGCAGCCTGTGCATCTACATTAAAGTCAAAGAAAATAATAACAATAAAAACGTAATGGTATAAAGGACGGGAATGTACAATTTGTCATCATGATGATAAAAGCCATGGGACCAGTCTTGGCCCATGTCTCCATGGAAGTGTTAATTAAACATATCGTGTCTTGGCTTATGCGAGCAGCCATGAGTCGATAAAAAGTGCCAGAAAAAAAAAAAGAAAAAAAAAAAAAAAAAAAAAAAAAAAAAAAGAATGTGGAGGCAAAGTGAGAAAACAATTACGTCGGGAACAGTTCCAGACAAGAAGGTTTCACACTAGCTTGGGTTTGATCCGTAAGCACAGGCAATAAGAGAAAGTAACAATGAATCTCAAACAATGTGGGATCAAAATAATTTGGTGATTGTCGTGGATGGGCTTGATTGTATTCCGCCCCTGTTGGTAGAGAAAAAAGACTCGATTTGACTTGAATCTAGGCGATGCACTGTACATTTTCTTTTGATTGATCAAGATTATGTCGGTGCATCATCCCATTCACAGCGTTCCCACTACCTCCAAAGCGCTTCAAACGTTGGTATTGTTGCTGCTGTTGGGGTGTAAGTTGAGGACGTTGAGACAGAACAGACTCATATTCGTCGTCACTGCTGCTGCTGCAACTGTCATGGTGAGAGAGAACAGGAGAGCATGGAGGGGATGAATGCGAACAGGTAGATGCCGACTGAAGAAGCGAATGAGGGGAAACGCGACTGGCGCATGAGCGTTGTTGTTCTGGTGATAGTTCAAGATCATCTGCAGTGCTCTGAAGTATGTTCAACCGTTCGTTCATCTCTTGCCGCCAGCTATTGCGCATCTGTAGTAGCTCAGACTCCTCTGTCGTTGAAAGCTTGCAGGGTTCGAGGGCAGAGCGATCATACTCGTCGCCATCATATGTGAAAGAGATCTTGACAAATCTTGAGAACTGTACAGATTTGCAACTACTTGAGCTGCTTGATGGTGAGGAAGGTGAGGAAGGTGAGGAAGGTGAGGAAGGTGTGGATGAAGGGAGCATGTTTGGTGTGCATACCATTGACTCCATTGATGCCAATGTGTGAAAGAGAGATAGGAAAGAAAGATATGAATGGATGGTTGAAAATTTGATAGCGGGGAAGTGTGCGAGAAGCACTTTGTTTAAATAGATGTTGATTGATGAGAATAGGTGAAGAGAAAGAATTAAAATAAAAAAAAAAATAAAAAATAAAAAAAAGGGGGAGAGAAGAGGAGATCCTTTTTAAATATTTCTTTCAGAAGATCGTGTCCCACAACTAAGAGTGAGTGACAATGTCTATTGCACTAAAATGGATAAATGTTTGTACTAATCCTGCGGAGCTAATGAGAGGCTGTACAACAGTCTATATTTTATATTTGTGAATACATAAGCCTGTTCAGAATTCTGTTCATCTAGAAAGGGGAAAAAAAAAAAAAAAAAAAAAAAAAGTTTGGTTAAGAGCAGAAAAGAAGTGAGGATGGTGGAGAACTTGTGCTAGAGCGAGACTGGTAACCCAACTACCAGGCCAGGGAGGAGAGATAATGCAAAAGGTTTTTTATTCAAAACATATTCAAATACGAATACATGGCATGCAAATATATATATATATAACTTATAAAAGTGTTATTCATGGACCAGAAGGTAAAAAAGACGATGAAAAAAGGAGCTAAAAACGGGACAGACATGAGAAAGGGAAAAAGAGATCAAAAAAGAAAAAAATGACTTGCTTATTTGATAATGAATACATGTAAATGAGAATATGGGAATAGACCAATTCAGTTATGAAAGAGTCGGTATAAAAGTATATGCAATTTTCAAATAAATAAATAAAAATGTATAAAAAATACATTATATATATATATATTTATATCGATTCATTAAAAGTGAATTAATTCCTCCCTACTTCTCCTCTTTTGAGAGCTTAGTGGAAAAACAAGTGCTGAGCTAGTGCCTGACAATGACGATGAACAGGCGAGGATGAGCACTAAAACTCTGTATAAACTATGGGTTCAGTGCGTATGTATGTATCAGGAGTGGGTTAATAAACCATTAACAGAAAAAAAAAGGAGAGAAAATTGCAAATAAACGTGGTAAAACCAAAGCCTAATAGACTATAGACCATCGTCTTTCTCGGTCTCTCGGCCTCTTACTGTTTTCTTGAAAAAAGAAAAAAAAAAAAAAAAAAAAAATCAAATGCAAATTCAAATACAGAGAGATCATTTCAGAATGAGGGACAGGGAGTAACATCTTCACAAATTTATTAGATATCAGGAAACATGTCATGGTGCAGCAGGCTAGGTTAGGCTGGGATCAAGACATTTAGCGGAGGAGAGACTGCTAGGCCTCTTTTAGTATATTCAGATCGCGTCGGACAGTGCATCATATCCAACTTTGGGTTGACTCAAGAGAGAGGCGTGGGTAGCGCTGTAGTAATTTTCACACACACTGATCTAGTCTTAGCAGAAACAGTTGTTTTTCATCCTTTTCCTTTCTTTTTCTGATCACCAGGACCGAATTTTAGTTGATCATGACATGGCCTGAGAGCGACAGCTTGACATGACCAGGAACAACATTATCATGGTATATACAATGCAAAGAATAAACTGCCAACATGATCCACCAGAAACACGCAAACACAAAAAAAGAGTTTAAGAAATGAATTTTATATATATACCAAAATAAACATATGTCTTTACTCCCTCATAATCTTCAGCTCATTTCTTTCATTCGCTTTGTCTATCCCTTCTCATTAAGAAAAGAAAGTAATTGCTCTCCATCGCTTGCAATCAAATGAACGCAAACAGAGCGATAAAGTGATAAAGTATTTCCAAAAGCTGTGCGTGTTATAAAAATCTCAGGGTGATACTTCAAAATACGGCTCCATTTCTTCCTTTGGATCGCCCATGTGCATAATGTGTTTGTATGAGAGCCATAAAGTGTACATGTATACAATCGCTAGTGCCATTTTGAAGCTCAACTAGCGAACCTTGAGACACTGCTACTCACGCCCCATGCATCGTAAAATGCTCTCTCTTAACTAGTCGAAAACAGAAACAACTCTTCTTAAAGAAAGAGAGTAAATGGCGATGCTAGAAGGTTGCACAAGGTTACGAATGAAGCAGCCATAGGCCGTTGATCAACAGAAGTATATAAACACGAGAATAAAAAAAAAAAACAAAAAAAAACGAGGCACCATCAGCCAATAACTTGGTGCCGCTTGTTGACGCTCGCATTTTTCAATCCTCATGGCGCCATTATGAAAAAATAAAAAAATAAAAAATAAAAAAAACCCCGTTATCTTTTTTAATTTTATATATATATATATAATATATATATATTTATTTGTGATGTAAAATCGCATGGAATAAGAATAGACACCATGCGAGACATATGCCCGACGATTCAAAACGCTGTTTCCCTCATTGAGAGAAAGTATATATATACATTCATGTTTGCTCTCGCTGAGTGATTTGGTGGCCAAGTGAGTGAAATAATATATATATTATATATTATTATTATTACCATTATTACTAGATTATGATTATTACATATTATTAATATATATATTATATATATATTTTTATTACCCTCTTTAGCTGTAAAGGGTTACAGTCCAACGGCAAGGAGGTCAATGTTTGATGTATTGAGCAATCGTTTTTTTACGAAAAGGGATAAGGAAAAAAAAAGAGTCGTAGGAAAGTGCTCGAAATTACATTGATGCACGCACTGCACTTTTGTATATATTTGCAATTCAATCCATAATTGATTGTGGTAAACATCTGGAGTGAGCTCTTTTTTCTCTTTTTTGTGTGGACTGGTCCGACTTTTTGGTGTTGTCTCGCTGATTCTGGAAAGTATATCCCGCGTTTCCATTTTGTACACTTGTATCCTTTGTGGCCCGTAAAGAACTTTGTTTACAGTCCAACTTCTGCATAACTAGAGTCTGTACTCATTGTTGAGCATCTCCTTTCTAGTGTGTGTGATCCCTAACTACAATTACGGTCTCTTGCTCATTGTTTTCAGGCACAACTGAGGTCCTTTGCGTCCTTTATTCAACCATGACTCTGGAGCAGAAAGAAGCATTCCATGCCTTACAAGTGACTGGCAAAGTTCAGGGACAAAGCGGTGCAACTAATGACCCGAAGGAAAGAAAAGGGAGAAGAAATCATGGTGCAAGAGGCTTTGAACAGCCCAATTTCTCCCAAATCCTTTTCGTTTCTTGTTTGGATCCTCGAGGGTTTTTTGTTCATTGGTCTCATTTCTCTATACTTCACGCACCTGTCCAAATTTACATGCAATGCATGCATGCACTGAAGCCCAAGGTGCAATGTACCACACACTTGGCTCGCCTGTCTTTTGTTCAGTGTACTGTTCAATGGTGAATGAGAGCAGGCCCATCCTTTCTCCCTTTCCCCCTTTCCTGTCTACGACCTCCCAGCGGAACGTGCACTGGTTCATTCAGACAGTTTTTCTGTGTTTATTGTAGTGCCACTTGCCTCCCTACTACCCCTTTTTTTCTGTTGTTGCTTGTGCTTTGTAACGCTTCATCTTAATAGCAAACATCTTCATTTTGTGCTGTTAGAAACTCTTTGAAAGAAGAGTAACGTGGTAGCATGGCAGAGGCAGAGGCTATGCATAAACCTTCTCCCTTCCTTCTCATCTTCTCATCTTCTTTCGTATTGTGTTCAGGCTCTATTTTCTTCTTCCAGAATCTTTTCTTTCTTCGTTTTTTATTTTTATGTAAAGACGTGTGACTATTCCAAATTACGGATACATTGAGAAGACAAAAGGTGGAGTGATCCTTCAGTGAACGTGCAGACAAAAAAAAAAAAAATGTTTTCAAATCGTCTTGCAATATGCAAACACAAATACACACACAAAAGCACAAAACAGAAAGGCGACAAACATGTACAGTAATTGAGTTTTGATAAGAGAATAGTGTTGAGGACATGCGGCGTGCATGTTAGAGTTTGTCCCCAAGCGCCACGCGTCGTTGTCGTTGGATTGAGGAATCAACCTTAAGACCCATGATGGGACCCCTGAAAATCGTTCGTCAACTCAGACACTCATTTATTATGCGGGAAGTTTTCAGAAAAATACAAAAAAATCATGCAAGGCTACAAAATGATGATCTCCCATGCCTACATGAATTTACAGATATAGAAGACACGGTAAGATCAAAGACTTGAATGAATGATATATACATATATATATACATGTATTTGGTCAGTAGCCACGAAAACTCAAAATTGTAGAGATTTTTCTTTTTGGGTTTTGTACTACTGCACCTTGAAAAGGATTCAGCAGAGTAGCATTATGAAGCCATGTCGCGCCAAACAGGTTTTTAACTGTTGGATAAAGAATATACTCTTTCCTTTTCTTCTCTGGTTATGGCTACTCTTGATGCTTTTTTGAATTAATCGGTAGAGTATACAGAAAACAAGAAGAGCTCAGGAGGTGAGGCTATCATGCAACAAAGAAAAGGAAGAGTCCAGACAAGTCTGTAGTTTAGAGATGACACGGTTGGTGACGTTGATTGTCTGGAATGAGCAAGGCGGAGGATTTGCAGAGTCGACATTCTTTTCCTCTCGCTGCTTTCTTCTCTTCATTCAGGCTTCAAGATGTATTTTCTAGCCCGTGCGTGCTAAGGCAGCCCACAGACTAAAAAAAAGGCTCACAGACTTTTTTATGCAGCAATTCAACGTTCGTGTACAACCACGCAATGATGAATCAAGACGGGATTCCAACGTGCGGGACAAAAAAAATGCTGAAGGGAAAGGTTGTTATATGTATAATTGAAGATCTGGTTGTATTTGACTATGTCATGCGTTTTCATCATATCCAGAAACTAATCACAAGGCATGAATTCCAGTGCATTCAAGAGTATAGAGCGAGAATAAGCATTATTGCAGATGAATGTAATTCAGACTACCTTCGCCCCAATATCTGCGTTGTACATAGACTCATATTTCTGTATTCCATACTCTGGTCTATATCCATGAACTGAGGCTCATTGTTGGTGTGATCCTCAACCAGGCACCCTTTGATGAGATTTATATACTGGGTCACATTTTGATTACAAGAGATAAAGTTAGTCATCGTATTTCCAGTAAGACAAACCATATCCTGGGTGTGCAATCCTCTAAATTAATTGTAACACCAGGCAAACGTTTAATTTAGATAAACTATATACATGGGTTTGTATCTTGGAAAAAGTGCCTCTTTCCTATTGGCCAAACTTCACCCTACCTTTCTTGTCCTTCTCATTCGTTTGTACACAGTCTATCAATATGCCTTACGAGAAGCAAGCCCTCACTTGAGTCTTGTTATAGCTTTCTCTTTTTGAGGGGGGAAAAAAGGAAAACTGACAAGCTTGAATGCTTCCCATCAAGTTTCCTGCAATCAACATAACGCTTGCTTCTCCTTCCCCTTTGTCGTTGACATCCATGTAAAAGATCTGTCCCATTGTTTGTATTTGTTTCTGTAGTCCTCCAGTGGAAGTCCAAATCATTTTTGTGTGTGCATCGTTGCAAAAGCCCCAATATCAACGATCGGGTGCTCTTCCAACCGTTTGCCCCAAATAAATAAAGCTAGCAATGGCAATAGCGAGAAGTGATATGCCCGGAGAGAAACACAGCCTGAAGAACAACCAGTGCGAGCGGTCAAACAGACAACATGGCCCTCATCTATTCGAGAGTGGCTTTGCATAAATATTAGTCTAGAACTAGAGAGTCTATTAACCATAAAAAGCTTTAGTATAAATGCACATGTATAAGATTGAACCATAGACCATCGTTTTATCATAAATCATAATAAGGTTTTCTGTGCTTAATCTCTTGACTTTCCTCAACTTGAACATCTTTTCTCTCTCTTTTGAAAAAAAGACTTGTCCTCCTCTCTTTTCACTTTGCACTCCCTTCTCTCCACCCCTTACTCCCCTATTTCTCTCCCCTACTTCTCTCTTCATCCATCATAATCGATGTCCACGGTCAGCACTGCCCTTTTTTCACTCTTTTAAATTATCTTTTCGTCTAAATTTAGTGTCAATAAGCTTATGCTCGCTGTTTGTTGGTAGAGCTTCATTTTCTAGCCTTCCGCTCATCTTTTTTGTTTTCAGACAACGTGTTGATGCACGCAATGAGCATTCATTCATAAAAGAGGCAGTGAGACAGAAAGAAAGAGAGAACAGGATCTCTCTCATTCGCATCATCTCTCAGATTTACACATCATTTCAAAAAAGCTTTTTTTAAATTATCCCCTGTTCCTGAATTATTTTTTTTTATTGAATATAGACCAACTGTCATTATCCCACTCTCCACTCTATTTTACTGTTATCTTTCCATTGACAATATTCAAATATGCCACCCTTTGAACTTCAACAAGAGGTACTGCCACTTCAGTTGCCAATCCAACCCTTGAATATTTCACGACGTCGCACCTCCCGCACTGTGTCTCGATCAGATGCTTTAGCTGCCGTCGCCAATAGTATTGCTATCAATCCCACGACAAGTAGAGATGGGTTTGTCATTGGCAATGAAATAGACCCGAAATATATCAACAATAACGCCTCAAGCACATTATCGTCACCAACTACAAGCTATGGTCCTGAATCTACAGCGGTAGCAACATCGGTCGTAGACTCCAAAGATGCTTATATCTCTCCATTAGCTTGGCTCTCACGAGTGATCACAAAGGCTGGCCAAGATGAACGGCTCCATTATCATTCTAATGGTCAACATCATCACCACCATCATCATCACTGTCATCACCGGAGTCATGTCATTGAGAAGGAGGCAACAAATTTACCACTCAAGAGGCAACTTTTCACCAAGGCCACTGTTGTTACTTTGGAGAAGAAATACGCAACTGTCCACTGGGCTGGTATGTTGATATTTTGATTGCTTTTTCCTGCATTTCTTTAAACAGACTATGTACAGAGAGTGTTTTTTCCTCCCTAAACTAACACCATCTTTTTATTTGAATCATAGCTGAATTTTATTGTACTATTAGTTCGCCGTTCTTTGCACTACCTGTTCTTTTGTACTTGGACCCCGCTTTTCGATGGTCTGCACCAGATATCCATGCCACTCATTTTGCCATCTTCCTTGCTGTTGTAACTGCACTCACGTCGACATTATACCATGCTACCCTCTATAAGCTTTTTTCTTCGCTCGACGCTTGCTTTGCGACTATCATGTTCTATACCAACACTATCTCTTTACTCCGATCCTTACCTGACCCTTATGCTTTGATGCTTCCAGACCTCATCTCAACAATCGTTCATTGGTATTGGACTCCATATATCATGAGTACATGTATGGTCACACTATTTCTCTTTTCATGGAGAAGAACCGCCATGCTATCGTTGCTTCTCATGATCCTCATGATCCCAGCTTCCGTCTGGGGATTTGTTGCACATGAATCATGGGCAGGGCTGGCTTTTGGATTGGTGGGCCTCTCCATGTTTGCTGCTGATCGACTCCGTTTGTTCTGTGGCCATTCCTATTGGCACCTTGCTGGTGGCTTGAGTCTGTGGTATGGCATTTCAAGCAGCGCTCTCTCGCCAAAATGAACTGATCATTGTAAATGTCCTCTTAACAAGCACAAATGAGGTGGAGGTGAAAGGGATAAAAAAACATCTAGAAATCTAGAAGAATAAACATAGAAAAAAAAAAACGCGAATTAACTCAACTGCGCAATAGACACACGGACCCAGCTTCGAATTATTCTTTTTGCTATCCTTACCATCCATTAATGAGCGTTTAACAAAAAAGAGGCTTTTTCCTTTGATGAGGATAAGATGATAAGCAACAACACAATATCTTTTTATTATTTTTTTTTTACTTTTTTATTATTATTATTTTCTCTTAAGTCAAATACTTTTTTTTTTTTTTTTTTTTTTTTTAACCTCTATTATGTTCACGTTCGCTAACCAAGGGAGTATTGGCTAATGGGGCTAGGAGACTTATTAAGCGAGAACAACTCATCACAAAGACATCATTCCCACCACGGCTCTGTGCATGTTTGGCCCAACCAACATGCAATTTCAGCTTAGCAAGCTGTTCGAATCGATGGAAATGTGCACCCAATCCAGGAACACGTGCCAATACAAACGCTAGATCAGAAGCAAAGGTGTTGGCGCAAGCTGAAGCTAAATCAAAATCCAAGTCTTCAGCCCTCAATGGCCGTGATTGTGATTGTTGTTGAGGAGATGTCTGCCATGGTGCAGTCGTTGGTGTTGATGATGATGTCGAGGTGCTGCTTGAAGCCTTGGGAAAGTTACTGGAAGACTGATTCAATAAATCATTTGCTAATGGTGTTGCCGAAAGGTTCTCAAGTGCTCTTGCACTACCATATTGAAATCGACTGGACATTCGGCCAGAAACCGCTATGCCTGGACTGGAATGGCTACGTTGAAGACATGCGAGCGCAGACCTGGATCGACTGTGGGCACCAGTCTCACGGTTCTTTCTAGTAGGACAACTCAACGACGTACTTGTACGTGTGAAACCCAATGCTGAGGTGGTTGACGAAGACAAGGGGGATGTAGAAGAGGTAGAAGAGGAAGAAGAAGAGGAAGAGGAAGAGGAGGAAGAGGAAGAGGAAGAGGATGTTGATGATGAGGAAAGTGATCTAGAGCACGCAAGATTATGAGATTTGTCTGGAGCCATCTCCATAATGGGTCGCTCCTGTTCACTAGTTGACAAAGATCGTTCCATTTTTTGGTTTGGCTGTCCATGATAATGGCAAGTGTTGTTCTCCAGCCGATAGCCTATAACTGATCGTGACTGAGCAAGTTCAAGATGACCTATCATTTGTTCCTGATCTACAGCCATCATGTAATCCTCATCCAAATCATCCTCATCGACATCCATTTCGGATGAAGATTGGCCATGTCCACTGTCCCGTCTTCGAAGACCACCTTTGGCTTCGATTTCAGACAAGAGCTCGTACTCATTTCGTTCCATCATTTCATATTCTCCCGCCTCTTCCTCCTCGCCCTCGACCTCATGAGTCTCGAAAGGTTGCTGCTGCAAATGTCTTGTTTCTTCTTGCTGAGGTCGTTGAAGCTCTTTTTTTCGATGTTCTGAGTATCGGCGCGAGTTCTTCATCATGTCCATGACTCCTTCAATCTCACGATTCCTCTCCCTTGCAGCAATATTACCGCAGACGACCCGTCTATAGTCCTCCACAACATCTCGATAAAGCTCAATGGTTCCTTCGGCCGCAAATGTTGGGTTGGCTACATGCCATTGCAGAGCATGGTTCTTCCAGCTTTGTCCACTACCCTCAACACCTTGATGTGTAGCAGCTGGTGCAGTCGCTTGTGCTGGAGGAGGAGCGATGACAACGTTCCCTATTCAAGTGTACATGTACAATTAGTCAATTAGACTTAACACAAATAAAAAAATTTCTAGGAAAAAAAAAAAAAAGCCCCTTACCAGTGTTAGATCCATTACCAATATTTGGATTAGTGTTATTTGTAACAAGATTTGTGGATCCTACATTATCATTCTCTTGAGACGGGAGGACTGGCGGTGGTACTGCCGTAGTGGGCGCAGAGGGTGGTGCCAAGGAAGGAGCTTCCAAGCCACCCTCGACCGGAATCACTGTGCCACATACGCTTTCGCATCCAAAGAGGTAGGCGCGTTTGATGAAACTATAAAGTGTCTCGTATTCTTCACCAGGGGGGTTACCGACGCGATCCGGTAAAGCGTACCGGACATGGTTCCTCACAGGGTGATGATAAAAGTGAACCTCTCTGGAGTGAGCTGCCTTCCATTTTGTGAATAGTCGAAGGAGTTTATGTTTTCGGAAATGTGGATATGTCACTGGGTGGCAATGCTCATGGAAGGTACGCGAAGTCAAAAGTAAGGGCAAGATATAGGTTGAATAGTATTGAGGCGTCGTAGCCATTGGCAAGAGCGTATTAAGAGCTTGGTTCAAGATCTGAAACCAGATCTCCAATGGTAGTTCTGGTATGGAAGGCATCCTATCACGGAAGAGGCTGTGTGTTCAATGGAATGTAATAATGAAGATTTTTAAATCTAAAAGAAAATAGCAGGCAAATGTTACCAAGATGGGGAAGAATAGAATGATAAGTATGAATAAAGGAATGATGAAGAAAAGACGCTGTCAATTTTTTTCAAAAAAAAAAAAAAACTAAAGAGGAAAGTAGATCTCAACAGAAAGCGAGTGATGAAGAGGAAGAGGAAATAAGAAAGAATGAATAACTCACGTTTCTGCTTGAAGACAATTATGCCTTGATATGATGGTTAATAATGCGATGGTGTGACAAAGAACCAAAAGAAAGAGGGATGTTCAGGTGTTCGGTGTTCTTCTATCTTGGTCTGTGTGTCAATGCAGAAGAGAAGAGTAAAAAAAAAAAAAAAAAAGCTAATGGGTCAATCAGGAACACTGGAAAAGATGAAGGACAATGACATATCTTTCTTTTTCTGTTCAAAAAACAAATATAGAAAGCTTTATGCAATATGTGATATATATGATTGGTGATTGGGAGACAGAAAGAAAAAGCAAGAGTGAATGAGAATCCGAAAGGAAAGAGTGGGAATCTTCAGCTCAATACTGTTTCTTTTTTTTCTTCATACTCCCAGAAATGCCCTTGTTTACCACAATGGCGATGACTTTGACCCAATGGCAGGGATAGAAATGGTAACGGGGAGATAAAGATAGGTGCGAGAGAGAGGGCAGGTGCAAATACGCCAGGGCTAGGAGATGGAATAGGATGGGACAGAAGAACAAGAATATGGGGCATGCAACGAACGCGAGCACATTCAAACACAGCGGGAAGAAGACCTGGTAAGAAATAACATAATTCTAATGGAGATGAGGTGGAAAAGAAGGGATGGGTGACAACAAAGGGCATTCAGATCATGCTAACCGAAAAAAAAGGAGAAGGCGTGTAACTCATTGATCATTCATCTTTTCTTGTCTGTGTGTGCGTGTGTCGCATTACATGTGAAGTGTGAATGTGAGAGTGGCCGTGCGTTTTTATAGCAATGTAGCTGTGCAGCAGAAGCGGAGTAAGCGGAGCCGTGTAGCAGAGTAAACAGAAAGACAAGAACGAAAGAAGAAAAAAACCAACATGTGCTTCACTCAATGATTTACATGATGAAGTATAAGCGAAGAGCCATGACAACAGTGCTCTTTTCTGCCGTGAAGCTCAAAAATAAATAGATGAATAAAACTAGTGAGTAGTGGTTTCGATTGAATTAGACTGGATTGGAGTGGATTGGATTTGGTTCATACTCTTTTAAGAACCAAAAGGAGGAGTAACAAGAAAGGACAAAGAAAGAAATAAAATGCGGAGGCAGCCACAGTGTAACATAAACCACAAAGGATCATCTGAAGAGATTGTGCACGCCTTTTTTCTTTCTGTATCTCTCTCCTCCCATTTTTTTTTTTTTTTTTTACTTGTTTGAGGTTCGGTGAGGCGAGTGCACTAGTAAAATAATGCTGAAAGGATGGGAATGACTTCATCCTTGTGGGTTGCCGTATTTTCTTAAAAGATTCCACACTCTGCCCTGCCAAGTTTGTTTGCATTATTAGTGTTTAGTATGGCATTTTAATCGCCTTCATTCCAGTCAGTAACAAATCGCGAGTGATGTGTGTGATTCATGCATTCAACAATACAAGAAACACCGAATAGAAAACCCCTCCCAAAGAGATGGACAAGTGCAACTAATGATTATCCTATCCTGCCCTATTTATGAATATACCCATTAGCAGGGATGTTGGGGCGGCCCTAAAGGCAGCAGCAGCAGCAATACGATGAAGGCAGATACGCGTCTTTTTTTTTTTGTTACCTTTGTTATAAAAAGTAGTTCTAAGTATGAATATTAAAAATGAAATAAAACGACGCGCTTCGTGGCTTTTGCCGGGTCGTGCGCGCGTGGCTGTGCGGAGCTGGGATTGGAGACTAAGAAAAAAACTTTGTTTAACGTCGCACAACAAGGGAGAGGAGATTGGAGATAAAAATCGATGCTGAGCTGACAGGCTAAAATTATAAAGACAATGAATAAGCAGTTGAAAGAAACATCAAGAAGGCCTACAGCGAAGCGGAGGAAAGGAAGAGAAAGAAGTGCTTATATCTATATAAAGAGAGATGGAGAGAGGGGAAGGTGAAGGTTGAAAATATGGAAAGAGGGTTTGGAAAAGCGATGATGAAGGGATAAAGCAGACAAGACAGAGAGTCAAACAAAAAAACAAAACAAAAGGAAAAAAAAGAAAAAAGAAAGAAAGAGCATGAATAATCAGCCGGATAATAACAAAGGGGAGAAACATGAACACCGAAGAGGGCATGAAATAGGGAGATAAAGAGCTTTAGGTAAAAGGGATCATTTTATTTTCGCAGACTGAGCTGTTTAGGATATGCATGCCACCCTCACGAACACCATTCCTTTGCTAAAGTTAGATATTTGCCAAACAATGCAACAAAGTACCAAAGCACTCCCACCCTTGGCCCTTATCCTTGCAGAAGCGAAAAAAAAAAAGAAAAAAAAAACTGATGTGCGTTTGTGTGGTCTTCATTGTGTATTGGATCCACTATTGCTTTAATTTGTTATCTTTATTTCCCACTTTTGCCTTTTGCATCCGCATGGCTTGCACAAAGGACATCCAGGGCTTGCCTTTCCCTAGGTGCCTGCATATTCAGGCTTCTTTACCCATTCAAGTATCAAGAGGGTATATGATCCATTACGCACCATGCTAACAATCCATATCCGCTATTCACACAACAGTGACGAGCTATTGGGAACGCAGACTGTTCCCATTCAAGTCTTTTGCTTATTTATTTATTTTAATGGCTGACAAATTTCAATGAAATAGCGCTTTAGGCTTACTTTTCCTCCGCACACCTTTTTAATGTTTTGCACCTATCCCATTTTATAGAAGCTTCAGTACTTGTGCATAGATTTCTGACGTTCAGAAGTCCGTAGTAGGATGAAATAATAATAATAATAATAATAATAATAATAATAATAATAATAATAATAATAATAAAACTGTGAATTCCAGAGACTGGTATAAGACCTGAGTTCATGATTCCTGCTTTGCCAAGAAAGTGAACTAGTATATAACCTGGTACATTTGAAGATGGGTAGCCGTTCAGAATCCTTTGCATGGTGTGTCTAACTTCAAATGCTCACTATCCATCAATGCCTTCTTCTTTAACCCCTCTACCTTAGCCTCCATCAGTAAATACATCAACAATCAGAACAATGAGGATTCGGGGCGGCTCGCCCTTTTACCGGGATAGCCATTATTTTGGGAGTAAATGCAAAAAAAAAAAAAAGAGAATCAACCCCACTTTTCCAACCTTTTATTTTATTTTAATATTTTAATAACGTAACATTTGTCCTTTTTATCAGTCAATGTAACGGACATCTGCATGATCACTAAGGAATTCCATCCATGCCTTGAGAAACGCGTCCTTCTTGCCTAGAGTCTCGGAATCTCCAACTACACACAACTGTCTCTTAGAACGCGTCATGGCCACTAAAGTAGGATACAGCAAGAGAAAATAAAAAGACAAACATATGATGAGAAATATAGCTCCTTTTTTTACTTAAACAGACATCTGCAGCCGCCTATCGCTAGTCTGCATAACCATAGACATTTCAAGAGCAACTGCTCTGTGTACCGTTAAGTCGTCTTCTGTCAGAGAGAAATCCGACGTCTCCAGAGTCATTGGAACGAACAAGTGTCAATATGACCGCTTGTTTCTCACGACCCTGGAAGCCATCCACGGTTCCTATCTCAATATCAGGGTAGTCATCTCTAAGCAGCTGCCGCAACAAGGCATTCTATGCAGATACCGGGTTATAGTGACATTAATGTCATTTATAGTAGTAATAATAATGACAGGAAGGTGGATCACATTACTGCATTTTCTCACCTGAGCACTATAGGGTGTAATGATGGCAATATCTTTAGCAGAAACCCCAGAATGAATTAGGCTCCTGACATAGTCTACCACAGTCGCAGCTTCACCTCGATTGAGCTTACTATCATCTATACCACTACTGGGAGAGGAAGCAGTCGCACCGCTGTTCTCTTGATTTTCGGTCTCTTCAGGCATACCTGCCATACTGGTATCTAGGAAAACGAGCGCATGATCTGTGTCTTTTTCTTCGTCAGATGACACCCTCAGTCTCTTCACCTCTGGTAAATCTTTCAGTAGCCACTTGCGACATGATTCGTCCGCGATCAACAAATTTTGATACAGTTTTTGACTTGAGAAAGTCATGATATCCTCGTGCATCCGGTACTGTATAACGAGTGTCCTTTTGATTAGCTTAGAGTCATCCTTTGGGAAGCAGCCCAGTAGTCGAGCAAACATTGTAGTTGAAAGCAAAAATGATGAATAATCGCTATCCTTTGCAATTTTCTCAATATCTAATGCAGGAACCTCAAAGGAGGCAGATGCCCCTACTCTAACAGCCCTATCCCTCTGTAATTTAAGCTCCTTTGTAAGTGAGAGAGTCTCCGCTGCTAGGATGGACGAGAGACTGATGCCCTCTGAAATGATTGTTGGTGGTAATTGCAAGTGATCTCCTGCCAAAACTACTTTAGCGCCTTTTGATATTGCAATCCAACATTCCTACGATTAATGTAAAATGCAGGGGTAAATACCTAGTAATAAAAGGCGTTTTTAATGTTATTGCATTGTAGATTGTTAAGGATTAAAAATACATAAAAGTTATTTACCGCTGTCAATTGATCGTTAAGTTCAAAAAGCAATTAATGCGATTGTAGGATGCAAAAAGCCTCTTAGTATGATTGATAAACAGGAAGATAAGCAGACCATCTTTTTTTTTTTTTTTTTTTTTTTTTTTTTTTTAACTATACGCACAGAAATCGGTGCCATCTTTACCTTCCAGTGCCTGTGTAGCTTCATCAATAATAACGATATCGAATTTTTCTCCCCAGAGTGGTTTAGCTGCACACCCGTTTAACGTGCTTAGAACTACGCTGGCACCCTGGACTAGCTCTTTAACCACCAATTTTTCACGTGTTCTAAAGTCCTTTCGCAGCTGCTTAACCTCCTGAAAGAGTTGTTTGCGCTCGGAACGAAATTTGCATTTCTGGATTTTTTGAAAAGTCTCATCGAGTTCCACACGGATGTCGTTCACAAGTCTTCCTTGATCACTTGTTCTTGAAAGTACATCAAGTGAATGGTCCAATACGCTAGGTAGTACACGAGCTGGGTGGCCTACTCGGACAATGTTGAGTCGATAAGCGGATAACCGCTCCACCAAATTGTCTAATAGGCATACAATGCGAGTATTAATATAGAGCGGTTATCCTATGGCATTATTGCGCAATTTTCCAGCCTCAATTATCAAGATTATTGTATAATCTATGTAATAGCCACCTACCGACACTAATATTTGAAGGTCCACATACCAGGACCCGCTTCTTCTGCAAGACGAATTGCCGGACCAGTTCCACGAGCGTGAAAGTCTTTCCTGTACCTGGAGGTCCATGAATCAAAGCAACCTGTTCTGCTGCAAGCGCAAATCGCACAGCCTCTTGTTGAGATGGATTTAACATGGGATCCAAGAATTGAATTTTTTGCAAATCTGACCAAGCGTCATCAAAGGTTGGATTTTGTCGGCCAAATAGCACGTTTATGAGTGGTAGTGGTAGGCTATTGGTTGAGACCTGGGACAGAGCGTCTTTCAGGAACTTCATCTGTGAAATCATCCTTAATACACCGGTAAAGTTTGGCAAAAAAAAAAAAAAAAAAAAAAAAAAAAAGGTATCAGTTGTGTAATCAAATTGGTCTGAGCGTTCACGTCGTCCTTTTCAAATGATTACCTCTCATAAGTGACATTGTTTGCCAACTTGATCCTAATGGTTTCCAGGGCAGTGATTTACTCAGTAGCATATTCTTCATTATTTTAAAAAGAAGGTCAGAACAAAAAAAAATAACAATGAAAGATAACCATTTTAGCATACAATCGACATCGCTCCTGAACTTCCTTCGGTATCTCTTCTTCATTCTCTCCTTCCTTTTTGGATTTGATTGCAACCACAATGGTTGTTTCTGTGATTCGAAAAACAACGCCTTCTAATTTTGGTTTCCAGCTAGCCTTCATGGGTTTGCCTTTGCTTCCAGTACCGTGCTCTTCTAGAGCGACAATATCCCCCACTCTCATCTTATGGGATGGTAAAGCTGGACTGGTTGAAGTTGCATGAGAAAGTTCAAGATCTACTAAGCTTGCTTACCCAATATCAACAGAACATAGTTAGTCGAGGCTGTGCTTGTATTAAGATACTAGTTGGTAATGTGGCCGTTAGTCATAATAGTTATTCGTACCTTTTGCCTCCAGCCCCAGTTTTAATGTTTACAACGGTTAAACCCAGTAGGGCAAGCCCCTTCTTTGCTAATTGGGCTGGAGTGCATGCTTCAAAGATCCTTTGGATCTCTAACAGTTCGAAATCACGCTCCTCCTGCACTAGTTTCTCTTGGTGGGCTGAAAGACAATGGCATGCGATTACAAATTGTCAGCGAGATTTTGAAGCATCGATTATTTTTTTTTTATGATTAAATTGTTTTGTAATTCCAAGCAATTTACCGAAGAATGCCTCGGGATCCATTTGAAATTGTAATGTTTGGTCAGAACTGAATTGAATCTATTGTCAGTGTGGGGCGGTAAAGAAATAGTTTTTTTTTTTTTTTTTTTTTTTTTGGAGTTGGGTTAATATTTGCTTTGAGTAAAATTGCTGCGGCTACGGCTGCGGCTACTCTAGGACAATAGTGAGAAAAACAAGTGGTCAAACAAAGGCCTATTGATTTCAGTGGTTCGGGATGCTAGGTTTCTCTCTGATAGAAGACTAATCAATGATAGAAGGGTGATTACTTTAATATGTCTATGAAGGTTAGGCGATAGACGATCAAGTTGTCCGTCTGCCTTATGATAAGCAAAAAAAAAAAAAAAAAAAAAAAAAAGTGAATGGAATGTTTGATAATGAATTCTTTAATCGTTGTTTGTCTTTTTTATTTTTCCTACTTTAGTGGCCATGACGCGTTTCAAAATTCAGAGACACTCGATAAGAAGGACGTGTTTCTCAAGGCAGTTTCTTGGTGCACACGCAGATGTCCGTTACATTGACTGACAACCTCTGCGGTGCATACAAAGTTTTTTGGCTTTTTTTTTTGACGTGTCCAAAAATGTAACATGATCCAATTATTGATGGCTATGTCAGTTGAAGACGTCCTTGATGAAACAATCAATGATTGAAGAGGATTTGCCTTTTTTACGGTTTTTTGTTTTCTTCTCTCTCCGTTTTACAATGGCTGTTGTCTGCCCAGTCTCGGTCTCTTTCTCTTTTTCTCTTTTTATGTATGCCGGAACCCCTTTAGCTGCAAGAAAATCATACAATGTCCGTCTGCGCAAAATCTCCGTACTTTGACAGGCAAACCCCTCGCTTCTGATTTTATTTTTCAACCATGCTCTCTTGTTTACCAATTGTTGTGCAGACTGCAGAGCACTTGCAAAGCAACCTTTAGATCTAATGCTGCTCTCTCTCTTCTCTATCTCTCTCTTTTTTTTTTTTTTTTCCCCTCCTTTTGATTGATTTTGATTACTAGATCTGCCAATGTAAGAAAAAAAAGGGGGAGGGAAAGGAGGAAGGGGACCGTTTTCGCAACGGTTCAATTTTTTTTTTACGATTGGAATGTTGGATGTCGCGTCTGCTTTGTCAATTCAATTGGGACTGCACTGCCTTTGGGTGTGGTCAGGATCAGTGATGGGGAAGGCTGTCTCCGGATGAAGACAGAGGATAGGATAGAAAGACAATCCAAATGCAAATCAAATCAAAATAAATAGTCCTCGTTGTCGTGCCCAATTGTCCTTTTTGTACTCTTCTCCACCTTTTTTTCTTCCCCCCTTTTTTATTCATCTCTTTTTCCTTTTTATTTTTCCCGCTTATTGTTCGTCTCATTTGTCTCCAAACATTTCTCTCTCTCTCTTTCTCTCTCCTCTTCCTCACTCATTCTCTTCTTCCTCACATACTCTCTTCTTCCTCACACTCTCTTTCCTTTTCTCTCTTCTTTCCGCCTTTCTAATCAGCTTTATACACATCTCATCTCCATCTCATCTCATTCTTTTTTGCTCCCTCATTCAACTTTACTGCAATACATTCAAAACTATTCCCTTCCCATCCTTTTATTACTTTTTCATCATACCTTTTTTACACATCGACAACTACATTCAACTCCTATTGTATGTATGATATCCTTGCTGTACATTGGAAACAATCAACTTGTACATTTGAGCCTATTTCATAGTCCTCCTCTTTTTGATACTAAAAAAAAGATGTATTCCAATCTTCGCGCTTGGTGTCCTTATACCCAAATAACATGTATAAATATCACCAATGATAATCATCACAAATCCTATTCAATCAAGTTCATGTTACTCTTTGTCGAAAAAGAACAATGGAAAATGGAAATAATTTAAACACATCAGAAATATAACAAATATTACAATCTGATGTGAGCTTGAAGAAAAATTTGTGGAGAAAAAAATAGACAAATGTTTAGTCGGCAAGGCCTGAGAGAAGATGAGCGTAGCATCTGTTTTTTTTTTTTTTTTTTTTAAGTTGTTAGTCGCCATTATTTTCCTTGCTGTTTGTTTTCTTGTTCTCATTGTTTGTCAATGCCTATCTGTTTCAATGTCGATGTCTACCTTCTTTGACAAATATACACATTCGCAAATACTCTCTTTTCCTCTTTCCGATTTCGTATCGCCTTTTTTTGGGGGAGAGGAAGAGAAAGCTTTTATTATTTCTGCATGTTTACAGACTGGACGTTTTTTTTATTTTCCCTTGCATCTTGAATTTTTCAGGCTCTCATATCAAATGAAGAAAAAAAAAAAAAAGTCGCCCACTTCAACTGATATTGTCGTTTCTCTTTTTTTTTTTTTTTTTTTTTTTTTTATTTTTTTTTTTTTTCTTCTGCTTAATTGCACGGCTTTATTTGTCGTTCTTCATTCCCGCTTTTCAATCTTCCTAATTTTTTTTTTTTTTTTTTTTTTTTTAGTGTCTTTCTTGATCTATTCCATAATACTACCGCACAACCACCACCAGTATGAGTAATGATATGGCCGAGCGCATTGCTAATGCGCGCAAAGAAGCCGAGTTCCTAAAGGACAAAATCAGAGAGAAAAAACAGGCCCTCAATGACACGTCATGTAAGTAACTTGGTCCACATTGCCTTACAGAGTCTAATTTTTGCTTACAGAACAGGAAAGTGGTCTTCGCCCAAACCTTTTTTGTTAATGCACATGTATTTATTTCACAGAAAAATTTTCTCCTTTACAACCTGACAATGTTAAATTACAAAAAAGAGTGGTCTCTTGTCCACTAGTGAACGATTCTCTCTTGTCTTTTGGCCTGCCCTTGCCACCTTGCAATGTTAAGCAACGGAGACGAGACAGAATATAGCATGATAAAATATCTACAAGCAATGATCCTCTTTTAATATTTCTTTTTAATGACACTTACATACTATACTCATTTTGTTCTACTTTATCTTGCCTTCTGCTCCCTTTGCTCTATCCCGACTTTCTCTCTGCCCGCATCACTGTCTCCACGTCTTGAATCGCCATGGGATGGATAATGCAATTTATAGTACGAGTTATGTCTCAAGATCTGGAGCCCTTGACTCGCATTGGAATGCGCATTCGGAGGGTGCTCAAGGGCCATCTGGCAAAAATCTATGCCATGCATTGGGCAACCGATAAGAGGCACTTGGTCTCGGCCTCACAGGATGGCAAGCTAATTGTCTGGGATGCCTACACTACCAACAAGGTCTATGCCATCCCCTTGCGCTCATCCTGGGTAATGACATGTGCTTATGCACCTACAGGCAATTTTGTCGCATGTGGTGGACTTGACAACATGTGCTCAATTTACAACCTCCGTACACGGGAAGGATCTGTCAAGGTAGCACGTGAACTGAGCGCACATTCTGGATATCTGTCCTGCTGTCGTTTCTTAAATGACCGGCAGATTCTGACTTCAAGTGGAGACATGAGCTGTATGCTGTGGGATGTCGATGCTGGCATCAAAACCATGGAATTTAACGACCACACAGGCGATGTCATGAGGTATTAGAGTGTACATTATTAACGCATCTGACTTCTCCATTCATAAAAGAGAACCCTTACTATCATGGCCTTAGAAATGGTTGTTCATGCCTTTTTTCTTCTTCTTCAAAAGCTTATCGATTTCTCCTGATCAGCGCTTATTTGTCTCTGGTGCATGTGATTCTACAGCCAAAGTATGGGACATTCGGTCAGGACGCTGTGTCCAAACCTTTACTGGTCACGAGTCAGATATCAATGCCGTGCAGTAAGTTTTTGGCAGGACTATGATTTTTACGTTTATTACTACCTATCAAATTAGAATCTAAAGACTAAACATCAAACATCGTTCATCTTTATCATCTACGGTTAGGTTCTTCCCTAACGGAGATGCATTTGGAACAGGATCAGATGATGCATCATGCCGTCTATTCGATCTTCGTGCAGATCGGGAGATGAACATTTATACACATGACAATATCCTTTGTGGTATCACTTCAGTGGCGTTCTCGATCTCTGGCCGTCTCATGTTTGCAGGATATGATGATTTTAACTGCAATGTTTGGGATACTCTTCGAGGCGAACGTGTAGGCGTCTTGACTGGACATGAGAATCGTGTTAGCTGTCTAGGAGTTGCAAGCGACGGTATGGCAATGTGCACTGGAAGCTGGGATACCACTTTGAAAGTCTGGTCTTGATCAAAATCATCGAAGGATTTTTTTTATTTTATTTTATTTTTGGACAAGAGATGGTTTTTGTTTTATATATTTCTTGCTCTGTACCTTGTTTCCATTGCGCTTCATAATCAAATTCATCAACGTTCCTCCCACCTCTTACTCTTACCAATTGCTTTATTTCTCCTCTACCGGCTTCATCCTATTATTATTACTATTCTTATTACCAATATGCCTTTATCTAGATGCCTATCCTTCTCAACATACCAATAGTGCTTTTGGACTCTCGCTTTTATTCGTTATTAGTGCTTTATCTCGTCTTCTATCATTACCTTATCTCCTACTCAAGTTCGTCTTGTCTTGGTATAATATACAGCGCAGCAAATTCCGTTGAGTCTTGTTCAATGGTTCAACCAGTAAATAAAATAAAGCGTCCAACCTCATTGCCACAACAATGGGTAGAAAATCGAGAAAAGCTCTTTTTAGACCTACTGAAAAATACAAAAGAGAGGATTTCCTTGGAAAGCTTGGCCAGCGAAAATACAGATGGTATACGAGCTAAAGTAACTCCGGGACAAAATAAGAGAATATGTGTCCCATAATAAGTCTGGAAATTACGCAGGAACATCCAATGGAAAGACCATTGTCTACTCCATTCTCCTCACTCTGCAGGTTGTAGATTAACAACATCTTTTATAAAAGATAATACATCTGGGGCCAAATTGAAGTGAAATAGCCATCATTGGAGCAGATGCTATATATTGAAAGGTTGATAGGACCATATAACCACCAAACATATCGGAGTTGATTAAGCTTGTATGTACAAATATACATAGATATATATATAAATATGTCATAATATGATATATATATAATATATATCACAGTTGATTTGCGTTTATTTTAACTGTGTAACGGATCTCTGGGGAAGTTCAGGAAAGTTCCAGCACAGTTATGCCTTGGCGATATGCATACAATGTATGAGTTGCACTCTTAAAACGCTTTAAAGAATGAAGAGGATCTACTCATCTCGACATGGTCCCCAAGTTTGAGCCTTGTCTTCTTTTAAAAAATAATGAGATACGCCTCTTTATCCGATCAAGCTTTTAGACTGCTGGTTGGCCTTTAAATCCCATTTCTTTGATGTTCTTCTCTTCAGCTTTTGAATTCATAAACATGAACAATGCTTGATGGAATACTTTTGACAATTCAATAGTTCACTAATTCTTTTTTTTTTTTTTTTTTTTTTTTAGCATTAGCATTAGCATTAGCATTAGCACTTTGACAGACTTGAATAAACAAAGTTTGTAGTAGTACTTTGATGTTTTCTTTTTTGTGTTCTCTGTGTGGGTGCGAGCCAGTTTTTTGGAAGTCGTCGTGGGCAAAATTTTCATTTTGACTTTGTGATTGATTGGTTTTGGACAAATAGCCTTTTCTTGTCATAACGTGTGTGTAAACATTGAGTTTAAAGTTCACTTGACCTTAGAACGAGCATTTGTGGAGAGTGCCTCGTTCCTCTTGGTCATCTCACCTCTCATCTCTTTTTCTCTCATTCCTCATCCCTCTTGCCCACTTACGCTCTCCTTTTTATTTTATTTATTTTTGTGAAGAGAACTTAAAACGAACAAGGATGTCCTCTCCTTCATCTTCATTTCCCTTGAGAGTTCAGATGTTGACATCCAGGAACCGGGCAGGAGTGGCCCAACTGATATTAGACGCACATATGCGGTCTGTTCCCGCCCTGTTCAATTTTCTTCGGCTTCGTCCTATAATCTTGATCCTCTGGACAGCCATTTCGACTGCGATTTTGAAATATCGTCGGACTCAGCTCCTAGATATCCTTGAAGTGCTCACAATCTTTGCTGGCTCTATCATCCTCGCACAGGGAATCTTGTTCCTTTCACTGTTGTACGACGCCACATCACAAGCACCTGGACCTGAAGTAATGGGCAAACTGAACCTGTTTGAGGACCAAGACCAAACTCAGGAACAGGAACAGGAACAGGAACAAGAACAGGAACAGGGACATGGACAGCAGCAGCAGCAAAAACATAAGAAAGAATTAAATTTATCAGAGTATACTAAGGAGGATGATTATTTTGAAGTATCTACTTCAGATGTGAATGTCCGGACTGTCCAGAGGCGATCTACATCTAGAATATCCTCTTCAGCCGCCACTACAGCAGCATCCGTGCCAGTTGCAGCGATCAATGATGTACGCAAGGACAACAAGTTTTGGGTACTGCAGAAAAATGAGGAGGCCATTGGATGCATTGGTGCCCTGGTGGATATATCCCATCGTGAGGCTCAGTTAGTCTGTTGGGTTGTTCAAGAAAATTATCAACGCAAGGGTTGTGGTGCCCTACTCCTCAAGGCTGCAATGGAGCAATTGACAGATAGCTATAATAGAATTGAGAACAGCAATAGCAGAAAGAACAAGATCAAGACAGTCAAGGTCGTGTTACAAGCATTCCAGGTTCCCGCTCTGAGATTGTTCCACAGATTTGGCTTCCGTCAAATTGGTCGCACTCCTGAATGGATGGGAGAGAGAGTGGTTCTGGAATTGAGTATTGAGGAATGGAGCCAGAATCAGAAGAAATAGTCTTTAGATAGCTGAAGCTTTATTATACAAAAGTCATTTATACAAGAGAAAAAAAAGTTAATCTTGATTTCTCTTTGTCTGAAAGCGTTGGCGACTCGACAGCCCTGACATGAATCCATTTTACAGCCCCCCAAATGGCATAACCCATGTCAAAATCATGAACAAATGAATGAGATTATGAATGTAAAAAAATGTACGAGTACAAGGGCCAGTAAGAAAGGAAAAAAAAGAAAGGAAAAAGAACTGGTATGATACAGTTAATGAACTATGAGTTATGCAGGGTATGGGACTGCGTCCTTGAGAAGCTCCTTCCAATCGAACCGGCGGATCTCGGATCCATCCAGGATTGCCTTCTCCATCAGAGATTGTGCTGCAATTGCATAGCAATGATCCGCATCCAATAGTGCCTCCTCAAAGGCCCAACCTTCTTCCGGGAGCTGTTCTGGCTTTGGTTCATGTACTTCTATCACTGTTGATAAGATAGGCTAAAAAAAAAAAAAAAGAAGAAAAAAAAGTAAGAGATAGACCACTGGAAATAGAAAGTCATGATGAAAAAGTAAAGTCTATATCTAATTCAATAACAAAGCCATTTCTGTTTTCTTTGTAAAAAGAATCGAGCCAGGAATGGGAAGGGCCAGAGGGTAGTGACCCATTTAAAGAACCCAGGCTTCGTCTTTAGAAGAGACTATGAAATAGTAATGGGTATGGATACGTGGCTTTTTTTTAAGCACTTTGGAGCAAGGGGAAGTGCCAGAGGCGGTAATGGTTTGTCAAAACGCAACAAGCTGTACGAACGTGAATCCCTTGTTCCTCTTCTTTTCTCTTTTTACCTTCTCAGTTTCCTCTTCGTCATGAATAACGAATTCGATTGTCTTAAGGTCAAAATCCGGCCGAACATCGAGTGCTTTTATTGTAGACTCCTTAAGACACCACAAGCGATAGAATCGCTTTAATTGAGTCTCGGTACAGGGTTGCGTACCCTCGGCAGAGGCTTCGGCCATGAAAGTGATCTCCTTCTCAGTAAACTTGAAGTTGATGAGATTACATAAAGAAATATGGATCGTTAATATCAATACTATATCACGTGTATCCTACAGATATGATGCAAAGCACTTGGGGGAAAGGAGAAATAAGGAAGAAAGCTGTAATTGCCAGAACACCCTATAATATGAACAATGTTACACAAACATGTCGTCTAGACTCCTGGGATGATTGTTATCCAACAATGAGAATCACAATGACGACATAGGCATTTGCCTGAAAAGTTGAGGAAGTTTTTTTCTTTTTACTTTGACATTGATGCACGGCTTTTAAGAAGAAAACAGTCTTTGTTAGACTTTAACAAAAAATAAAATAAAAATAAAAATAAAAATACAAAATATATATTATGCACAATATACAGATGGGGTCTTCACGGCTTGGCAACAGATTTTAGCTAGAATCTTTTATACTTTGATGTGCTCCACCATTAACTCAATTATAGAATAAAAAGCTTTCCTTTATTTTATCTTTTTTTAAAAAAGAGAAAATAGACGTACCTGGTCCTGAAAACAAGACGAAAAAGACTCGAATGATTCTCCTGGAACTTGTTCCTGGAAGTCCATGACATCAACTCCCAAGAGGACCGGACTACCAGAGGTTGATTCTGTTTCACCAACAAGGATAACCCAGTCTCCATGATATGAGATGTTGAAGCTGACATTCTTTAGGTACTCCGGTGATAGCTATTTATATAATGCACCAAGCGGACCATGTGGAGCGTTAGCAACTGAGAAACACGAGTAAAGAAATGCGCTAGTGGAACAGGGAGGTGCGAAGCGCAGGGTATATGGTATGAAGTGGAACGAATTACGATGTTAAGATATGAGTAGTGTAGATAGATGGATCGAGCCCTGCGTCGAACAAGAATGATATTTTTAGTTGCCTCAATCGAAGCATGTGTTCAAGAGTGGTGGCAGATAAGGCAAAAGAATCGGGAGATGATTACAGGCACAATGGCAATTAGCCACTAGTGGAAATCAAATAGAAAAAACCCATGGTCCTTTTTTTATTTTTTTTTATTTTTTTTTTGACGCCATTTCCATAAATATTCAGACATTAAACGTTGCATTGTCTATTATTGCATTGTGCATATGGGCTGTGTGCAGTTGCACAAAGTATCCCTTTAACTTTTTTTTCTTATCTGAAGAAGCGAAGTATGATTAACTCCAATTCCACCACATGGGGCATAGCAAGAATAGGGATGGTATAGAAAAAAAAAAATTTACATTACCACTACTGGTCTTGTACTTTCAGAGTCGTCAAAGACTAAATCCTCCCATTGACAGTGATGATGAGCAGTAAAAAAGGCATGGATCATTAGACGTGCAACTAAGGCTCGTCTCATGTCGTCTTCTAAATGAAGTTGACGTATCGTATCACTTTCTACTTTTGGGAGGTAGTTGAGTAAATTTGAGACTGGGACAATTATCCGTCCGTGGTTGTCATCATCTGTGAGTGAGGTGACAAGGGGTTCGATGTTTTCCAGCAACAGCGGTTGACGTATATTAAAGGCCCAGCGCGCAAGAGGCATTATGTAAAATGTGGATATGTGTGCGAGTGAAAGAGTAGATGTGAATAGAATATGTGTCTGGTATTGGTATATGTACAAGATGAGTGAGCAAAAATAAAAATAAAGTACAAAAGGAATAGTGAACACGAAAATATTAAGGAAGTAGAGCGGAGAAATGCTTTGTCCAAGATGGACAGAAGAAGCATATAAGAAACGAATGTAAAGGAGAGCCGAATGAGAAGGGAGATGCTAAGGAAGAAGGAAAGAAAGAAGGAAAAAAAAAATGGGCAAAGCAATAAGAGATATGAGCTTTTTGAACACGTAAAGTGTGGAGAAGAGAAATTGAGTGTCTGTGTAATCTTTCCCACTTAATGAACGCTCTATTGGTTTATGACCCTGTCCTGAACAAGTGAGAGATTGATGGAAATAAAAAATTATGAGAGCCAAATGAACAAATACAAGGATAAGAAAGTAAAAATAAAAGCGCGTCTGGCTACAAAAGCAAAACAAAAAACAGAAGAGCTTGAAATGAGGAGAATGCGGATGAGAATGAGAAGAGAATGAAATGGCAAATGGAATTGAAAGAAAAAGAAAAAAAGAAGAGATGAGACCAAGAGAAAAAGGAGAAAGGTTGGCTTCAATATAAGACACAAAGACACGAGTGTCAATCATGGCAGGATGTACAAGTAAACAAAATGCACACAACACACGTTCTCGTTCTCTACACAATGCAATGTCGCAATGCACATCATATCTGTTTGAAGACGCGTGTTACTTATGCAAATTTAAACATCAACAAACACAGGATCACGACGAACCACGACGAACGACTCCAGTTTGGCATAGTATATTTATAAAGGGATGAAAATATTCTCACCTGAGAGCTTTTTGTGCGCATCATCTTCAAAAAAAAACCATCCCACGCACACAGACACAGGACAAATGGGACAGGGCCCAGGGTTGATGATGGCATAAAATTATGAGACCCAAACAAGGTTATTGGTTCGTGTTTGTTGTCATCCAACTCTTTTTAATTCATTTACACTAAATGATAGCCTTGCTCTGTACTATCATTACAAGTTGCATTTCATGACATCAAGGAGATACCGTTGTTTGACTGTTTGTTTATCAAACATGATGCATTATTTTGGGTTGGGGCACACATCAAAATATCGACAACGGACCTTATCAGAATCCTTGAAATGGATTTTTTAGTGACATTCATCTCCTCAGTCAAAATCTAAGCATTCTTAATCTCAAGTTTAGTGATGTGACATGAGGGATACCCAGGATAGTGGGAAGTCATTCATCATCTTGAATTGGTTGTGCACCCGTCTCTTTCTGTTTTTTTTTTTTGCCACCAAAAAAAAAAAATCATTTGACTCTGACTCTGACTTTGACTTTGAACTTCAATTCTTTTTTCTGCATTCATTTTAAAATCATTTCAGACCAACTACTTATTCTCATTCAATTTCACTTTCCTCAATACCTCTTCACCTATTCAAACTATGGTAAGTACCGATCATGCAGCTTTCAGTACTTCTTTCGTGCTCCTTAAAAATAGTAAGCAGTAAAATGCGTCAAGTAAAATATCACTAAATAAAAGTCTTCTATCGACCATAGTCACGCAAAGGCCTTTCAACAGCTGAAAAGCGAACAAAACTATTGGAGCTCTTTCATGAATCCGTAAGATCATTAGGACAATAAAACAGCAGTGCAATAGCCCAATAGTTTTTTTTTTTTTTTTTTTTGACCTGCCTTATCGCTCGAGAGATATTGTACCATAGACTATGGCATGACAGGAAACAATGAACCGTATAAGGATCAGCTTTTTTTTTTTTTTTTTTTTTTTTTTTTTTGCTCTCTTGTGTTGTTTTGCATTTTTTTTAGGGGACCTTTCATAAACTTCAGGAACTAGAAAAGACCGCCCCGAAATTAAAAGGAATTGGTAGGGGCCACATGTTCTATGAGCTCTCACTAACTGTATGCACATAATATAATGATTCTCATCAAGACTTTAATCATGCTTTTTGAACTTTGATTTAGTTCAGCAGTCTGTTAAAGACGTGCTTCAATCTCTTGTGGATGATGGACTCGTCACAGTGGAAAAGATTGGAACCTCCAATTATTATTGGTCCTTTCCAAGCGCAGTTCAACAATCGGTATGCGCTAAAGCTCTATATGGTTGTACTTATGTTTATGGCTAGGGCCCTGGTTATGCTCATGCTTATGATTAAATGGCCATGTTTAGCGTGATATTACGTTGTTGTTTAACGTCGTTGCAAAATTCTCTGCTAGAGTAGAAGAAAGGGAAGTTGCAGAGCCTACAGGAGGAGCTACAGAGATTAGAGGCTGCAAATGCAGTATTAGAGGAAAATATCCGACAGTTATCTAGTGGACGTGAAGATAGTGTAAGGCTTAATTACGTCGAATTTGTATCTTACACGTATCTGGATAGTGACAGTTTTGTTAGTGGAAGCGGACAAAAATCTAAAGGCATTTGTCTGCTGCTTCATGCTCTCATTATCATTTAGGATCAACGGCAGGAACTAATGAGAAAACTTGCAGAAGCAGAAGCACATAATCATGAGCTTCAGCAGGAGCTTAAACAGTACAGTGACAATGATCCCATTCTTTTGGAGGGGCAAAGTACGAATCATAATGATTGTCGAGGAAATACCCGATCCAACTGAACCTGTTCAATGAAACCTTATCTTGTTTGGACGCGCGTTGACCATTGTGGCTCTCTTGCGCTATATCATTTTTAGAAAAATATTCACAAATAGCCAAGGATGCTGCAAATCGGTGGACAGGTAATGCTCCTTGCAGTTTACCTTTTTTTTTTTTTTTTTTTTTTTTTTTTTTTTTCAAAGGCAGATTAGGATCAAATCGTTCGAGGTTATTCGTCACTTGGTCTAACAGTAATATTTGAATTATGGTCTACAACTTTTGAAAGAAAATATTTTTGCATTCCAATCGTACTGCGTGAACAAGTTTGGTGTCGACCGTCAAGAATTTAACAGAAACTTTAGTATTTCTGATGACATGGACACAATTCCTTGATCATTACATTGACATTTCCACTCGAATAAGAAGGATAGCATCGCTTGCTCTTCTTATCAAATTAGAGGTCCTAATATATTTTGGATTAGCAACTTGTAAGACAAATTGGACACAGTCCTTGCTTTTTTTTTCTGAGGCAACATGTGTATCATAATTTATAGACAAGCACAATCGCGAATAAACTTTATTTTTTTTTTTTATTTTTTTATTTTATTTATGTAACTTGTAGATAAGCTTGTTTCAAAAAAAAAAAAAAAAAAAAAAAGGAAAAAAAGCAATGCTTGCTATGCTTGGCTTTTAGTTTCCGACAACTGTTCGTGTTTCATTTGTGAATAAAGGAGTAAAAGAGAAAACGTCCCACTTATTGCTTCATTGTAGCATAATAGGCTTGCTGCTGACGTTGCTTCTGAACTTCAAGAGGCTCCGTCAAATAGGAAGCGCTGCCTGTAAGGATAACTAAGATGATGACCCATCGAAGCAGGTGTGATACGGCAGAATCAACAAACCGAGCTACAAATCCTTCTGGTTTTTCTCCATGGGATTTGATACTAGTGGCATTATTACTGCTGCGACGGTTGTTGCTGCTGCTGCTGCTTCCCCAACCAAACAACGATCTTTTCTGTGTAAGCTTTTGCTCCTTCTCTTCCTTGCTTACTTTGTTGCGACCAAAGATCCAACCACCACCAGCCTTTTCTGCTTCCTTTCTGGCCGATTTCTTCTCTGCTTTAGCAGCCTTCTTTTGCTTCTTTTCGCTTTCCTTTCTCTTCTTTTCTTCCTCAGCTTGTCTTTGTTTCTCTTCCTTCTCTCTGGTTTCTCGCTCAATCTTTGCCTCCTTTTCAGCTTGTTCTAGTCGCTTCGCGGCTTCTTTGCCGGGCCAAGGAGTGCGCTTATGTTCCTTACGATCCTGGCATGAGACCTCAATCCAATCAATAGATGTTGTGTACTCCTTCTCATCCTTTTCACCATAGTCAGTCTTTCCACCAGACCAAGCCTCTGTCTCTTGATTATAACCAGCATCCCAAATCGTGAACTGGAGGAGCATTGGATGAGACGGCAAACCATAGCCGCGTTCAGCCTTCAAATCTTTGGCTGTGAGGGTTCGAAGAACATGTCCATCGACGGACCATCGGATACGCTCTGGAGTCCACTCAATCTTGTAAACAAGCTCGTTCTCTGTGGCAGACTTCTTCAGCGGATGAGACTCCTCTAGTGAGCCATCGTCGATCTCATCCTCATGCTTCGAAATATCATCATCTTCAGCATCACTATGCTGAACGACCACTACATCTGTAGTGAGTGCCTTATTCTTTCGGGTCTTCGTGCCACCACCAGGTAAGATCATATCCTTGAATCTTCGTGTCCGGATTCGGAGACCATCGAGTGAAGGGGTCACAGACTTGAACGAAGGCAACCATGAGGATGATGAAGACGATGGATGACTCCTTTGAGCAGAATGGCGATAAAAATCCGTAATAACAGTCTTGGGATCACGACCCGTGACCTCGATAGTGATTTCTTCTCCAAGAATAGGGTTCGAAAGCATCATGGCAGTAACAATACCTGGACCCGTCGCGCCGGACTTGAATTTGGCAGCAAAAGTTCCATACCTGTTCCAACGCGTCGATGACACTGTCGCCCCAAATCCACCTCCACTTTGGGTCTTGACTGCGTCTCTATTTTAAATTAACACCAAAAGATGATAACAAAGAGCAGTATATTAGATCGTTATTACCAATGATACCAACTCTCCTCTTTCCTCGAGAAAGAATAAGGAAAATAATAAAAAAAAGTAAATAAAAAAAAGAAAATAATTAAAAAAAGGAAATAATAAAATAAAGTACCTCCTAGCGGTCAAGAGCAGCTTCTTTTGTTTGGGATCTACTTGTGCGTAAGGCGCAATATAATCGAAATCTGAGGTCCAATGGGCTTGATCTGGATTCCCTGAAAAGTTTTGTTTAGGGATCAAGGGTAGATGCAGGCCTTTCTTGTCAGGCTGGTTACTCTTAAATTTCTCAGTCAAGGGTCGACAAACCGGTAAAGGGAAGCAGCTCTGTGGATTCTGGGGCTGATAGTCATCTCCAGAAGATTTTTTAGAAGAGTGTGATGAGGTGTCCTTTTGTGGATGTGAAAACTCAGGTTCACAGCCCAGTGCGATGGAACAGGCTTCATACGATGTCTTTTGACAGACTCCATCTTTTATTTTTTGAAAAGGAGTATATTAGCATGTATTAGATACAAAAACTTCATCATGCTTGCTTTTGCTATCAATCAATTCCGCAGCCGAACAAAAAATAATAGCATTAATAATAATAATAATAACTTACTGTTACAACAAGGAGCAGTAACAGGGCATGGAGAGTGAGACGTGCCACAGGTGATGGAGTTGTCTGACTTGGAGACAGAGGAAAAGAACGATGCCTGGACTGGTTCAATCCAGAGGTCATCCAAGGGTAGTATTAGCAGGAGCAACGCCAAGGAAGGATTGAGCAGGCGCATAATTGGTATGGAATACGTGTATGAATATGGATGTGTTTTTTTTCGTGAAAGGACAAAAATATATACTATGAAGGAATGTGAGAAGGTGGTGTTCAAAGAGCAAGGCGAAGAAGAAAAGAAAGCGAAGAAATAGGACGAGAAAAGGTGTAGGTGATGTGCGAACGGACCTCTCTCTTAAATCAAATAATAAGACAGGCTGTCAAACAGATGTAATGCATGAATCAATTTCATGCCCATGACGAAACTTTATGCATCATACGAAAAGTTATCTTTATTTGTCAATAATTCGCTCACTCTCACTGGGTTTATAGCCCAAATTCATAGTTGCTTAGCTGTTCTATTCATCCTCACCGTCCTCTTTGAACATATCGACCGCATGCTGCACTGCTGCAACGCCACCATCATTAGAGAACCGTTTCTCACGTACCACAATTGACGCATGTGAGTTCCATCCTTCGATATGCACAATGTTCTTTTTCCACTCCAGCTTGTTCAAATTACGTGAAATCTCGACCTGTACAGGTAACAGAGCCAAAGGACGAATAGATTTAAGGTCTGGATACGAATATGATATCAGCGCTGAAACTTCCCTAGAAGAAGAAATAGACGACGAAGATGATGGAACGTCTTCAACGACAGAGACAACATTATGCTCCTGCCTGGTATCATCTTTAGCAGACTTAGCGTTATCATCAACGCTAGTGCTGTTGATGTCGATGGCTTTAGACAAGTCTTGAACATCATCTTGGATACCGGTTGCATCATCATCACGGTATTGTTCAAGCGTTACTGCAGAGGCTCGCTCGCGGATACGTTGCAAAGCTTCATTGGACGTAACCATATTCTTAGTCCTTTTTCTTGAAGTCAAACCCTGAAGACCGATCGTAGTGCTCGCGAATACGATCCAAAGAGGGATCAGAAGGGGACCGAGAAGTCCATAAAGCGCATACTTTTTCCAAGGAATTTTAGTAAGCTTTTGTGAAGTCCTCTGAATAAATGAAGCTGACTTTAAAGATTCTTCACGTTCCTGTTTCATTCGCTCTAATGTTTCCATATCGAGGTGTTCAAAGGATTCGATCAAAGAAGAATAGCCAGAATCATATTGGCTATTGTTGGCATGAGAGATAAAAATTAGAAAAAGAAAAATGGCAAACGAAACCATTGCTATCATTCTTTGTTTTACTTTTCTTTGCATACATTTCCATAGCTTCCAGTTCTTGAAAAGGATCTGCATCAGAGAAGCTTGCAGTCCAGAAAGGTACCGATCGGTCGTTTCTAATGTTACAATAAAGTGCTCTTCTCTTGAAACGTGCTAACGCCTTTACAAACACGCTCTCTGGTTCGGACATCACCAACAACAATGGCTTACGGTTTACATAATCGTCAATCAGTTGCATTTGTTCACCTAAATATTTCAAAGCAACATTTAAATGCTTCTTTATTTTTATCACCCCTTGACCATATTTAATAGAACATTAACTTTTTTTTTTTTTTTTTTTTTTTTAGTTTCTTACCTGTTCGGCTTAACATTCTTGAGCTTAAGTAGTTAAACATTTTAGACCAAATAGACTTTGGAGGCATGCGGATTCCCAAGTGTGGTGTAGCCATTGTCACAAAATACATCGGCTGTATACCTCGTCCACCTTCTTCTAAAGGATCAAAGAATTTTTCCATGGCCAATAAGCCTATTGCAAAACGACCGATAAGCCCTCCAAGCGAATAGCCTAAAAAAGATAATTGTGTGACTTTTTTTCTTTGTTGGGTTTCACTGCTTGCGTTATTATTTCTCTCTGCTGATGGAGGGATTTGCTGACTGTTGTTACTCTCGGAACTGGAATCCAAAGACAAGTCAGACGATGGTGCTATTGATGAAATCTTTTTGTCATCCATTTTCTTGTTATGGGTGGTGTTGGTCTTTGATTTACTGTTGGCTTTCTTCTTGCCCTTATTCTTCCGCCCTTGCAGCTCAGAGATATTGCCCCCTGCCTCAATCACACGAACTACCTCATGGATCTCTTGAACAGCACGCTGTCCACAAATGTCAATACCATCATACGTCAAAGAGGATTCGTTTGATTCTGCTCGATACTAAAGATTTTTGAAAAGAAGTCATCAGAGTCAAGACTAACGTCGTTTTCTTCGACAAAATTTAATGGAATTGATAAAAAAAGAACATACGACAAGGATGCGATCACCAAATCGCTTTTTGAACTGCTGCGCAATAAATTTAAGATGTCCCTTGTTGCCCCAAAGACCGTGGTGTAAGATAACCAAGTGGACACCCTCATGGGCTTCATTAGGCATAGACATGGCTTTAGCGGAGCCTTTTGTAAATAGAGTTTCGAAAATTAGAAATATGTCTGCAAGTTTGCAAAGAATGAAGGAGGATGAGGAGTAAAAACTGATCCAATGAGGAACGAATGAGTCAAAAGGGAAAGAGAGAGTAACAAAAAAAAGTGGTTTTGACAGAAAGTCCCTTTTCAAGACTTTTGGTGCTTTGCCCATTGACAATATGGAATGGATAGCGTCATCATCACCCTGGTCGTCTCGATTGCTCAACAATAATCGCCAGGGATTTGTCTCCGCCCATCAGAGCACATGCCAGCTTGCATTCTTGGCAAACAAGAAACATGTACATTTATATATTTTAAATGTTTGAAGACCCAATTGGGCCGTTTTTTTTTGTACTGCGCAAAATCATTCACCCGGTAATGACAGACGAAAAACTTTTTGGGGTTTTTTCTTCCGAGGCACCACATTCATAAGTCCTGGTTAAACAGACGCCAGACTGATACGCCTCTTGGCATCTCTAACCAGAACAACAGTAAGAGGTTTCCTCTCATTTCCCTCAGCCTTTTTACGTGACAGGAAGAGATTCTCAATACTAAAACCACCAAAGGATTTGAGCATTTGCATACTGAAGAACTCAATTTATTATAGCCCTTTAGGAAGCACCAAAAGCTTAATCTAGGGGCTCTATCACAAGAGAGTGGCCAGTTGTTGTAGTCGTAGCAGGATTGGAAGAAGACGTGTTGACGTTATTGTTGGATTGAGTAAAGTTAGAGGTGGTAGCGGTAGGAAATGCTCCTGGAATCCTTGGTTCGTTAGTCGTTGAAGACTGCGAAGAGTTGCCATTTCCTCTGTTTCCAGGTGCAGAGGGATGATCTCCCTGTGTCGAACCATTGTTTCCTCCAACTAATGAAAATCGGCTTTTTTTTTTAGAGAAGAGAAAAGTAAGTGATATTATGCAAGGTTAACCATTGTTTTCATTGTTGCGAGGCGTTGTAAATCGGAAAGAGAAATCGACATACCACGTAGGGCAGGTCCCACTGACTTTGAGCCAGGGCTTGATGCAGTCTTCGTGAAAGATATGTTTGCAAGGTAATTGTAAGAGATTATCCTCCTTCGTGAACTCATCCTTGCATACACTACATTCAGTTTTGGCTTCTACAACCGCACCACAAGAAGATGAAGTATTAATGGGTGATTGCCAGTTTATAGACATGACAAGGCTCTATTTTATATCATGTCATGATTGTATACCAAGCTCTTCGTCTGTCAAAGTGTGGTGAGGGATGCTGTCAATAATCTCGTCTGATGCGCCAACAGGGCCATTTTGACGGCTATTGAGTTGGTGATGAATATTTTGTTAGTTTTTTTTTTTTTTTTTTTTTAGTTAACTTAGCAGCTGGAATCAGCATATTCATAGACTCGCATACTTTTGTATTTCCATCATCTGCGAGATGATATCATCAAGGCCTCCTTGACCCCAGGCATAGTCTCCGGGATTGCTTACAATCGGAAAGAATCCACTACCAGTACCACCCATAGCTAAGCCAAACGGCGCTCCAAACCCGCGGGAATCTTGAAATGCCGTGGGATCAGTAGTATAGTGTATCTCGATTCCAAGACGATTCAGCAGCCTACGTTGCAAAGTTATAACCAAAAATGGATTAGCTTTTGGTCATCGATGTCTTCTAACTCACCACAGCCATTATAAGTGACATCCATATATCTTTGATTTGATGAATTGATACGCGCTTTACCCTGAGATTAATGAAGGAGGACTATGCCATTGTGGTCCTTGAGAATGTTGCTGTTGCTGACCATCATGCTCTACATTAGTACTTTCGCTTCCTACTGCTTCTCTCTCTATTGATTGATCCTGCCTTGGCGGGCTATGGGCTGATGTGTGCTGTGATGTTCCGGGGCTGGTTGCCACAAACGTGTGTGTAGAACTCGTGGAGCCTGGATTGAAGATAAACTGTGTCCCACTTGTGTATGTCTGTCCAGGCGAGCTATATTCATTCGAATATTGGCGCTGACGCTGCTGTTGTTGCATCATAGCTCTCTGTGGGTTAAAGAACGCCTGGAATAGACGAAAGAGATCATCGTGATTATCGGTCCCATCGAGCCCTGAAGAGTTTGAATGCTGCCCTCTTGCATCGTCTGTTGTTTGCGTTTCCGGATGAATGAATGTACGCGGGTCATTATCTGCCTCGATCTATAGGGCATTGAGGAGAGAAATCAGAACCACACGACATTAGTTATTAAAGCGGAAGAAAGGAGTGGGCCTGCTGATACATCGCACAACTAGAATTCTAGAACAAGACATACTTTCTCTACAAACTCGTTGTGACAGTGCGGGCACATGGGGTCTGGGACCATCAACGGCGTAATTTCTCGCTGACACTATTATCCATGATTGAAAAGGACTTTTTGGTTAACTCGCCTTTTCTTAGCCGAAGGAGGAATGTCAACAGAATATATTTCTTGGGCGAAATTAAATGTATACTTGATGGCACCAGTAATCGTTCGTAGACGCGTGTGTTGTTGTCGTCTGCGCACTGGCATTGCTGCTCCCATGGCCCTGGCTAGTCTGGTTTCCTTTCGAGTTATTGCTATTGTGCTGCTCCATGATGGGATGGTTAATGTCCAATGTGAGGAAGGCAGCAATCACAAAAAATGGCCACTTTAATTTTTTTTTTTTTTTTTTTCCTGTTTTGTGACTTCAAATAAGAATCATATTATTTAAAGGAGTAAAGCGATATTTATTACAAAAAATGTCGACGCCTCCGTGGTGGTGGCGGTAAAGCATTGTCAGAGGAATCCGACATGTTTGATTCTAAATCATTTGCTCTCGTAAATGTATGTCTCACAATACCACCAGCAAGAGGCCCATATGACGATCGGTCTATCATACATGAGCTGAGGATTGTTGGGTGATAAGGGTGCCAGCTTGCGTCACGGGCTACATACATATGCTTTCTGGAAGACTCAGAACACTTTGCAAATGCTGCACTAGTGTCTAGTGTTCGAACAAGAGTGCCATCTAATCGGTATATGGCGACATTACCATCTGCGCTACCAGTGTAAAGATATCGCTGACCAGTAGAGTGTACGGGGGAAAAATGGCAGCGTATCAAAGTCCGAAGGACTTTATGGCCTTGGAAAGTCATTACGGAACAATCACCCTAACCAGTTGTTTGAACAGAAAAATTAGTATGAGGATATCGTGATGGATTTTACTGCAACGTATATTCTACTTCAGATTCTTACAGGAACTTTGTACGACTTGTGTTCGTGATATTGCTGCATTCGATAGTCAAATGTCGACTCTCTGGGCTTTGGAAGCGAATCCAAGTCCTTTCTTGAGTACATCATACGCAAATCCCAGAGCAACATCTTTTGGTCCTTACCGTTGCTGGCCAAATAGCGGTTATCGCCTTTAGATGTAACATATGTAATGCCTTCAGAGTGGCCTACAAGGATTCCAGAAGGTGTACTATATCGCCCTCCCATTGAGCGGCGATCCCTATGATTTAATGAACAATACGATGATCAGTCGATAGTGATTGCCTATTCCTTCTTCTATAGGAATGGGCTCTGGTCGTTCTATTACATACCAGACTTTAACATAATGGTCATCGCTACCACTGAATACAACTTGGGAAGATGAAGGCTCAGCAAAACATACAGAATTGACATCATCTTTATGAGCCTTGACAGAGTGCAATACAGTTCTGGATTCAATATCATAGACTATAGACCACAAGATTAGAAATGAATTGAAGAAACAGTGGATTGAAGATCTAATGGTTTCAACTTGACCTGGTACTCACCATGAATCCGATTCCTGCCTCCCGCGACAATCTCTCTACCATCTCCTGAAAATCGCACAGACCAAAGCTATAGAACAGTATAATTGTAAGTGAGACATTAATCAAGATCAAGACTTCCTTAGCTGTTTGCATAATTCAAAGTGTTATGTATGTACCGCACGTTCATCGGTCTCAATCGAGAAGTCCAAGGCATGGTGCGTGTCCGGCGCATCTTTTGCGGTTCGCGTCAAGTACACCACCGGCGTCAGGCTGGAGTAAATCAGCCAGTGGCTATCTAATGACAGGTTATGGTCGGTGATAGTCCACTCTCCAAACATGCCTTGGATTGTACGCTCAGGAACCAGTCTATTTCCAGCAGTTTTGTAAATGCGCAGCTTCCAATCTCTATCACAGCTTGAAAACAAAGACCTTGTAACGAAGTATATATAAATGTTACGACGGTGTAAACGCGAAAATGCCTTCAATAAGGGGATGGGGACTGCGCAGTCTTCTCTCAAGTGATCTTAAACCTTACCCATCTTCAGAATATTGACCAGAGCAGGCAGCTTCATTGTAGAGATCAATGACCTTTCCAGGGTTATCAGGCAATATGGACTATATTTACCAACAAGTCAATAAGTCAATAAGCATACGTCAGCCTCAAAAACTAGGTTGCATTTTTAAGCAGGCCTTACTTCTCCTATAGCCAGAGCCTTAATTGATCGCGGCCTAAGCTGCCTCATCCACAGTTTCCGAGCAACATTATCCTTATTTTCCTTGCTGGGGACATAGGCTGACTCCACACGTCCAAAATCGCCAGAATTAAGTAGCTCAGTCCCTTTCTCAATATCAGGTTCAGGGATTGGGGAGGGGATTCGAGTTCGATGATGAAAACGTGATCTGATATAGACATGATCATCATCATCATTATCAAGCGTAGTATTCTGAGCATGAAGAAGGGCGACGACTAATGAAAAGAAGTAAGGAACTTAATAATGATTCAAATATATACCGCTACGCACATATTCGACTTAGTGTCTTACGCTGACGAAGTCTATTAGGGCCTTAAGAAGACATATAGAGCAGACAATAAAAATATCGGATCGTCTTTAGGAGCTGTCCAGATTAAGCTTCGACGGTATTACGCAAGGCAGTCAGAGAAAATCAGACATTAGCCATACCTGCTGCTGATAACAATGTCGCAAGAAGGTTGCTTTCAACCACAAACTCTTCACTATCATCATCTTCTTCCCTGTTTTCGTCATCGTCGTCATCATCGTCATCATCGTCATCATCCCTTTCCTCCTCCTCCTCCTCCACGTCTTCATAGTCATCATCGTTGTCACTGTTTTCACCACTGTGACCCATCTCTGTATCCTCCTCTTCATCGTCGTCTTCTGTTGCAAGCTCGAAGAGATAAGTCTCCTGCACCTCGTCGTCGCTGTTCATTTTTGATAGGTATATTATTGTTATTTCTATTCGAAAAGAGAGGTAAAGTATTCAAAAAGGAAAGAAAAAAAAAAAAAAAAAAAAAAAAGATGCAAAATGGGGACGGTTGACAACTGCATGAGCGAAAGGCAAGACATCGCAGCCTTGTCGTGACAGGCGTTCTGTATGCCAATCAGAGGAGAGCAACAGCTTATGCACATTTTTCAAGTAAAATTTATTTGTGTTTTTCGTAATTCCTTCTATGCAGCGTGGTTTTTCCTTGCTTGTCGTTCAGACGCATGGTTTATGGCATCGACAACCTCTGAAGCCACTACAGCATCTTTAACCTTTTTTTTAGAAAAGTAAAAAAAACTCAGTATTTCATGCGGGTACCGGAAAGTTAAACACTTATCAATAGTTTCAATAGTAATCTCACCTTAAGCAGGAATGAGATAGGCTTGCCATCCTCAATACCAATGAACCGTATATATTTTTCGCCTGTGATTACCACGTTCATATCTGGGAAAATCGCAACATTCAAAATAAGACGTAAGACACCATCGGCTCTCATCACTAATCAAGATGTGTGCGGTATACGCTATTAGCTCAGTCCATCGAAGGTTCAAAGATATTGCTTGAAGATTCTTGAAACTATCTCATTTAAAGAATAGCACTTACCAAGGCGCGCTACCTTGGTATCATGCTGGCCAACGTTGACCTTGAATGTCCCTTTGCCTCGCTCTTTCCATGTATGTGTCTTGTCAGAGTCTGCATATAGCTTGCCTTTGGTTTGATAAATATTGATTTCATCCTCCTCTCCGGTTTGAACTATTGGATAGGTGAAAGCATCAAGCAGTTAAAATGGCTTGCATTCGCAGAATAGACAGCTTCCTCCCATTTCCTTGGAGGCTAAAATGATTATTACCATCAATCTGATCTGCTTGGCTAAAAACTCCAGTACTAAAGCTTTCTTCGCCCTCGTATTGGTCTCCATCTCCGTCATGGTCACCGGTGTCCTGTGAAAGAAGTGAGCCAAAATCAGCCTTTTCGTGGCTACTGTCCTGATCAATAAATGAGCCTGATGTGAAGCTTGCTTCTTTTCCAAATGTGTTTTTGGCTCCAAATGTACTGAAAGTTTCAGACGACGTAGATCGCAATGTGGCGGGGAAGCCCTGCAATGCAATTGAAAGAACGAGAATATATAAATAGATGAATAAATAGTTATGGGACATTGATCTTATAAATCTTTTGAACTGTGGAGAATTGATATGTTGTGCAACAATCATCTGCATACCGATGACTTGTGAGGTGAGTTAGTGCTCGCAGCTGACCCGACAATCGATTTGGCCCCAAATACGCTGCCAGCAGTCGAATCAGCTGAAGAACCTGCGTTAACACCAAAACTTGAGATAGTTGATGTAGTAGATTGGCCAAATACGCTTTTCGATGAATCACCTCCAAATACATTAGTTGATGTAGTTGGCGCAAATGGACTCACTGAAGATGTATTCCTAAATCCGGCCGAAAGCGGCGAAGATTTACCGCCAAAAACGTTGGTATTTTCAGTCGCTGCAAAAGGACTGGAAGTGGATGTGGCGCTGAATCCCTTGAGGGTTGAGCTTGAGCTGCCAAAGACATTCTCGCTAGATTTGACATTAGCAAAGGGACTGACTATGGATGTATTGTTGAATCCAGCGCCAAGTTTGGAGCCAGGGCTTGATGCTGATTTTGATGGTGGTTCAGTGGTGGTCTTCTTCAGCTCTGTGCCGTTTTTGTCATCTGCAATAATGACAGAATGAATTGTTGTATTTGCAGACTCAGTCTCTTGGTCGCCAATATCTGAAGAGGGTGTCGATTCGGGATCTTGAGGATTATCCGTTGTCGTCTGAAGTGGAGTCGCACTTTCTTCCATCACTTTGTCCGGAATGTTCTCTTCATTACTTCCTGGATCACTTTCTACGTCATCCATGTCTTTGCTTTGAATTTCGGCGTTCTCAGAGCTTTTACTGTCCTCCAAAGGCATGGTTTTGAGGTTGCGCTGGATCTGCTTGACCTCTGCTTTAGATACAGAAGTACTGGACTCTATTTCCGGCTTACTGTTGGCGATATAGATAGAGAAAAAATACAATATCAGGTGAGAATTGCTTTTTCGAGAAGAGCCAAAGCTAAGGATATCGTTAACAAGTAATAATGCCTTTAAAGTAAATATTTGCTTGAACATTAAACTTGCATTTTCTTTGGTGGAGCTGCTTCCGGGTCTGTTCCAGCTTGTTCAGACTAGGATATTGTCAGGAGAGAAAAGCAAAGAGTGATATGCCTTAGATATGTTCCTTCACTGTGGACAATGCCGAGTATAATAAACTTACTGGGACAATACTGGTTTGCTTCTCAAGAGCCTCGACTTCATCTCGCTTTCTTTTGGCATGCTCATCTATCATAGCAGTATAAATGAGAAAAGAAATCAGTACGATTAAAGGGGAATGAGATGTGTGTCAATTTGAGGATTCTAGTGATTTCATTTGTCATACCAAGTATTGGCGACTCAGTGCGACGGATCGGACTTGACATCTTTCTTTCTGTATTGTAGTTTTTTTTTTTTTGCTATTGACTGCAATAAGGCATGCACAAGCAAATGATCTAATTTGGCTTTTTACAAACCCTGTTTCCTACTTGAGTGCAGCATAATTTTTACCCAAAATACGTCACCATCGCTCTTTGGGTGTAGCACATAATTTGTTCAGGTGCTTGAACACCCCTCGCTGTCATTGTACGGATTACATTCCTCGGTTCTGCTATTGAGTCTTGCATATCCTTCAATGCGCACTTTATTTTCTGCCTATTAGATACTATACGGCCCAGCTCCTTCCACAGGACCATAAGCTCTTCTTCACACTCTTCAAACGCTTGGGTGGTGACTTCTTCTCTTTTTCTCTTCTTTTCTTCCCTCTCTTTTGTTCTCATCATATCCAGCTCACGCAGTAAAACTGGTGAGATAAAGCTCTCGAGAGGAGGCCCTAAGTCGAACTCTAAGTGCCTGTTCTGATGTTCAAAGTGCGAAGGAGCAGCGGCATATTGAACATCGAAGCCGTCGTAAATCCTTGACACTAAATACATGTGTTTGCAAGGGATCTTCTGTCGGACATAGTCGGCGCATGAACATGACTGAAGGAGGCCCCTCTCTACATCCGCGGCAACGGAGTACTCTACTCCAGATTCTTCGGACGACTTCACCGCGAACTTTGAAGAACGAAAGAGATTAGAACCTATCCATATACAATCAAACTTTTGATATTATCGATTTTCGACACATTCCTCTTTCTCGACTAACTTCTCGCATACCATGGCCCTTGCCTCCACAGGACTTACTGCCATTGCTCTCGTCAGTCTTTCTTGGTCGTACTGTGAAAGCGTTGCGAGTTGTATTTCATTTTTGACCTTGAAATACTGTCTCCTGAAGTCCTGGTCAATGGGCCCCTGCAAACACGTTAGTCTAGTTCGGAGTGCAGGCGTCGAGGACCATTTACGTGACTGTTTTCAATGATGTAATAGGGCCAAGATTGTGCTGTACTCTCGCTCTTTTATATTGTTCATTGCCTGGCTCTTTTGTGTTCGTTTAGTTGGTTATTGCGGCCTAACGGTTAATAGATGGCGCTTTGTTTCGGATCAATATCCTAGGAGAAATGAGTGGAATTGGTGTTGTAGTAGTACGTGAATTACTCTGCTTATCCTCCGCATCGCGATCCGTATTTCGAACTCGATGCAAGACTCGCCAATGCTACAGCTGAAGGAGGGCTTCACACTCGAACTGGGGATGCAGATCTGACCTGTGTTGATGTCCAATATTTTAATCTCATCTGAAGTGCACTTCCACAAGTCTTCCACAATCTTGAGGTCTTTATGATGCTCCTGATCTCGAATAGAGAGTGGTTAACATCACCGACAGCAAGTTGATCTGAGATATAAAGGGTTTGGCGAACGGCCATTTGTATCTACTAGCCTACTGCTTATTCATTTTGAGTGTCAAAAAATGAAGTCAATGTCTGAGGCTTCGGATACTACTGCGATGCTCGTACCTGGATTGAGAGATTGAAAATAAGGCCTAAGGTTAAGTGGATAAATGTCAAATCTATTTCTGATGTGCAGCTTTTGTGGCCCCTCCAACCCTACTCCTTCCTATGTACGAGAGCATCGCTGTGATTATGAACCCATCTGCATCCTAGTTTATTACATCAAATAATCTAGAGAATGCCGCTCCTTTGATTGTGCATCCATGTCCGCTTTTGATGTATCATGCTGCAATGCACTTCCCAGTTGCCATTTTTTCATTAAATGCGACCGCATGGATGGAAATAAGGCTAAACAAACAGGTTTAAAAAACATCTTCCAATGGGATTGAAGTGCGCCTTTTAAGGTCATGTCCTCAATAAAATTTTCCCACAATTCAGTTCCCATCATTTTTCTTTCTTTTATTCTTTTTGTTCCTGTAGCCAAAAGCTTCCATTTAACTATATTTAAATACAAGGCTCTTTATCTCTCTTCTTTTTTTTTTTTTTTTTTTTTTTTTTTTGGCACAATGCGTCTTGTTGTCACTTTTCTCTTTCTCATCCTCACCGCAACTTCCGCCATGACCATTTCGCTCGAATCGAATCCACTCACCCCGGAGCTCATGCTCTCGCTCCCCCGTCCTTCTTCTGCTGCACTCTCGCCCGACGGAAACTACGCTGTCTTCTCAGTCTCGCGCTACAATGTCGATACAAACAAGTCTATCCGCAACTTACAGCTTGTTAACCTCAAGGATAACAATGCTCATTCTGATTTGACGCCCCATACTCCTGATACTGCCCATAGCAATGCTATTTGGCTCGATAATAGCCATGTCACTTTCATTTCCAAGGGCCAGCTTTATGTCAAGGTCGTTGGCTCAAACGCAGAGCCTTACCAATTGACTAACTTCCCTGTTGATATTGCTAATGTCAAATTCAATCGTGCTGCTAATCTGATCGCGTTCACAGCTGCTGTCTATGCTGATGGATCGCTTCAAGGAGCTAAGGATAAGGACGAGCATGTCAAATCTTATAAAAAAGATACCGCTTTAGCCTTTGACACACTCATGGTCCGTCACTGGGATGAATTTATTCAGGAAAAAAAGAACAATATTTTTGTTGTCAAGGTCAAAAAGGATAGCGACAAGTTTGTGAAGGATGGTGAGGCAATTAACTTGCTGCTCAACACTGGACTTGAATCGCCTGTCATTCCTTTTGGAGATGAGAGCGACTATGATATCTCCCCTGACGGCAAGGAGGTTGTCTTTGTCTCCAAGATAACGTCTCGAGATAACGCTTGGCAGACCACGACGCACATTTACACCGTCCCTACCAGTGGTGGTATCGCTCCCAAGAATATTAACTCAGATAGTGTAGGAGCAGCCAGTAACCCTGTCTACTCAGCTACAGGTAAATCTATCGCCTACTTCCAGATGCTCAAGCCCCAATACGAGGCCGACCGCAACCGAATTGTCGTTTATACGGCTGGAGAGTCGCGCATTATTGCCAAAGACTGGGATCGAAGCCCTAGTAGCATCATTTTTGACAGCAAAGATGAGAACATTTATGTTACTGCTGAGGATCATGGACGCATCAAGATTTTTCAGATCAACCTTAAGACCGAGGCTGTGGAAGAAATCGTCAGCAAGAATTCCCAGAGTGGGCTGCGCCTCATTGATGACCAAACACTGTTCTATTCTACCTCATCGTTGACCAGTCCTATCAACTTCTTTACTGTTGACGTCAGGTCCAAGGCTATTACACGACGCACTGATCTTTATCGCAAGGACCTTGAGAATGTCTACCTCAGTACTCCTGAAGATATTTGGTTCAAGGGTGACCAAGATAGAGATGTCCACGGATTCCTTTTGAAACCCATTGGTTTTGACATTAATAAGAAATACCCTCTTGCTTTTATTGTTCATGGTGGTCCTCAGAGCGCCTTTAATGACAACTGGAGCACTCGTTGGAATCCTAATGTTTTCGCCAACGCCGGCTTTGTTACCGTTTTCTTCAACCCTACCGGATCAACCGGATACGGACAGGCATTCACTGATGCTATCAATAACAACTGGGGAGGCTCTCCTTATATTGATCTGATAAAGGGACTTGATCACGTCCTTGAGACCCACCCGTTCATTGACCAGACTCGTATTGCTGCCCTTGGAGCATCTTATGGTGGATACATGATGAAGTATGAGTTGAACCCTTTGATATGACTTCGTTTATTTGTTTATATATTTACTTTCCATACTCATACGTCCTGTATTTTAGCTGGTTCAATGGACATACCGACCGCTTTAACTGCTTGGTCAATCATGATGGGATCTTTGATACTAAGAATGGATTCTATACCACCGAGGAGCTTTACTTTCCTGAGCATGAGGTTCGCATCAGCCCTTTGTAAAATATTTCTTGAATGGATGGTGATTTTCTGAATTTTTGACGAATACTAACATGTCCTTTGGCATCTCTGATAGTACGGTGGTGTCCCATGGGACGCCAATGCCAAGAAAAACTACGAGCGTTGGAACCCTGCAAATTTTGTTCAGAACTGGAAGACCCCTACTCTCGTTATCCATAGTGACAAGGGTGAGTCTTTTTTTTTTTTTTTTTTTTTTTTTTTTTTTTTCTGGGTGTATAGCCCATGTTGATGTCTTCTGAAGGTTATACACTTAAAAAATGATAACTTCTATTATTATTGTTATCGTTTTGCTAGACTATCGCTTGCCTGTCACTGAGGGCTTGGCAACATTCACCGTCTTGCAGCGCAAGGGAATCCCTTCCCGTTTTGTCTACTTCCCTGATGAGAACCACTGGTTGGTGCCACGCATCTTTACTGAATTCAAGCATGACCAAAAGCTTTTTTTTTGAGTGCAGGCATATTAATACAATGCATTTTTTCTTCTACGAATTCAGGGTTCTTAAACCTGCCAATAGTATTCGTTGGCATACAGAAGTCATTGGCTGGATTAAGAAGTGGACTGCCGAGCCCAAGGAAATTAGTGTTGACGACCAATTTGTTCTTAAAGCCTCTCAAGTCCAAATTTAGTAAAATTAAACAATTAAAGAGTTCTTCATATCATCAAATGCCCTTGTACCAGGGAAAAATAGTTGCCCACATCGAAGGTGGATTTGCAATAAGCTCATCTTTATCTTACTGTTTATGTACTATAATGAGTATTATCGTCTACAGATTGACCGAGAGAAAGGGGGTTAAAAGAATAAAGAGATGATTGAGTAGTGTACAGCTGTTTGTGAGGACAAGCACCAAAGCCAGAAAGTCAACCATGCTACTTTAAAGTCTCTCAATTTGGGAAAGGGTGCCAAGTATAGTCAATTGAGTAAAGCCCTTTATGATAATACTATATTTATTCAGGCACAACAATATATACATTACGAATCTGGCTTATTAGCTTGTATAAAGTGACATAATTAACACAAGCCGAGTTTGACTTAACAAAGGAGTCCACAGTCTACGTCCTCAATTTTGACAAAGATCAATTAGGCGTTGCCTTTTTTTAACTCGAGCATTTTCGGTGTTGACATGTGCCAGTGAGCACAGTGTCCTTCAAAACAAAGTAATGGTATATCTATACAACATTAATGTGACACAATAGCGCGGCAAAAACGTGGTGGAAGCTGTCATAATTAAAAAAGGAAGGGCCATGCAACACAAATAAAAGACGCGTCAGAAAAAGAGGTTGCACTCGAGGAATGTTTGAATACATATAAATGCTAAGCGCACCTTATTATCAATAGTGATAATTATCAAGTTGTTTGCAGACAGGAGATCCATTTATAGAGTGGCCTTGAGAATGTAATCCTTATAATAAACCCCTACAACCGTAGATCTTCATCTGTAACTCCGGCACACTGAAAATCCTTGTTTATCCATACTCCCACTCCACTCCGCTACCATTTTTCTCCACTGGAAATTTTGTCGCTCTTTAAATCACCCCATTTGAACTTCCTTGCTTTCCACAGTGCGGACTGACTCTCCACATGCGAAGAATAAGAAATGTAGCATTCATATGCCTGCCCGTCTGCTACGGCTGTTGCTCGGTTCATCGCATGAATTATGGATCATGTAAAAAATTCCAATCTCAGCTCCACCTGAGCCAAAAAAAAAAAAAAAAAAAAAAAAGGCACTGTTTACTGGATAGGAACAAAGAGTTAAACAATGCCTAGATGCGTACATGTATATTTTTATATATATTGTACACGATACGACTTGCGTATTCAAACAGGTGCTTGTTGGCTTGAATAATGGGTTTAGATCGAAAGAAGCAATAAAAAAAATAGGGCTCTTAAAACTTTACCTAGTCTGTTAACCTGATTTTCGGATGTTGTGTAATACAAATGGAGTACCTATTCATAATCCTTATAGATATATATATACATGTTGTGTATTTTTCCAACCTTTCGATCTGTTCTTGTAAGCCTTTTCCCTGTGAATGTGTATATATCACCCTCATCATTTGGTAACGAACATATTCTAAAAGCACTATAAATGTATATATTATAAAGTCCGGGTTAGTAATTCTCATGCGAATATGTTTCTTTTTATGATTCCCAGTAGCAACCAAGGAAATCATCATTTTAATCAAAGAATTGAAATTATCAGGAACCGTACAGGACGATGAAGATAAATCATGTATGCTCACAAACAAAAACAAATGCACAAAAAAAAGGCATTTTATCGCCATAACCATCCATTACTGTAATCATACTTCTTTAAGTGAGCTTCGGAGAACAGATATGAGAAAGAAAAAACAATGAAGTCAAGCGACTCTGTTTTCATGCGACCCATGGCCATAGTTTTATTGGATGTGTGCTCTCCTCATTTTTCGTCTCTCTTCTCTTCTTGTCCCTTGCTTTTGATCGATTGTCTATTCCATTATCGTTCATACGTTAACTGTTATATTCCTTCTCCATTCTTCATTTCTACCGTTCGCCCGGTCGCTTCCAGGACCCATTCGATTTAAGCGCCTTCGGCAACATTTATTCACTTATCTTGATCGATCGTAAGCTCCATCTTTAACGACATTTTTTTTTTTTTTTTTTTTTTTCGCCCAATCAAATCAACAGCAGTTAATTATCACTCCCTCACACCACAAATCCTTATACAGTCATCGCACAGCCATGTCTCACATGTTATTCTCTGCATCCAAAGAAAAACTCGCAGAGAAGGATCACCATCAGAATGCCGGTAAAATCTCCAGTGATGAGGACCTTCCATATGGCTCTGACGAGGTGGAATACAATGATGAAAAAGGCGAATTTGATACTTATGATGAGGAGCATGGCCATGCCGCAGAGAAACGCACACGCTTCTATCAGAGCAAGCGTTTCTGGATCAAGTGCATCACGATCCTCGTTATCATCCTGGCTGTCTTCATTCCTCTGCTCATCTTCGTCATCTTGCCAAAGTTGGTGCAAGCTATCGTTAATGGCTCAACTATGTCGATGAGCCAACTCAATATGACCGACGCCACTGAGACAGGGATGAAGGTCTCATTAATCGGAGGGATCGATAATGCTGGTATCTTTCCTGCTACTATCGAGTTTCCCGAGCCTATTATCGTCTCATGGGAAGGCCATCAGCTCGGTAGCATGCAAATGTCCAGCGTGAAGGCTTCAGGAGGCAAGGCTACAATTATCGACTCGACTTCGTTCTCTATCATTGATAAGGAAGCCTTTTCTACTTTTGCAAAAGACATGGTACGTATGATGCATCTGTCAACATCCTATTTTACGCAGCAGAGTTCTTCTTTTTGATCGTCTTGTTCTTTATTCTGAAATGATGTCCTTTTTCTCTTTCTTGTTTAAGTTGACAATCGAGACATTTACCTGGGTGTTGACTTCAACAGTGCAAGTAAAAGCTATTGGACGAACCATCAAGGACATCAGCCTCAAGAAAGAACTTAAAATGCTCGGCATGAATGGCTTTGGCAAGGTCACGATTGACAGTTTTACGATGCCTGGAGACGCACCTAATAACGCTGGTGCATATGTCCGTCTTGTCACGTCCATGAACAATCCCTCGCCCATCGGCATGACTCTCGGGACCATGGTGCTCGATCTCTTCTATGAGGGCACCTATCTCGGCCAGGTTACTGCTACCGACGCTGTCCTTATCGGCAACTCACCTTCGCCCCTGACCTTGGAAGGTCTTCTTTTCTACCAGACCAACCAAACCGATCTAGATAATGTCTCTACTCTCATGTCGAACTTTTTGGCTGGCAAGGTCACTATGACGAGCGCAAAGGGTGTGGCTGTCAAGCCTGATGGGATCAACTCGATCTCCTGGCTCAGTAATGGTCTCCTATCTTTGACACTGAACGTACCATTGCAGTCGCCCACACCCTTGAATGTCATCCGCGATATCAGCATCAAAGATATGGGTATGATATTCAATGAAACTAGTCCTTACACTCCCACTGCCAGCTCCAACATGGTTACTGCCGGCTTTAAGCTTCCTTTCAACATTACCGTCGGTATGCAGAGCGTCAGTAACTCTATGTCTATCCTGTATAAGGGCAAGGTTCTAACTGATATTAATGCTGCGGTTTGGAGTCAAGCCCAATCAGATGTTCCCGGTGGCCTGATCGTATTTAGCCTTCCTCCTTCACTCCTTGTTGTTAAGGACGATGCTAAAGAAGAGTTCGATCAGTTCATCGCAGATCTCACAGTCAATGCCGAGCAGACGTTTATGGTCACCGGTCTTGCCAGTGCGGTCTCAACCACGCCTGTAGGGACTGTTAAACTTTCTGGCATTCCTTTCACTTCCAATGTAACTATGAAGGGCCTTAATTTCAACTCGATTGATGCTGCTGTCACCAATGTTGTTGTCAATGGTGGCACTTCCGACCATATTACCATGAACCAGATGGTTGCACTGCCAAACCCATCCACTCTCAGTGTAACAGGTGGCAGCGTGCTTCTGACTGTTTATGATAAAGTCACTGATCAGTACCTTGGTGAGCTCTCTATCCCTAATCTGAAGGTCGTCCCCGGCCCCAACCCTACTCCATCGCAGTTCTTTTTCCACCCTAAAAATGAGACTCTCCGTGATCAGTTCTTAAGCCAATACTTGACAGGCGCCGTTTTCCCTCTCAAGGTTGTTGGATCTAAGAAGGCTACTTCTATTGTAGAGCTCAAGGCCGCCATGTCTCTTGTCTCCATCTCTTCCACAGCGCCTGGTCTCACGCCCCCTCGCCTCTTAGTTACCTCTGGAACTGCTAATTCCAATATTGGGACTCTATTGGGTAATCGTCAGACTATTACCAGCGTTAACATGATCAACCCCTTGAACACAGAGCTTTATGTCACTGGACAAGTCACACAGATCTCATGGAAAGGCAACTTTTTTGGCACAATCAATGCCAAGTATGAACAGGCCGTACCTCCCAATGGTGCTGTCGACACACCTCCATTGACGTTGCAGCATCCCTCAGGACTGGAGTTTGGTTTCTTTCTGACCACGCAGTTTGTCCCTTCGTATCCTTTGATTGCTCTTGGGGGGGCTATGGTTCCATTTGACTTAGATGTTATGATGAGTGTCCGCGTTGGCGGTCCTAACGGTTATCCAGCGACTATCCATTACGTTCAGCAGCAAGAAATTTTGACCAAGATGAGCATGTTTTGAACAGATTACAATATTTGTATTTGAGTATAATAACAATGTGGCTCACTAAGCCGCATTTAAAAAATATGCAGCACAAGTAAATAAACAAAAAAATAACCCCTCCCTTTCAGAGCCTTTAAACATTACTTCTCATTTTCAATTTCATTACGCAACGCCATGGACACTGAGAGACTTGTTTTAAACCTCGTAGCGCCTACAGGGGGCTCCGCACCTACAAGGCTCGCTAAACCAAAGGGTGGACGTTGGAAGGATAGAGTTAAAGTCGTCAAGTCTGCCAAGAGGAAACTCCAAGTTTCTGAGCGTGAAAGTGCTTCATCTTTTCCCAAACCAATACATACCTCAGCATCATTTTCAATATTGAATCCATCATCAACCAAAGACAGAAGGGCCACTCGTTCTCATAACAACTCTGACCACCAATTGCTCAGTGATCATGTTGTCTCCAAAGAGGCGAAACTTATGCACGGAAAGTCCCAGGTCCAATCATCCATCTTCTCGCCTGATATTGGGGATATGCCTAAGGTAAACATTAGTCACCTATCTACCATGCCGAACATCCCTACAAATCGGAAAAAATATGTATTTGCTAAAGAAAAAAGAAGTATGGCCATTTTTGAAAACTTAGATTAAGACGATCCATCGTCCCGTTGGAAAACCAAGCAATGCTCCTTTGAATACCTCAACATTCACTGGTATTGGATTAGACAAAGACTTGGTCAAGCATATGGAAGCGAAGCTCAAGGTGACACAGCCAACAATTATTCAACAAAAGGCTATTCCAGTTTTGCTCGGGCCCACACGTAAAGTTGGAGACAATGTGCCAAAGACGGATACGGATGTAATTATTCAAGCAGAAACCGGATCGGGAAAGACGCTTACATACCTTCTACCCATTATCAATCGGTTAATCGAGTCGGAGGCCTCACCAATGCTGGATCTGGAATCAAAACGGTCTATAGGGACACTTGCCATCATCATGACACCTACTCGTGAGTTAGCAAAACAAATTTTGCAAGTTTTGGAGACGCTCCTCAGCATGCCTGCATCCTCAATCACAGGTAAGAAGCGCTCGCATTGGATTGTGCCAGGGATCGTCATTGGAGGAGACAAGAAGAAGTCAGAGAAGGCTAGGCTGCGTAAGGGTGTTAACATCCTGGTGGGTACACCCGGGCGACTCTTGGATCATTTGCAAAACACAAAATCTTTCAATGTGCAAAGTTTGAGGTGGTTAGTGTTAGATGAGGCGGATCGATTGCTTGAACTAGGATTCGAAGAGTCGATGACGGCGATTCTGAAAATTTTAGATGCAAGAGTTAAATTTGCAGCCTCTATCACTAGTGCTAATGACACCACGGGGATTTGGCCCAAGAAACGCCAGACCGTACTATGCTCTGCCACATTATCGGAAGATGTTCAACGCCTTGCTGGCACTTCACTCATCGAGCCAATATACATTAGTGCACAGAAGGATGCTTCCAATAAGAAAGACATTCCCGAGGCCGCATTAGCCACAGCCGAGGAGAAACACACAGAGAAATTTTCGACTCCAGAGCAACTTAAACAGAATTATGTTATTGTGCAAGCGAAGCTCCGTCTGGTCACTCTTACTGCCTTGCTTAAGAGTGCTTTTGCCAACAAGATTAAAGGACCCAAATTACCCAAGACAGTGGTGTTTTTGTCATCGTGCGACTCTGTTGATTTCCACTATGAACTATTTGCTCATGCCGGAAAAGAGACCAAGCTGGAGCTTTCACACGATGAATATCTTGGCCAGAGATTTGAGAAGGATGAGGAGGAACAAGGTGATAATGATCATGAAAGAAGCCCAGAATTTGCTTCTGGTGCCAACAGAATTGATTCTAAGGCGAATAGGGATGAAATCCATAAGGCAAAGCGTGATGCCGAGAGAGCTAATGCTAAGAAGACAAGAGCGCAGCTGTCGCTCAAAGGAGCCGTGCTACCAGATGTACCTTTATTCCGTTTGCACGGTAATTTAGCACAGGGGATGAGAACAGATACATATTTTGAGTTTTGTAAGGCGCCCAGTGGAGTCTTATTTGCCACCGATGTTGCAGCTCGTGGACTAGATCTGCCGGATGTCAGTCATATCATCCAATATGATCCTCCTTCGGATCTGAAGGATTATGTCCATCGTGTCGGACGCACTGCTCGTCTCGGACGGGATGGTGAGGCCATCTTGTTCCTTTTGCCTAGTGAAGTCAAATATCTGGAGTTACTAACGGCTCAAGGACTGCCAAATCAAGAAGTTTCGGTAACGAGTATCTTGATGACGCTGGCGCCTCCAAAGTCGAACGAGTACCAGCAACCTGCTACGGACATCCAAAACAGCTTTGAGCGGTACAATCTCCACTCACCAGAGGCAAGAGACATCCCAGCACAACAGTTATTTGAACCCACGTTCTTGATGTCTGATTCAAAAGTATTCAAAATGCTAATTGGATTTATATTTATTTTTGATGTCTTTGCCTATTTGTTATATTAGAGCATGGCCATCGCCCGTGCAGCCTTTTGGGCATTTGTCAAATCATACGCGACACATCCATCTTCTGAAAAACATATTTTTCATATCAAGAATCTGCATCTAGGACATATCGCTAAGAGTTTTGCATTGCGTGAAGCGCCTTCGGATATCCCACAACCTAAAAAGAAAAAAGTAGCAGGGGTACGCCCTGGAGGAAAGAATGTGGAGGATATAGATGAGTCACATGTTGTGCGCAAGTCTCAGAAAGAGCGCGAGAAAGAGGAACGATCCAAGCCCAAGATTGTCCTGAAGCGCAAGAACGATGTTAGTGAGTTTGCAGTTGGAGACTTCAAGTCTTTAATTGGACCCGTGACAAAGCGCAAGAAGAACAAGTAAAAAAATAAAATAAAATGGCAAACAGAGAAAAAGAGAGCACCAACACCTGCACATCTGCACACCTGCACACCTGCCAGGTCTGATTGGCATTCATTTGACTATTTTCTGTATTATTCTACAGATCTGACAACGTTCATGTCCTTTAAATTGCTGCATTCTAATTGTGATCTAATTCTAAACAGTACACCAAGCAACAGAAGACACGCACTGTTTAGGCAGACAAAACAAACAGAGACTAAGACAATTCAATAAGACAGTACAAAAGGAAGTGTGTGAATGCGTGAGTGTGTGTAAAACACGCAAGTGAATGGTTTTTAACGATTCTGTGAATCCTTGAAGGAGCTCTCGGGTCAGATACTTATCGACGCTGAAAAATAAAAAGAAAAAAAGAAAGAAAAGAAAAAAAAAACATAAACGCTGGCAAAGAGAGCGCGCATGCAATCGACGTCTGTCCTCATCCCTGACTCCGAAGAGCATGTTCCTGTCCTTGTCGACGACGCCTCCTTCCGCCCACCACATTTGTTTCTCTCAATGAACCACCGCGATTACGACGAAGACAAAGCACAGTCCCCGAAGGAAGGAGCAGCCCGATCGGGAGCCCACCACATCATCCATCAGTTTCCCAACGGTCGCATCGAACAAGGAGGTGAGGAACAAAATGTGGCTCTGGAATTGAAGGAGAAACAACACATTCCAGACTTACAGCAGCAGAAGGAGTCTCAGTCGTCTAAACGTCGATCGCTTCAGAATCACATTGGTAACAGGAGTCAGCCCAGTACATTTGAGTTTGTAGACACAGTGCAGACGGATTTACCTTACAGGTCAGAGCGACTACACCAGGACAATGGGAACCAACATAGCTCTCCTATTCCTCAGCCAAAAACGCATGAGCGTAAGAGAAGTCATCCAACAAAACGGATGTCCGCAACAATTCATTCCAGTAGTGCGTCGCCTACGAGCACCTCGGAGCCGTCATCACAAGAACCTTCACCAACATCACCTTCTCAATACTCGCTACCATACAGTATTGCCAACCATCGGCATATTGATAAAGAGCATAGTGGATCTAAGTCGACAAGATGCGATCCGACTTCTACAGCGCATACAAATGGACGATCCAAAACACGGAGTAAATCGTATTCTACACCTCGCGACATTCCTCTGATGAAGGCGTGCCAGTCACCGTCGTTGAATTGCTCCTATTCAATGGGGATTGTCTTCTTGGTGTCATTGACTTTACTAGGATGTATCTTCCACTCCAATTTTTATCACCAGGTGGACCCTAACACTTGTCAGTACACATATATGCAACCACGTTATTACAAGTTATTGGGATTTGATCGTGAGCGGACGGCATTTGCAGGGAAATATGGCTTACTTCTTTTTCGTGATCAGTATGACTATCGGCTGCAGGTACCAGCGAGTATGATCACAGAGCACTCTTCCAACTCGGTGTTTACAATTGATAAGGAAGCCAAGGTAAGGAATGACGATTTTTTATTTTTTTTTATTTTTACTTTTTTTAATACATTTCTATCGAGCACTCGGTTGAATCTCATGGGAATGCTTTTATTGTCAATTAGGTCCAACCACTAGGCATTCCAGCCCTCTTTATCCCTGGAAATGCTGGGAGTGCCAAACAGATGCGATCTATCGCAAAAGAAGCATCAAAGTATTATTATGAGAAATTGGCAGAAGAGCAGCGTAGTGACGGCAAGATACTATCGCGTCCAATAGACTTCTTTACGTGTAAGGCATTCTCGGTAGTCAAAAAACACGTCGCTTCTAGAGGAGCTACAGGGACGCAAAGGGTGTTTTATCGTCAGTTTTTCTAAAAATCACTGTTTTATATTAAAAAATTGAATCCCATTCTTGCAAAATAGTGGACTTTAATGAAGAGTTTTCAGCATTGCATGGACATTCATTACTGGAGCAGGCTCAGTTTTTGAACGATGCTATCGCCTATATCCTTTCGCTTTACGATGACGATCGCCATCAAGATCCCAATCTGCCGAAACCAACATCTGTACTTCTTGTCGGACATAGTATGGGGGGTGTTGTCGCACGGACCCTCTTTACTATGAGTAACTATCGACCAGGCACCGTTCATGCTGTCTTGACAGCTGCTACACCGCACCTCCTACCGCCTGTGACATTGGACTTTGAGATAAGCGATATTTATGATCGCATTGAGTCATTCTGGAGTCGTGGATTTCAAGGACCCGATGCACCGCTTAAGAATGTATCATTAGTGTCAATTGCAGGTGGCAATCTGGACATTATCGTCAATGGCGAATCTGGAAATATTCACAATATTGTACCCCAATCACATGGATTTACGGTCTTTACGTCATCGATCCCACATGCATGGGTGGGTTCAGACCACGTCTCAATTCTCTGGTGCAATCAAATTGCGATTGTTTTGGGGAAAACTTTGATTGATGTTGTGGATGCTAGTTATCCAGAGCAGGTTAAACCCCTCGAAGAGCGCATGAGAATCTTCAGGAACAGGCTTTTGACAGGATTAGAAGATCATTTGGATAACCCTAAGAGACCAAAAGGTTAGTACTACTCTAATATGTCGTTGATAGTATATAAGTAACTTGGGCTACAAATAAGGATGGTAGCCTTGACCATGCATCATTTATTGGGAATATTTAGAAACAAAGACATTTGTGCTTTCTGAAGTCGCCCATACTATTGTTACAGCTGGTAGTGTCTTGCAATATCCTCCTAGGGTTAGCGGCAAATATGATGTCGAGTTGGATGCCCTTCATTTGCATATCATGCCAGTCCCATGGGATAGTGATGTTGACACCTTTAACCTTTTGACAGATCATCAATTTGGACCTGACAGTCGATTGGATTTGCTTCTTTGCACTGATGAGTATTCCGAAGTTAGAGCCGCAGCATCAACCGATGCAGCTCGCCTTACATGTCGGTACGACACTTTATCTGCCATTCCAATCCCTGCTTCACTTGCTTCTCCTGCACATCCATCTACATCGCCTCCATTAGGGAAATATGGTCGTGGCCAGGAGTTCCGCTTTGTATCTCAAAAAGTCCAGGAACTAGATGGAGTGCAATACCTGGTAATCCTAGACAAGGGTCGTAAGTTTCCAGTACCAGGGTTTTTGATTGCAGAGTTTGTTGCTGAAGCTGACTCATTGGTGACAATGGAGACGACAACTCGAAGTAGGTGATTATGGCTCAATAGCGCAGTACTGCCACTGGGGACCAGCTGCTTTATTATGACAGAGTTTAATAGTTACCTGATCTTGCCAACAATCCACAAACCCACCGTTTTAGAACTCTTGAATGATGGATTAAGGATTCATGCTTTTCCCGTGAGACCATCATTGGTATCAACACTTCGGCTGCCTAACATTGACAATAGTCTACTAACTTATACTCTTACGGTTAGCCGTCAAGGTTGCTATGGTAATAACTTTTTTTTTTCTACCAAATAATATAAAAACAGCGCAAGCAACTGATGAATTTAGCTTAGGCTAATTTGGACTAATTTTATTTGTATTAATCTAGCTCCACAGCATTTCTCTCCAATGTTGCGGCAGTCCGGCTGGACCATGTACGAGGATCGATATTCAGTAGATGTGACTTCTAAACAGGATGGGATAGATGTTAATTTTCACGGTGATCTCCCGTATTACGAGCGAGTTCAATTGCCAGGAAAGAAAGGCATAGAGTTTCGTTTTTGGATGGATCCATCATGTCCAGTACCATTATCACTCAATTTGCAGGTTGACAAGTATGGAAGCCTCGGCAAAGTCGTGATTCGCTATAGAATGGTGGTGCTCGTTTTTACCTTCTTAGTGGTCATTTTGACTTTGCGGGCCCAATTCAAAGCTTTTAATGATGGTCATCCATTCATTCCGTTCGGGATTATGTTGACTCAACTAATCACAACGACATTCTTGAAGTTTACATTGTTCTTGGCAGCCATTGCTCTCCTCCAATCATTCCAGGCAAAGACAACGTATTCAATTAACGAATATTCGGCCTATGCTCAGGAAGAAACTACATCTAGAGGAAGTTCTGGTGCAGCGGAGGAAATCATTGAAGGCCCCGCAGGCAGTAGAAACGTATATCAGGATGCGTACGAGCAGATGATCCGTGCACGAATCGCAAGAAGTGAATCATGGTTCTCGAGCTTTCGTTTTAGAGACGCATTGCTGGGAGCGAACGATACGTTTTTCTGGTTCTTGGCACCTTTATTTTTCCAAATTGCAATTGGGATTGTGATTGTCATTTGGATTGCACTGAATGGCCTTGTTCGATCAATAGCAGCTAGTCTTATGTTTGTATCTAGGCGATATAACGTAAGCAAGGCCATCGGCAACATGCTCATGAAGAGGTAATACATTATTCTCATGGTGATATGCCTCTTGTTGAGGGGTTTTTTTCCTGGATCCTGTGCTAACCCTTTGCTTTTATTTTTCATTTAATTTTTTTTATATATTAAAGATCTCGCGCTATACGGCGTCGAGTAATCACGACAATCATCCTATTTATTATGGTGGCGACTTTTGTGCCTTACCAATTTGCATTTGTGGTTGCGGTCCTCGTTCACATTGTCTCCTGCGTCCGATCATTAATCTATGCACTGAAAGCGGTACGAAAAAAAAAAAAAAAAAAAAAAAAGTATTTTTAGTTTAATGAATGTATTACTAAACTTGGGAAAGCTGATGGGTGTCTATTATTTAATCATTATTTTTTTTTGTAGACATCATCGCAGACGCAGGCAGCATGGGATCGCTATCATTATGTGATGTCAATATTTGTCATGTTTTTTCTGCTATTGCCATGCACGTTGCCGGTGCTTATGGTTTGGATCAGGAACTTGTCAGTCCAATGGTATGAACCATTCTCGTCTGATCACCGGCTAGATTACATTGCACCATTTATCTTTTTTGTGGAGGCTGTCACTGACGGTGCCATGGTACCACGGACACCTGAGAAAGGGTAAGGATTGGACATTAATAGGTTTATTTTGCTGCTTCCGTGTTATTTTATTTTATTTAATTTAATTTTATTAAAAAAAAAAAAAAAAAAAAAAAAAAAAGTCTGGATTTGAATTTATCTAATCCATTGAATTTATTGGTGTTGTGTAGGTATGCAGCAGTGACAGCCGGAATCCTTAATGTCATTATCATTTTCCTAATTATGTTCGGTGTGCGATATAGTTGGCAAATCTTCTTCATGTCTAGAATCTGGATCGTGTGGCTCCTGATATTGCAGCTCAAAGATACCGAGCTAGTACTTCAGATATCCAAGACTGTTGCAAGTTATGTTTGGACGTTTACTCGACCGAGCAAAAAACGTAAATAGACAAAGCGACAACCGCTTCTAATACTTAAAAAAAGCAAAATATTATTATTAATCACTATTAAACATTCTGATATCAAGCAAACGAAACGTTGATCTCGAATCTTCTCTGATGACTTTACCAAAAATAAATTGTTCTCTGTTTAATTGTTTCGCTTGTGCTATTACTGTTTAAAAAGTCTTTGTGATTTCTGTCTTTGTCTATTCTTTTCTTTTCTTTTACTGTATCCACCCTACCTGTCATCTGCCTATCCATATTACTATTCAGTTGCCACAATGCTCACTACGGGGACCGTACGACTGTGGCCCGCCCTAGGAAAGAATACGGCCCTGTTTTCATTAGCCGTTCGAACGTACTTCTCGTTTCTCCTCACTTTTTCTAAATAAGCAAAGAGTTGACATTCAAGCCGGCATCCTTCATTATCATTTAGTCTGCCTATGTTTTTCATCCGCCCACCAAGGCTCAAGGGACCTTAGAAAAGAGGATTTCGAGGATTACTTCTAAACCAAGCTCCATCCTTTACTTTGACGGAGCACCCTGCCTAGAGAAGGAGGCGACAGATGGCAAAAGACGAGTGTTACATGCAAAAGTTTAGCTTTAGTGACCAACTCTGTTGAACCGTTTGAAGAGAGAGTCAAAAGCAAGCAGGTGATCCGCAAGGTTCTCTTCAAGAGCATCAAAAGGTTTTATTTTGGCGGTCCTTCATTGGAGAAAGAAGACAACGCTGCCTTTGCTGCTTTATGGTCTCGAAAGGTTGGGCCATCGCTAAGTCCCCAACTGAAGCAGATTTGCAGATTGCAAAAGACTGTTGAGAAGGCGTCATCGTCGTCACCACAGACAACGATCTGTTTGCATACAGGGGAGTTAAGACTATTTGAAGAACAATTTCGAGCTATAACATCTTTGAATACCACTTGAGTGGTAGCTTCGAGCATCTCGATGTCTCCAGAGCGAGCCTTATGGCCTTGGGTGTTGTAGCCCGAAATGACTATTATATTTCCCCATCGTTGACATGCAGGGTAAACTTGAGCACCATAAAGGCACTTGATAAGAACCTATATCCTCTGTCATCTGAAGTTATCCTCTTGCCTATGTACTAATAAAAAAAAAAAAAAAAAAAAAAAAAAGAAGATGTGCGTAGTCTTATCCATCTCTATCCACAGAGCAACAAGGTCAAGTTCAACATAATTATAATCAGGCTTGTGCTCTTGCAGAAGTCCACTGAGGGTGTTTAAGGACATTGTCACAAAACCCGCCACTACGCCAGCCGTCAGACCAGTTTAAGTTGCCCCAAGAATCTCAGCAGAAGCAGCATGATCAAGCAGTGATTAATCTGATTGATCGGTTTCGGGTATTCCAGATTTTGTAACAGACGAAGGGATAGTTTCCAACGACGATAGAAGCACCATTGAGGACCATTATACTGTTGAGCAATATCATGCCAAGCTGCTTCGCTAAAATACCATCCAATCCATCCAGGTATGCATCCGTAGCTATCCTAAGGGCGCTTTTCGCAACTCCTGAGGCACTCATGGATGAGACAAAAGACACCAGCGACAAAGATCGAGTATTGATCAGAGAACAGCACCGGATCGTGGGCAGACCGGTAAGCGGCCAGCAGCATCCTCGCTTCGTAGTAAGCCAGACAGTTGACCATGGTTTAGAAATAGCGTGGTTTCTGCCTGATCACTTCCTCAGCGGCGTAATTCAGGTATACTGTATTCTCCTCATAGCATGTTTTTATACTATTCTATTAATCATTTATTTTCTAGACAGATATATTTACAAAATATGAGTTTACAAAGAAATAGACCAGAAAAGAAGACGACAACCGCAAGTAAGATGGTAATCGTAATCATGCTTTATCGATAGACACATTTTCTTGGGGCCTCGTTGTTTGGCCCTCTAGATCGCCTTCTGAAAGTCCATTATCTTCCCCCTGCTTTTCCTCACCCTTCTCTTCCAGTGCCTTGTCTTCTCCAAGCTCGACGTGTCTAGCAATTGCCTCGACCTTGTTGCCACATCGTAGACAGCACCATTCGTCGTCAATCATCATTTTAGTTTTAATGCAGTAATAACAATAGACATGGCCACAGTTGGTAATATATGGATTATGAATGACAGTCATCGTAGCTGTTCCTGGTGCGACAGACGCACTGTTGTTCTCATGGCAGATGGCACAGATGTGTGCGGGCAAAACTGACAGCTCGTTCGCTGATATTAATGCTGCCGGTAAAAGCATCTTTTTAACATTTCTCTTCAATTTGGATACGTTAATCAAGGGCATCAAGAACATGAGAAATTCCTAAACAAGGTCGAGAAATATTGAACTTTAGACCAAAAAAGCTTTGTCCGCTTCGACGAATTACGGTTGAATAGATCATTGATTCATTTTCCTATTGCTTACTGTGAATGCATGCCAAACCATCTGGCGATTAAGAAATTCAAAGCTGGCCTGCCGGTTTGAGTTGCGGTCTGCATAGACGAGTCGCATTGCGAGAACCCGCTCCAGCACCGAGCGATACTTCCCGGCATACAGAAACGCTAAAAAATTAAGTAGAGATACTGTTCTGAACACACTGGTGCCCTTTTGTAGCAAATTCCATGCTTTCCTCCTGATGTTGTCCTAAATGTGGATGGAGAATAAGGTAAGCAACTAGTTATTGAATTTAAGCATGTTCCAGTAATGAGAAAAAATACCTCTTGTAATTCGCCCCATCCTTGCTCCGTCACAACGCGGTTCAGTCGCTCCATGACGTACTGTCCTCCAACGGTGAAAACTCCATAAGCAATCTTTTGTGCCTTGGTAAGGGGGGTATCGATTGCAGTGGATTGTACTGCAAAAAAGAAAAAAAAAGTCGGTTAAAGAGCTTGCATTATTTAAAATCAAGCCATGTGCCTAGAAATATTACAGTCTGACAAATCGGAGCCGATATTAAGATACATACATCCTCCGCGATGCTTGCGCTCATTTCTATATGCAAGATTCTGCAGCTGGGACCCATAGGTTGCCCCCATGTCATAGACAGAGAACTTATACATAACCAAGTTTAGCACCAAAGCTAGTTCCGGCTTGAATTTATCCTTGAACGTTGGCTACACAGCAAGAAAACCGACAAAGTGACAGAGAAGCCGATCAGTTGAGCCAGTCAATTAAAATTTACAGCCAGGCAATTAAAATTTACATGTGCATTGGGGCATACAAATAAAAAAAAATTAAGGGAAGAGGACAAAGAAAGGGAGGTAAAATGGTTGCAAGGAAAGCTCTGTGTGCATTTTACCTTAAAAAGTGAGAATGCACTCCAGAGTTGCTCTTTCATGGTCTCAAGCAACTCATCGTCAAGAAGGTCAGCATCTAGTTGGCTGACTTTCATAATGCGCAACGGAGGTGAAGGGAATGAGGCTAGTTGACGGCGAAGTGCCACCAAAGGGGCCTGCACCCGCTTCCAGTCTGGTTCCCAAAAAGGTATTGTTGGGGTGGTCATTAGCAATTGCGTGAGGAATGCGGAATTATATAACGGGGCTCTAAGAAAGAAAGATAAAAAGACTGGCCGGCTCAGAATTGTAAGTAATGAACAATGAATAGTGGCTTTTTTTTATTGATCTCTTGGCAAGTAATGAATCAGCTCTTCAATTCTTCAACTCTTCAACTCCATTGTTTGCGCCATGTCTGCGAGAGAAGCACTGCTGTCGGTCCTTGCCGAAGCGGCATCACAGGAACAGGCTCGCATGAGGCATGCTGTAGCACAGCTGCAACATTGGGAAACTACTCCACAATTTAATGCCACGCTCCAGGTGCGTGCTTTGACCCTTTGTATGTCGAAGATATAAAAATCTTGCTCTCTCACTCTGCTCATGTCTTCCTGTCTGGTATGCTGAGTAGGATATATTTTATGACAAGTCCATTGATACCAATATTCGATGGCAGGCTATCATCTATCTCAAGAATGGCATTGAGAAATATTGGCGAAAGACTGCCAAAAAGTATGTGCTTTTTTACTCACGTTTATTCAAGATTTGGAATTACTTTGATCTGTGCAGCTTAATTTCGCTATTAATTATACGGCTTTCATCCTCCTCATAGTGCAATTGCTTCTGAGGAAAAGGCTGCTATTCGATCGCGCCTATTATCCGCATTGGATGAGGAACAAAAACCTGTATGTAAATTGATCACAGAAAACCCTTGCGCCACAGTCCATTCAAACGTTAGATGAAGCCTACACTTATGAAGCCCCTATAATTCTTGCATTGTTCTTTTTTTTTGTAACGTAACAAGCTTGCAACCCAGAATGCTGTTTTAATTGCCAAAGTTGCAAGGATTGATTTCCCAATGGAATGGTAAGCAATCACGACAATAGGAAGTTAAATTAGGCGTTTCAACGTTTTGTTTCAAATGCCCCAGCTTTGAACGAGTGATATCATTAACTAATATAAATTTCTAGGCCAGATCTATTGTCAATTCTCTTGGGAATTATTCGTTCATCCACAGCCAATGAATCAGACCCAAGAGCCCGTCTTATTCAGCAACGGTCACTCTACACTCTTCATCTTGTTGTTAAAGGACTCATTTCAAAGACATTGGCGGCTGGAAGGAAACAATTTCAACAAGCAGCACCAGAACTCTTTTCTAACATTGTCGACACCTATGTCCGCTATATCGATCAACTCTTTGCCACCAACACCACAAACATTGAGAGTCTTTCTGGGTGCTTGGAGACATCGCACTTGGCTCTCAAATGTTTAAGAAGAGTTGTCGTACACGGATTTCCCGAATTCTCTACGTCTGACGGCCCTATTACATTCTTTAGATTGGCATTAGAGCACCTTCAAAAGTTTATGGGTTACAAGGAATCGATTCCAGAGCAATGCTCGTTTTTAATTACATCAGTGGATTCTCATATCAAATTGATTGGCAAATTTTATCTGGATCTCATAGATGTACATCCAAGACAATTTATTCTGACACCTGGCGCAGGCGATGTCCTTCGATTCTACTGGGGATTACTTGCCAGGAATGGAGGCGATAATAATGCTACGCTCTCACAGACCACACTGATTCAAGCATTACTCTTAATCAAAAAAACGCTTAAGGACCCGCAGTTCATTCTTTCTGATAGTAAGTAACGACTTGGATCTAGATCTTAGTATGAAGATCCATGGCTGAAGTTTAAGTGCTGATCGCCTTACCCATTTTACGTGATCCATTTTAGAGGACCCTGAGCCTGTTGTTGTCCAGTGCAGACACATCATTGAAAACGAATTTATGACCTCAGAGACTACCAATAGACTGGCTGAAATTTTGGTTACCAAATACATGCGCTTGACTGAGGGCGATTTGGAGGAATGGGATAACAATCCTGAAGAATGGGCTTTGGAAGAGGAAGTGGACGCTTGGAAATATCAACTCAGGGTGAGTTCCCTCACTATTATCGTAATAGTTCTTCAGCTTATATAAACCATTTACTGTTGCTAAATACAAAGACGAATGGCATTCCTCTGCGATAGCCCTGTTCTGAGAAAGTATTCATGGTCTTACTGTCGAGTCATCGTGCACAGCTCAGCCCCCTTCTAGTTAATTTAGCTGGATCAACTGCAAGTAAGCATTTTGAATATTCTACATATCCTACTTTCCTGAACGTCACTCATATGCTAATGGCTTTCATAATTTCATTCACTAGACATGACCGATTTGTTCTTAAAGGACTCGATTTACTGTGCCATTGGATTGGGATCGCACGATTTGTACAACGCTATTGATTTTGAGAGCTGGTTGAAGGGACAGCTTGCTCATGAGGCTCAGAATCCTAATCCAAGGTTAGTTTTGCGATCTTTCATCGATACATGAGGCCTATATGGGAATCATGACTCAATCGCCCTGTTATCCTGGCTTTACTTAGTTATCGCATTATTCGACGACGTATTGCATGGATGATTGGCAAGTGGGTTAGTGTCAATGTTTCAAAACCAGCACGTCCAGCTGTTTATACAATCATGCTGCATCTCTTAAGACCCGAAGAACATCTGGCAGTTCGACTTTCTGCAGCACAAAATTTGAAGGCATGTATCGATGACTGGGATTTCGATCCTACTGGGTTTGCGCCTTTTTTGGAGCAGTCTGTCCTGGGACTGAAGAAAATTATGAGCGAAGTCGAGGAACCAGATACAAGAATGAGAGTGTTGAATTGCATGTCGATGATTGTGGAGCGTATGGACGAGCATATTGCCCCCTATGCGCAGCAGATTATTGAGCTCTTGCCTCCACTTTGGCAAGCAGCCGCGGATCAAAACTTGCTTCAATCGGCGATTTTAGTAATCATGACCAAGCTGGTTGAGTCTTTAAAATCACAATCAATTGGCCTCCATGCTCTTGTTATGCCGTTAATTCGCCTTAGTGTCGACCCATCACATGAAGCACATGTTTACCTTATGGAAGACGGCTTCGAACTTTGGTTAGCAACTCTGAGGACCGCGCGCCAGTCAACAGACGAGCTCATGTCTCTTGTTCCAGCTGCTGTCATACTACTTGCTGAGGGTATGGACCATTTGCGCATAATGCTCAAGATTTTGCAGAGCTATCTGATGCTTGATGCTGAAAGAACTTTCCAGGTATGACTCGCATGAATTGCTTTTAAAAACTCTGTCGGGTGTGTTATTTCTGACACGCGTTCTTGGCTATTTTATATGATAGATTGCAGGAAATAATCTCATTAATGGTGTTGCAGCACTTTTGGGAGAAGGGCTTCGATCCGAGGCTAGTGTATCTATCATGCAATTCATGGATATTACCGCATTAACCTGCCCTCTTCAAGTTACAGGAGAACTTTATATCTCTTCAGGACTGATCAACAAAGTTCTCAATATAATTATGGCTAATAAGGTAAGTTATTCTCGTGGAGTAGGTTTATTTACGGAGTAATACATAACGCCGCGGAAGTCATTAAACTTGCTATCCGGTTCTTATATTTAGGAAACAAATGTAGTCTTGACCCAATACCTCTGCTTCATTGCACGGCTTGCTGTTGATAACTCTGGTTACTTTTCTAATGTAGTCAATAATGCTAGCCACCAGTTTGGCCAGGCTCATCTTTTAAGCTCCTTCTTGGAGCTCTGGACAGAGAAGGTAAATACTGACTGGTTGTTTGCCTCATTTGCTTTATTCATAATGTTCTGAAGCTTACTATCTTTTGCTTCTGTTTTACACCGTCATGTCGCCTTCAAGTTTGATAATGTGTCACATCCCAAGCACCGCAAGCTTCATGCAATGGGCCTGACAGCCATGATTCGTACTACGGATTCCTCGGTCTTGAAGCATCTGCCTCGTTTAATTGGCATCTGGGGAGATGTTTTGAACGAAGTAAATGAGAATGGCACTGGCGATTCACTTGTTTACTGGCGCGAGGCACAGGACGATGAAGACGACGCCTCAGAAGAGACAGCGGAAGTTATTCGACGACGTGAGCTTTTAAAGCATGATCCAGTTCACACTACGAACTTTGCTCAATATGTTAAAGCCTCAATCTTAGAATGTGAGCTTATAAATGGAGGAGCTACTGCCTTCCAACAGCAGTACCTTTCCAAAGTCGACCCGTTGATGTTAGAAGGCTTGATGTCATTATTGAGATAAATAAATAAAACAAATAGAATTTATAATAAAATAGTGGGCGCGAATGATTTTGTGCAAAAAGTATGAGAGATAATAAAAGCTAGTCCATCAGGCGTCTAACATG